TCCTTGATTCTGCTCGTTGCTCCACCAACCCACTCGAAGGTGCCCGCACATGGCTTCGACCACCAGCACCTGTCTGGTTAGCTGGTCCTAAGGCCACGGCGTAATGCTTTATACTTACCTGCATATCTCGGGGTTTAGGACATGGATCATCCACACACAATATCTCCAACATATTCTCATGCTCAGAATGCCCGCACACTGCTTCTACAGATGGCACCCGTCAGGCTACTTGGCTTAAGGGTGTCCGACCACTGTCCTGAACTTCCCCGCTTATATTGCGGCTCAAGGCTCCCATTGCCCCCACAACATGTTAGCATCATGTTTCAAAGCTCCGAATGCACGCCCGCATTCCTTAGAATCGCTTTTCCGCCAGCTCGATCTCGACCGCTGCTCGGTTCAGGGTCAGTCATGGCAGGACCAAGGCCTGACCATGACACTCTCCCCCACTTACTATGTCGATGCCCTCATCGACGCCCAGACCATACCTAACTATCTTGTTGCACACAGCTGACATTTACTCATATGTCTTTCACTTGTGCCCTCAAGAATTGGGTCGAGGTCCCATCACATGAGGCACCACCCACAGTACTCGTCCATTGTTGATGTAGATAAGTCACGTTGTCGCGCTCCTGCCGCTCAGCTCGGTTCTTGCTCGAACCATTTAACCTTGTCTTGGTTGTTTCATGTGGGCCATACCATGGCTTCACCTCTTGATCATGTCATGTTGCGACCTTGAAGCACCTTCATTGATCAATGACCCTCAGTAGAATGAATGACCACCCGCTTTACCACTCACTGGTGTGTCCCACCGGACATGACCCCTCACACCAACTGCACGCTTGCAGCATCAACCCACTGATGCACCCTTCTGGACGTGGTGCTTGGGTCAACCGCACTCATACGACACCATACATGATAGACCCTAGCACAGTGGCATTCAAGCACTTTGGTCATCTCCCAACTTGGGTCCTCTCGGCCCCTCCAAGGTCACCTCTATAGGTGTGGCCCTCTGGCCAACCGCCCCCAAGACGGCACCTTAAAGCGCGCTAACTCGATCTTTACCCCGGCTTAAACACTGTGCTCCATTGCCCAAGCTCCTCTATCTTGGCTCAGTCTCACGGGGAATTGACAGGTCTCCCCCACTTTTACTCGAAACTCAGCGCTGATCTCCTCGATGGTTCTATTGCTCGATAGTTTTGACTCTGGCCCAGTTCCTAGGGCATCCCAAAATCCGCTTATACTCGAAGATCTACTGATCTAACAAAACACCTAGTCCACTGATTAGCTCGATTCGGGGATTCACCCACTCAATCCTCAAGGTCCACTGACCTACACGCCTGAGGCCTTGTCAACTGGCCATTTCCCTTTTTGCTTGTCTCGCCCGATTACACCTTGTTGTGGCCCACCGACCACCACAGCTCATGTGAAGCTTTTCTTATCGGCCAACATAGACTCGGTTCACTGATTCACACACCTCCGTGATCCTCTGACCACGAGAACTCCTGGTCCACTAACCATCGCAGCCCATGGTCCACTGACCATCCCACTTGTGGCTTCAATCTTTGGCCATTCCATACTCCTCTGTGCAAGAATTCCATGCTTAGACCCGAATACTTCAGCTTGTGCCCCCACTGGGGCACCTGCACCATGCAACAAGTGCACACATTAGTAATTAATCTTGAAACTCGATACCTCTTGCCCCTCAAGACAAGATTCACTCGACCCACATGGCCTTACGCAACACCATTTCATGGTGTAAGCCCCTTTTCGCATCGTGGTCTCACTACGGTTCCTTCCACTGTAAGGCATCACATGCCTCAACATATGCCAACACCCTTTCCTAGGTGAGGCTAGACTCTGGTGCCCTTTTGTTTGGCATCCAAGAGCCTACTCGATAGCCATTTTACATAGGCCCAATATTTCTCGCAGCACGCGTCGCTGGCTCATTTCTGAGCCTCCATAGCCACAGAATCGCATTCGCGTCTTGGTAGCTTTTTTTTAGCTTGGCACTACCTCAATTTCATGTCACTAAACCTGCACGTGGGGTCATGAAAATCTCGCCACTGAGCCGACCTAGGCTCTGATACCAAATGTCACGGTTCACGCGTTCCTCCTACTGAATACCACGCGTGGCATGGTTCACGCCTGCCTGCTAGCCCGCGCATCCTTCAGGCTCGATAGCATCCCTCCTACATAAACACCATTGCATGATCTTTCCGGCTCGAGGAGGGGAAACCGAGGGGCCTAGCGATCTCTACCGTCTAACCCCATGGTTCAACGCAAAGGCGCGATACGAGGCCCATCGACCCCAATCGCCCCCGGGTTTATCGTGACCCGAGGAAAATTATGCCACGCTCGTGACCCTACGATGCCCGCCCACCTAGCCACCACTAGTGACTAGGAGTAGCTCACTTCAGACTAGCCAAGCTCTCGTCTGCCCGCTAGCCAAGGGAGTGGTGGAGAGCTGACACCAGACGTCCCCTATAAAGAGCGTTAGAAATTTTTCCAATATGCTACCAGTGACCGTAAGATTGTCTGAAACGGGACACTTTTCTGCCCAGCCACCTCCGGGCCTTTCTCCGGCTAACTCAGGGCCCCGTAACCTTCCTCTTGGTCACATTACTCCTTGATTCTGCTCGTTGCTCCACCAACCCACTCGAAGGTGCCCGCACATGGCTTCGACCGCCAGCATCTGTCTGGCTAGCTGGTCCTAAGGCCTCGGCGTAATGCTTTATACTTACCTGCATATCTCGGGGTTTAGGACATAGACCGTCCATACACAATATCTAACATATTTTCATACTCAGAATGCCCGCACACTGCTTCCACAGATGGCATTCGCCAGGCTACTTGGCTTGAGGGTGTACGACCACTGTCTCGAACTTCCCTGTTTATATTGCGGCTCAAGGCTCCCATTGCCCTCATAACATGTTAACATCATGTTTCAAAGCTCCGAATGCACGCTCACATTCTTTAGAACCGTTTTTTTGTCAACTCGATTTCGATCACTGCTCGGTTCAAGGTCAGTCATAATAGGACCAAAGCCCGACCGTGACACTCAAGCTTGTAGGGCCGAAGATTATTGAAGGCAGAAGCTATTTTTGGTTATTTGTTTGGTAGATAATGATGGTAAATACATGAAGAGAAATCCAATTGTGGCCACAACCATCACCCTGTAGCCATAATCTACTTTACTGGTCTACTTGGAAGGCAAAGTCAGACTTTTGTTTGGCCTATTATCCTATATGTATATTATTGAATAAAGAGCGCAAATGGATGTCAACTAAGCTCTCTGGTTTGCAGCTATTATTCTGATGTAGCAGGCCTCCTGCTTCCTTTGGATAAATGAAATTTTAGCTTATCTAAAGAACAAAAAATGATGTCAATTAAGCTGCTTTTCCTACCTTCTTTGTTCTTTTCTATTCCGTTCTCTTTTATTCTGTTTCTTCTTTTTACAGTTTGTCTTCACCATAAAATGAAAGTACATCACAACCCCTACTAGCCTACATGCTAGAACGAGAACTCCTCCCCTGCCCAAAATCAATCCCAAGAAGGTGGTGAAGCCTGGATCAGTTGTAACACCCATGGACAAGATTATGTAAGAATTCCCTGTAGAATGAAATATACTACTAGTATTATACTTTGAAGCAAACTTAATGATCACAATTCACAAGATCACCTTCTTATAATTGTTTAAATTTTAAACCCATCTATCATTGCCTTCCTTAAAGCTAGAGACACATATTTGGGCCCAAAAGAAGAAATAACTTCCAAAGAAAAGTTATCATTGCAGGACATGAAAAAGCATATGTTGGATCCAATTATTGATTTCAAGGTGAAGGCTGTTCTAAAATATGTGAATTTTTCCAAAAAAACAATTACCAGAACAGAAGCTACGAACACAGATTAAAGGGCTCCAAAAGTGATGAAATTTTTAGTAGTTCACTATTCTCCGACTTAGGCAGATGCTGAGGGTAAGCATATAGTCCAGATATCCAACTGTGGCCACCAGAATCATCCTCTAATCTTTGTTCAATCTATCGAGATTTTGTATGCTTTAACATTTAGATCTTCTGGCTGGGGAAATCAGGCTTTGGTCCCAATATAAGATAGATTGTTATCTAGCATGGTTGGCTGTTACTAGTTTCCTTAAGCATAAGACCCGCAGAGTCCATGCACTTTGGTCCAACCCACCCAATTCAAAGTTTAACAAGCCAGGCGAAAAATCAGGTAGACTTTCTTGGCAAATTGATAATAACTCATCAATTAAAACTTAGGAAATGTGGATTGATTAGTGCCCTCAAGTCAACCTAATTTGCTGTATTGGGCACATGATAAGAGCCTTTCAAGGGACCAACTGACCATCCAGAAAACTTTCACACATAAAATAAATAATGCTTGAATTACTGAATTTGACCTTGATCGAACCCTGAAACTTTTCTTTTCTAAAATGTACTGAGACAGAGCATTGGCCTATAAGGACAATTTATCAAATGATCCCCCTGAAAAGCTACAGGGGAAGCTTTAATTTTTGCTTCATGTAGTTAATCCTCTTGATTTACAATTTAGAATAAAAGATGCATTGAGATTTTGAGGCCCACGCCATATCCTTCGAGGTTGATCTTGTCCCGATCGGTGCTTTCAACACAAAGTTCAATGCTGTTATTTTGATTCACTCACAGTAGACACATGTTAACAGTTTCTTTTGCTGAGATCATATAAAAACTCGGGCTGGAGATCTGCAGTGAAACTACTTGTGAAAAAATAGTTGAAGTTGACAAATATATATGAATACCAAAAAACATTTAACTGGACAACTGCCATTGCTCTGTGTCAAGTACCAGTCCCACCTTCTCCCATTAATTACTTCCACATTATCACATACAGTGACTTCGATAACAATAAACAAACACAATCGCAACGTGCAGACACCAAACGAACGCTCAAAAGATCCTATATATTTAGTAAACATTAATTCAAGTAAACGAATCAATCAAACCCCTTTACTCTCTTGCTCTTTCTTCTCCTTCACTAACTTTCTGTCTTCAACTAAAACAACAGCCCAAGTAGGAGAAAATGTCTGCTCATCTCTCCAAGACAGACTCAGAGGTGAGCAGCCCAACTCAATCTTCACCAGCAAGGTCCACTCGTAGACAAGTCTACTACGTTCAGAGTCCATCAAGGGACTCCCATGATGGTGAAAAGACTACAAACTCATTCCAATCCACCCCGGTGCTCAGCCCCACGGGCTCACCTCCTCACTCTCATTCCAACTCTTCATTAGGCCCTCATTCCTCGCGTGAGTCTTCTTCAACCCGCCTGTCTGGATCCCTCAAACCACATCGAAAACACGAGGGATCTCGCAAAGGTCACAAGCCATGGAAAGAGTTCGATGCCATTGAAGAAGAAGGTTTACTTTATGGTAATGATGGTCCCCAGCATGACCTCCATCGTCGACGTTGCTATTTCCTTGCATTTGTTGTTGGCTTCTTTGTGCTTTTCACCACGTTTTCTTTGATCCTATGGGGTGCTAGTAGACCCCAAAAGCCTAAAATCACCATGAAGGTTAGAACTTTAGATTTTTTTTTTTTCTTTTCCGTTTCTTTCTCATCATAAAATCCCGGATCATTTCTAGATTTGACATGCATTATCTTTCATATTTTCTTCTTTCTAAAAGGTTTCCTTTAATCTTAGATTACAAAATTGTGAAAAGGTATGCAATGATTTTTGTTGTAGAGCATTTCCTTCAATGAATTTGTGGTTCAAGCTGGTTCGGATTTCTCAGGAGTGGGTACGGAAATGGTGTCAATGAACTGCACGGTGAAGTTCACATATCGCAACACAGCTACATTTTTTGGAGTTCATGTAACATCAACACCCTTAGATCTCTCTTTCTCTCGGCTCACTGTGGCCACTGGATCGGTAAACCAGCCATGAACTAACTCAATATTAAATGTTTTATGCACTTTGTCTTCTTTCCTAGGGAGAGGTTCATTTATTTATTCTTCCTAAGCAAATTATTATATGGTTTTTTTTTGGCAGATGCGCAAGTTTTATCAATCAAGAAAGAGCCAAAGAGCATTAACTGTCATGATGAAAGGGAGTCACATTCCCTTGTATGGAGGCGGGGCTAGCTTGGGTAGTCTCAATGGTGCAACGACTCAGCCAGTGCCACTGACACTAAACTTCATGGTTCGTTCTAGGGCTTATGTTTTGGGCCAGTTGGTCAAGCCCAAGTTCCATAAGAGAATTGAATGTTCGGTCACCATGGACCCCAAAAAGATGAATGAGGCTATTTCACTAAAAAACAAATGCATTTACAGCTGATAATTCAACAGAGCTGTACTTTTATCGTTGTTTGATGGCTTGAAATTATTTTGATAGAAAAAATATGGTACAATGAGATAAACGAGAGCGGCCAGGCAAGTTTATACTGAGCAGATTGGACGGTGGAGACTGATTCAGAATTCTCTGGCTCCAATAATAAGGGCATTGGAAATGTAGTACTGGTCGGTGGTTATACTGTTAGGCCCTTTAAGATTTGTTTACACGTATAAGTTAAACGAGTTTTGGGTAAAACTTTTGATGCTTCGATCAAATATTTGGACATTTTGATGAATGCTTTGATTAATCTTTTTTTTTACCTTTCAAAGGGCATCAAGATGTAAAATATAATTACTATCAAGTCCAATAAAGTTAGAATTCAAGTCAAATTTACATTTTCTGCAAGCTGGATTTATCCTTAGTTTGAAGATGTATCAATTTTGAACTCAGATTATATAACACACTAAATCAAGGGGTTGATTTTTTTCTTTTTAATTTAGGCCCGAAATGAGTTGAGTTTGAGATTGACTTTCCACATTTTTTTAATGTGATTGAGCCAATTTACCTTAGGAGAGGGTGGCTTTGAATCCTAACTTGGATATTTCCACCCACTTTCCAAGCAAACCAGAGGGCCTAAGGCCTCTGGTCAACAAGTGGACTGTATGAATTGCTCCATTCTTTTTACATCTGCCTTCGAAACACATGAATGGAGATTGCCTGGAATCAATCCCATCATTCCCTTTTAGCTGGAGTCTGGAGAAGATTCAAATACAACAAGAGGAGAATTAATTCCCTCAAAAACAAGAAACAGCAGCTCAGAAAAGGAGCTGCCGAGAACTTACCAGAATACAGCCAAAATCTGCTTTCATGGTAATTTCAGTTCCTAATTTCCTCAAGTGCACCTGAGGCAGGCAGCTGCCTCCTGGCATGGCATGTGTACATAATAAAACATTTATTTAACATTTTTTCCTGGAATCAATCCCATCATTCATAGGCTTTCAATTCTTTAATCCTTTGCATTCTTCTGTCCAGGAATATATCTATTGATACGGTTGATATATTTTAATATTAAAGATTTGGTTTTTGATGTTGACTTGCTAATCCCTTATTATTACTAATCAATTTGCCTTCTGAAATGAAAGAAAAAGAGTTTGGTGAACATGAATACAAAATGTTTGAAGCAAGTTAGTTAAATCTTGGTCATAAGTGGAAAACAACCCAAAGTCCCACCCAATGATTTCTCCTGCACCGACGAGCTGTTTTACAAAAATGCATTGCTTGGGTTGGGAGTTGGGACAATCTAAACATAGGAATCGGCAGGCCGCAGTCTGCCTATATTCTTTGCTTTTTTAGGTGTTGAGAAATTATTGTTGAAGGAAATTGTTTGTCATTTCCATTTTTTCAATCATAAAATTATAATCAAATTAATGTTTTCATATAAAATTCATTGACGGTGTAATTCTGAATGAAAGGAGATAACAGGGTAAAATAGTACAAAAACCATACGGCATGCTTGTAAAATTCTAAATTAATGTGGGTCAATCACCAAAAGTTGAAATTCAGTTAGTTGATTTTTATGACTTGAGCTGTCCTTGCCTACTTCCTAAGTCTACCTGGTATTGAGTTTGGACAAAACAAACAGCTTCACAGGAAACACAAGAACAAGTTTCGCACATAAATACATTCACACTGCGGTATGGCTACAGCTTTCATGAAGTTCAATTGATAAAAGATAAAAAAATTTATTATTTGTTAGAATTATTTTAAATGTATTATTTTTAATCATTTATTTTATATTATTTAGTATGATATTTTATTTTTATTTATCTGTCTGTTTTGGATTTTTTCTTACAAGAGAACTACTTTTGAAATTAAGAAATCTAAGTTCGGATTTAATCTGTGCTCAGGGATCGAATCAATGTTAGAATTTGAGAATAAAGCAAACGAATTGGAAGAATGAAAAAGGGTTCAATCTCGAAACGGCGTAATAATCCTTATGGTGGAAATTCATTTTTAGTGGACATTAAAATGAAACATGAATGTGTGAACTCTCTACGTGAGATAAACAGTTGCCGATTGCTGTAATTTTAAAAAATTGATGATTAGGTAAAATTTGATTGAAATTGGAACTTGAACTGAAGCATCCCAACAAATTCTTAACAACTCAGGGTATAATTTTCTCCAAATGCCAAGTTTCAATATTTGTTGGGAAAGGAATTGGAAAATCTTTTATATTCAGACAAAATTAAAAATAAAGAATGGCCTGTACACTCTGCGGCTACCTGAGTAGCCAATCAGAACTCTTCACGAGCAGAATGTCAGTCTTAGAATGTTTTCCTAATCATTTACAATAAAAAATCATCACCAATTGCCACCAAAAAACGAAAACCAATTGGATCAGAGCCGTCAGATTGGATGAAGGCAATTAAACTAACTTTTCTCTTCTTCTACCTCAAGGTGATCCAGCTTCCGGAAACAGACCAATTGGGTGCCTGATCACAAGCCAATTTACGAATCCGATCCAAAGGTGATGAAATGTAACTTGAAAACGAAGAAACGAGGCTTGAATTCTCTTGGAATATTGATTGAGAAGAAGTTGTTGATTCAGTTGAAACCCAATCTGGAAAATTGAAAGGACATCTTGGTGATGCTGAAAATTCTTCAAAAGAACATTGAGGAGATGATGATGCTTCTTCTTCGCATCGATTCATTGCAATAGTCTCATCATCACCACCCATAAAAGGATGATCCAGGAGCATCTCAGCAGTCCATCTGTTCTTTGGATCCTTAATAAAACACTTTCCAAGAAAATCTTTTCCTTCCTCAGATAACTCCACAGGAATTTCAGGCAATTCATCACTGACCCCAATTTTAATCAACAAAGCCGCCACGTTTGTTCCTGGTTTGAAATTCCAGGCTGGTTTCCCTGTAAACATCTCAACAATAGCACATCCAAGTGCCCAGATATCCACCGGTGAATCATACTCGTTTTCGTTAACCGACTCTGGTGCGATATTGAGAGGAGTTCCCCTGATTTCCATCCTCCTCTGTTCTTCTCCTTCTCCTTTCCCGTTTCTCTTTGCCAATCCAAAATCAGCTATCTTTACATCTCCATTACCAAAAAAAAGAATATTTTGAAGTTTAATATCACAATGAGCAAACCCTTTGGCATGAATAAAGCGTAGCCCTTTAAGTATCGATCTTGCATATCCTCTAACCTCGGATTCTATCAAGTTTCCACCGCTTTTCTTAACCTGATCAGCCAAGCTTCCTTTGCTAGCGTACTCCAAGAACAAATTATAAAACTTCCCACCGTTCTCAATGTTATAATCACCGCCAAAACAACGGATAATTTGCGGGCAAAAACCAAGTTGATCAAGCACTTCCTTCTCGTTTTTGAGAGAAACAGAGTCGATAGTTTCACAAGACTTGACAGCCATTAAAGGAAATCCTGAAAAGCCTTTTTTAGGCACCACCAAATTGACAGTGCCAAAACTTCCACATCCAATGGTTTCCCCTCGAACCCACTCCATTGGAAACTCCAACTTTCACTCAAGAATTCAAGGTTGTTTTCTCAATTGGGTTTTAGAAGAAATCGAAGGCGTTTTTTTTGCTGATTGTTTCTTTGAGAGAAAGAAAAGGAAGGCAAAAAGAGCAAACACAGGTCGCAGTGCGCTGTGGTGGTGCAAAGTCCTTTTATATATAGAAGTATTTTTTTACCACCGGCGTTCAATTTCATTCAATGCTTTGAAATTTCCTACAATTAATGCACGTGATAAAGGATATTTTATTTGCTTTTAGTTCGTTTTAATTTGATTTTCCAAAATTGCATATTAAAAAACAGCTCAGTCGGTCAGTTCCCGTTTTGAAACGTGGTCAATGTGGCCGATCGGTAGAGATTTTTACTCAACGCCCACGCGTATTTAGATTTTTTTTTTTTTAATATTACACATTTTCAATTTGACTAAATTACCATTTTTTTTGCTTCCTTTTCCTACTTTTGAGTAGGATTTTTATGGGTTGTTTAACTGTTATAGCATATCATAGTCACGAGATTAAAAAAAATTCTTGATCACCTACTAAACTCGTATTAAAGGAGGATATAGCTGATTAATGAATTTCTATTGAATTCATTTGTTTTTCATTATAATTAATAAAATATCTCTTATTTTATTTATTTTTTATCGAAAAACTTGTGATTTAATTTAATAAAGTTGATTATTTATTTTTATTTAAAAATATACAAAAATATTATCAAATAAAATTTTCAACATTCTATATCATTTTTGTATTAAGTTCCTTTTTTTTTTTTTTTTGCCTAAAGGAAATTCATATTATTGCATAAAACGCCTGATACACGCATCGTAAACTACAGCAAAGTTTAAGACCTTTGTAAAGGAACTCTTCTCACTGCAAACTAACCTACATAAACCATCTATGGAGGAGAAGGTAAACCATCCCTACTTAAGAAATGAACAAGAGAGGATGGTGGCTGTGTTAGCCATCTAATTGGGCACGTCAAAACGCTATTTTAATTTCTCTTTATGACATATTTAGAACAATTCTACTTTAACAGCATTATTTATAAAAGATCGAATTGAATCAAATATGATCTAATAAGCACAAAACGTAAAGTTATATATTCTTAATTAGTCTATACAATTAATAATTATGTTGACTTGATACATTCAAAACAATTTCTTTTTTTTTTTTGTTATATGAAAAAAAAAACATAGTGTAAAGTCATTTAAGGTTCTAATCTTCAAGTGGAAATGATTTAGTTTTACCCTGCAATGGGAGGTTTGGTGATTGTCCCTCTCTCTCTCTCTCTTTCATTTTTCAAAGAGTAAGGTACACAATTCTATAAATGTCACTTGAAGAAAAAGAAATTTAGTAATTAACCTTTTTGGGGGGTTGCCAAACTATATGAAAAAAAGGGAATTTATGATTCCTTTTTCATTTAATTTGGCAGTGAACCTAATTTCAGTTGATGCAGCTATCTTTAGACACAAAATCTCTGAATGTGTGTCTCATGTGCTATTAACAATGTCCATATCATCTTTGAAACCTAATAGATTTCATTATTTAAAGAAAAATAATATTACACATAATTTGATACTACTTTGAATTTACAACCATCCATGAACATGATGCATGTGAGGGCAAATAATATTGACCCTTCTTCTTTTTTAGAGCTTGATATTAAACACCTTGGTTTCCCGAATGTTGCTCGTGTGACCACCTGACTCTGCTCATACAGTGTGGGCAATGGCCTAAACTATTTTAATGTAATCCAATTATCCAAAATCATGTAACTAGCAATTACTTTTGCTTGTCAACAACTGTGTGATTTATTAATAGAATACTAAATTTTTAATTTCAATGATTAAGATTTAAATTCTGATAATTTTAAGTAAAAAAATACCTTTACTCTATTTCTGTATAATTCTTCATTGCATAATTCTTCTAAAACCATTAAAATCAATTCGGTCAAATAATTCATGAAAATGGCATATCAATGTATAAATTTGCATTGTTTTTTATAAAAAATTTACAACATACAAACAAAAATTACAATCACAATCAATTATTATTACATCATATAAAAAATTAACAAGATAAATTAACAATCTTATTATTAAATCAGTATATATCTAGAAAAAATTTTAACATACCAATTGATCAATTTTACATAAAATGAGACGTGAATTTGAAACATAAAACTTATTTGGATTTGATTGTCTTGAATTAATTAAACATGTTTGCTTTTAGGGGTCACTTTTCCATTATGATTCTTATAATACACATTTAAATAAAAGATTTTCTATATTTGAGTTATAATATTTTATTGGAACATTCTAGTTATTTGTTTTGCAAGCACAAAAAATTTTATGACTACAATTAACTAGCCATAAAAGTTTTTTTTTGGTTAAAAAATACTAATAATAAAATAAATAAAACAACGAAGGTGCAATGAGACAATTAATATCCCATAACTGTCATGAGAAGGCGTGGGTTTAGATTATCCTCAATCCAGCTGCATGATATAACATTAGCTAAGCTTTCAAAAAATTCAGATCAATTTGGCCAACTTGTTTTAAACCAAAGTTTGTGTGCATACCAGCTCATCAAATCAGTATCATTCACTTCGAATCCAGTTCTTCTCTGCACAAAGAAAGAGACAAGAAAGAAGAGGTCTGTCACGTTTTCGGTCTGCAAACCTTAGCCATCACATGTTGGCTGCACGTTCTATACCCCTGAAGAAATTATATCACTTACTCCACCCTGTCTGTTTAGCCCTTCCTTCCTCTCCCTTTGCGTTGCTTTGCTTCCTTCACAATTCATGTTTTTTGTTCTACTTCTACTTTGCATTGCTTTACAGGATTTTTCTTTTTAATATAATCAACGTATCTTCAAGTTTTGTCCAAATCTTTTGTTTTTAGGTGATCAAACTTGAAAGGCATGCATGCAGACAATTTGTGTACCAGAAAGAAAGTGTCTTATCATTACTCCCAGTGAATGAATGGAACGAAAGTGAGGGATCAAGGCTTTGCTCAGTGTGTGATTTGCAAGTTATTCAACTGAAAAAGAGAAAATCACGTCAACATCTATAAAATATATGCAATAAAAACAAAGGTTGCAAGAAAAAGATGGCCAAATTTTGGCCTCTATCAGTCGCTATAGTTTTTTCTTTGTATGAAATGTTGGGAGGGTAGATGGGTGTGATTTACTCATTAGGTACATAGGTAGGAGAACGCTCAAACTAAAGCATTTTCCTTCTTTCCGCTAGAGCTCACGTTTTTTGAATTGTTAATTTTTTGATAGGAAGCGTACAAGTTACATGAAAGTGATACGTTATAATATTTCGACCAAAAAAAAAAAAAAAGAAAGTTATACTATATATTATCTCCATTTCTTATATTTGCTAATCATCAAAAAGGGCTCATCTGAAAATATTAAAAGATTGGGTAATAGTGATTATTTTAGATTTATATGATTTCATGTGAACTTCATGAAATTGAAATCATATCCTCCTTTGTTAATAAATAAGTAGTATTATTTAAATGTTTTTCCACGTGATAGCTGTCAATTATTTATAATGCACATATGTACTTAGACGTTTAATGCATGGGAAATTTTAATTATTGGTTAATTTGTTTTAATTATAGTGTTTTGTTATTTTTATGTATGAAATTCAATAGGATAAATTAATTAAGACTCATAAGATGAATTTAAATATTAAATTATGTATTAAATTTTAATATAATATAAAATTAATTATATATTAAATTATTAAAATATTTTTATCATTAATATATAAAATTAAACATGATATTTTATTAAAAATAATAAAAATTAAATAATTTATATTTTTAAAATAAAAAATATTTAATCTTCGACGCAACTAGGACTGCATGTTAATTTATTAATAATCTAAATCCAAAAAATTTTGACGCGCCGTCAAAATGTCAATTTTCGTGGAAGAAACGGAAGAAAAATACTGAAATATTGGGATTTTGTCGGTTCTCGGATTAGGCCATAACCCACGTGAGCCAAAGTTACTCCGAACCGTGGCTGAAGCGGACGGTGCTACCGCGTCTAATCAATTTATTGCGTAAAAAATATGAGCCTCGACTGTCCATAAAGATGGATTATATATAGCTCACCAGCAAAGCAACAAAAACAAGTTGCACCATGCAATGCACCAAGCGCGGTTTTGAGTGTTCCATTGAATATGCAGCCTCTTTTAATGGGGACCCCCCCACCTGACCCATCTGACCTCTTGCAAATGCAACCCTCAAGGTTCATGGGGCCAGGGGGCAGCCACAGCCAGGCAGCCCTGTTTGATTTTGAACCTCTGGGATTAGCCTCCGGTAATTTTTGCTCCATTTATAATTGCCAAATTTGTTTACATTTGGCTGTACTATAATTATTGGGTTTTTAATTTTTTTAGTTAATCTTTTTGGGTAGATTCTGAAAATGGGACCCAAATTGATCTTAATCTTGTTTGTATCATCTTTTGGACCTACATAAGTTAATTTGATCCACCAATCATGGGGAATTTTCCTACAATATTTTTTCCTTCTATAAACTATTGAACTCTCTTCGGTACTTGAACAGGCCAAATGTTTGAGAAAAGACTATTCACATGAGCGAAAGAACAAGACAAGTTATGTATAGATTAGGCTTTGGTCAAAACTCAAATGGTTCACCTCTTGAAACTTATTTATTTGGATTATTGATAAGATTAATTTTGATAAAATTAAAAAAAAAATAATTATTATTATAAATATAATTTAAAAAAGTTTATGTTAAATAAATTTTATTAAAATTAATATTTAAATTTAATTAATAATATAATAAATTTAACTATATAGTAAATGATGAAATTTAAACCCCACTTAAAAAATTTATAATTAAAAAAATTTATTAAAACTACAATTAAAAAAATTATAAAAAAATTTATATTAAACAAATTTCATTAAAATTAATATTTAAATTTAATTGTTCAATTCCTCTATAACCGCACTACAACCGATGAAATCCAAACCCTCACTAAAAAGATTTAGATAAGTAAAATTTCAAAAGTACACTTTTTTGGCAAGTGACATTAATTTAATAATTATACTTTCACCATTTATGTTTACGTTTTGTTCACACCATTCGTTAGAGCGTCCACTAAAGTTAAGGAATTGAAGTAAATTATAATTGATATAAAGGTAGTCGATGTGGGAATTTGCTGCAAATATATTATAATCCTAACGGGTAGTCAGGTATAATGTAATCTTTACCTCAGCAATTACTTATAGGGACAATAAAAAAAGGACACGAAATGTGGTTTCAACTTGTTAGGTACAAAAAGAAAGTTGTCAAGTTGATATCAATCCACCCACCAGGGTTAGCTGTTCTTTTGATTGAAAGACAGTACAACAACGGGACTGCAACTCTCCAACTTTGAGTCACCTTGACCAATTGGTTTTGAATCAGCTCTAATCATTCCGGGAAAGAATCAGGAAATAATCAAGCTTAGATTTGGACTCAAATCTCTTGATTGTGTTTTAGATTTGTAAGGAGTTTGGAAAAGTGTTTTTCACTGTTCATCCACTAAGCGCAAATCTAGCGTGATATGACTTTTGGCGATGGAAAGTGCAATACAAATAAGTGTATTTGGCCAAGTTTGGCATCCAAAGTTAAAACTTTGGGTGATGACAAGTGTAATATTTATTGATGGACACTAAGATTTCATCATATCTTGTAATAATTGACACATTAGTCTAATTATGTCAGGCAGATTAGGAATTTTACAACTGGGGATTTTGACAGAGATTTCATATCTCAATGAGGTTACATGGTTCCTACTGCTCAAATTCTGTCAAGCCATGGTTGCTCCCAACTCCTATAATTGCTCCATATATTATGCCGCGGTTTCATTTAGCAATCGTCTGCCGACGATATGCCAAAATAAACACTTTTGAGCTACCAATTTGTATCCTAAAACACTTGTTCCTGGTTAAGATCTCTTATAGAACAGGCCCAATGTAGCCCAGCCTAAATTATAAACAGATGAAGCCTCCAATATGTGTCCTACTCCACGAGTTGGCCTGGGCTCATTCTTACTTAGTGGATTGAAAAACAAAAGATTATATACAGACATGACTTGAAATCCAGTGCATTTTACACGAGGTTGATGCTAATCGACCAAGAAATTAAATCTTCGCTGGTTAAGAATTTCAATACTTGATTTAGAAAATCACCATTGATGATGAAATAAGATGCTTGGTTGTCGTATGACAGGATAAAACACAAATAAACACTTTCAACTTTACTATTTCTTTCAATGAAGGAAAACCAAAAAACGTATTTCTTCTTCTTTAGCAAAATTTAAACCCTTGTACCAATTCCCAACCCCTTCATGATCCATCCATGTTAAGGATGACATTTACCCGAGCAGATTTCGACCTCATCTTATTACTTAGAGTTATTTTTTTTAAATTAAATTTCAAATCAAATCAATAATAATAATAATAAATTTAAGATTTGATCAAATTTTAGGTAAATTATATATACATTTATAAAAAAATAGTTGTAATTAATTTTTTAATTATATAGATTATATTTATATTAAAAATAATATTTTATACTTAAAAATAATATTTTATTAATTTCAGATAAAATCATTTTATATAATATCAAATCGAATTAAATATAAAATAATTTTTAAAAAATTATATCAAATCAAATTTGAATATTAAAAGTATAAAATTGGATTAAGAACACAAAAACCCAGCGTCCCGTTGCAATTCCTAATCCATGTCCACGGCTGCCTGTTAAATTTGTCTCATAAATGAATGTATAGTAAGTTGCTGAAAAGTAGCTGGACAACATCGGCTAGTTATTAGGTTTGATATTGAAGACTGGGAAAGTTTTTCATCTTTTTCATTTCTTCTACAATCTTTAGCCCACCCAACCAATCTACCACATAATCAAATAACGAAAGCAAAGCTTAATTTAATTGATGGTATTAGCCTAGTCTACATAATGATGTGGGAACTGGCAGTCCAAATACATTGACAAATGGTTATGACAAATCAATCCAAGTTAATCATAATGTTATCATAACCAAAACCAAACTCACAATTAACCAAAAGCTCAAATAGTAGTATGTAATTGCATCATCCAAATCTTCTACAATGATCTCAGCCCAACTAAAGTCCCTTTAACAAAAAACCTTGTACGAGCTGACACTTGACAAAGATCTCAGAGGGTTCTTCAAGTCTTCAAGCATTTACATGTAAGTTCATGAGATCACATATATAATGAAGGGATAGCTCTACAATAGCTCAACCATTGAAAAAAAAAAAGAAAAATAAACACCCAAAACTCTAAAACTCTTGATATTTTAGCTAATAACACTCAAATCTTCCACAATTAATACAAAGCCAAAATTTACTCTTCTCCAATAGAAAAGAAAAACCCAGTTCAAAGCCTAAATTAATAACCTCATCGCCTGCAGCGAGTGATCCTGGAACAACCCCTAGTGTAAGGATGGACAGGGCCATGAGCGTTGAAACAGTTGTGAGTATAATAAGACCTGCCTGACCTTGGTGGACATGGGATTCTGTTAGCATAAAGCGCCCCGTACGAAATGTAATACCTCATTCTGTTCCAGTACAAGGATCTACGACTATACCCACTTTCCTCTTCATCATCTATCTCCTCATTGTCGTTTAAGTTACTGTAAAGCGACATTGAAAGTGGCCATTCTAAAGCATCTCTCATCAGCTCCAAGCTTGTCTCTTCAACTTGAGCTTCAACTTTTGAGCTTGAAAGGACAACGTAAGTGATGAAAAGGAGAAAAAGAAGCTTGTTGAGAAGTGAAGAAGCCATTGTTTACTGTCAAGTTGCAAAGATGGGGGGCTTGTTGAAGTCTGAAGAAGGGTGCTGTAATGAAAGTAGTACTGGTTTGGTAAAAGGGACAGTGGGGTCACGGGAGCAGAGATGTGTTTGGGTTACAGCTGTGCTGCATCAATCATCATTTAACGCGTGCCTCGGTTCTTGGCCTCATCAAAAAGGACTTGCCATCTTCTGTGTTGGAATTCACGGTTTTAGATTGGTTTAAGCCGTTTGATTTAGGATTTGTGTGGATCCATCCTAAGTGGCTCAATCAAGTTCGTTGAAGTGTGATGAGTTAAGTATATGGGTATATACCGGAGTGGCGAATGATAGGAGACATTGTGTACATGCGAGGGATGGGATGATGATGAAGGACGCGGCTGGCCGCTGGCTCCTGGCTGGACGGGGTGGGATTGGATTGGGCCGCTTGATTCCCTTTTGAATTTTTTTTTTTCAGGGGCATAGCCAGAGGAAAAAGGGGGAGGAAATCTTGAAATCAGGATTTTTATGTTCTTATAAAATTTTTTTAACTATTAGATTAAGAGGTGGAAGACGATTCCCTTTTGAATTTTAATTATGGTACTAATGTTGCAATTTAGAGAGATATATCCTTATTGATAGAAAATCAATCTTCTACAGATTATGTTATTATTTGAAGAACTTTTAAAATGTAGGTTATATATTGGAATTAGTTAGAAAGGAAAAAAAAGAAAGCAAACTCAAAATTTTAATTGCATTGCCTTAAATTTTAGTAGGCCAGATCATGTCTATATCAAAGTGATTAATGATATATTTTATTCAAGCTATTTAAGTCTTCCATCTTTTATAAGCTTGGTTGATTAAGCCCTTGGATTCTGTTATAAAATTGGACAGTAAGTTCATCAAATGAAAATGTCTTCTTCATTTATGTATATCAGCACCATAACATTCACATAAGAAATTCATGAATCATTACACAGACAGCAAGACTATCTCCTCTGTTTTTGTGGTCCATTTTTCATATATCTTTCTTTATCTTTAGATTTCTCTTCGTTATGCAAAGAATGGTTAGCTATCAGATAAAGAAAACCCTCAAAAACTAGCGATTTGACTCCAATTTCAGTTGGATAAACCGACTGGTCGACCCAAAAGGGTTATCCTTCCAATTGAACTATAGCGACAGTTCAGAGTTGTTTGGAGCTGATATTAAATCTTGACCTAGAGTTTTCAATAAATTAAGTTGGACCGCCAGGGCCTGAATTGGCACTTTGGCAGAGTAGAAAGGACCAGCATTTATGAATGGATCACTGTTTTTTTAGTGCTTGTGGGAAACTAGAAATTTGGAGTCACTGACCTGGCTCCATCATTGAAGCGCATACGGTCCTAACATGAAGATAGGCCAACTTATTTTCTCTGTCAAGTTTCAAAGTTCAAAATTCTCTTTGTGTCGCCTACGTTTCTATGAATGCATGAAAAAAAGGGTTCTCTCAAGTTTTACTGATAAACTGAATGACAAAAGCTTGACAATCTGAAAAGGTTGAATTCCCATTGCGACTTTTGTTTTGTTCATTTCCGAAACCTGTAAAAAAGAAGAGATCCATCCATGGTGTAGATTGGAGAATACCAGTGAAAAGAAAAACCAGGGAAGATTCGTGAGGAAATGGGACTACTTTTTGAGCAATGTAATTATCTGCTCTGTTAGTTCTCTTGAATAACAAGATGTAATCAAAATACTGTTTTTCTACTAGAATCATTTTTATGGGTGCTCTTCTTTTGTTCTTTCACTCTAATTTGGTTCCCTGGCCTGGGGGGCAGGAGATAGGGGAAGTTTAATGATATACTGATGCAGAATATTTAAATATTGTTTTTGAATTGCTAGAAAAATCTTGAATCTCAGACCCCATGTGCACTTCAAATGTGCTTGTCATGGTCCTTATTACAGCATCATTTTCAAAATACAGTGAGTTTCGTTTCTTGTTGTTAACTTGCAAGAAAAAATTTCACAGAATGGTTTTTGTATTTTTGCTCCAATATTGATGTTTCTTAATAGTTTTTCCCTGCAATTTTCACAGCATAATTGAGTATCCTAGCCTGTTGGAAGCAATCTTGTTAGCTATTTTTCATGTCATCTCAGACAAACTTCATTCGTATTGAAATCAATCAAATATATTGCCCTTTCTGTGGCATTTTTTTTTCTATATACAAGTTCATGAAAACTGAAAAGCAGCCTCACGAATGCAGCTGTCAGTTTAATTACTAGGCGTTAGAAACAAAGAAAAATTTTCACCCGAAAGCAGCCTATGCATACTTGTAGTGGAGGTCTGCATCACCGTCACCTTCTAATCCACCTTGAAAAGCGTGCCGAGGAAAACAGTGATGAGAGAGAAAAGAGAGAGACCAAAACTGTATCCACTGCAAATACATATATACCATCACCTCCTTAGGAATTAGGATATTGCCCAAGCTAGAATAATCAGTTAAGTCAGGAAGTAAAGTTCCAAATTGAATATTGATTGACCCCTTAACACCACCTCACAGCTGCTATTTAACTGTGATCATCAAAGTGTTTCCCCACAGTTACCGGAATCTTTATCAGGCACTGGAGTCCGCTAAGGGGTTGCCCTTCTGACAAATCTCATCTGACTGCGGGGTTTCAATAAGGTCGTCTTTCAGCAAAGTAAAATAAAAAATTTAAGGCAGAGCAGTCAGAGTAAGCACTTTGAGTACTCCTAGCCGCAGTCAGTCCATAAAAATGAAGTGGTTCATGCACCTTATTTGAACAATTCCTTAAATCCAAGCCATCCAATCTGTGGGCCTAAACGCGTGACCAATCGATCTTTTACACGTGTTGGTTTGAACTTTTCAGTTAGTTGGTGTTCCTGGTCACTAGATCGGATGGTTGATAGGATCAGTTAATAGAGTTAGCCCCACATAATGGGCGGTCACTATCAGAGATCACATATGCAATCATAAATGAGTTTTGGGGAGGGGACTTTCCTATCGGCTTTGCATGAAATTTTTAGAAATTTGGTCACAAGTTTTTTTTTTTGGTTTCAATTTGGTCACAAGTTGCTCTATAATTCCCTTCCACTTCCTTGCTTGATATCGGTGGTACTTTTTAATACACTTTTCATCTCTCCTTAACTCTCTGCACATATCACTGACTAAAACCCAAATTCTATAAAAGCTATCTTCAGCTACTCTCAGCTCCCCCATCCCCCTGCCATTCAGTCTTTCAGAATTATCAATTCCGACTTCCCCATCTCTCTTTCTCTCAACGCACGCACGCGCGCACTGAATTCAAGGAGTAAAGGGGAAGAGTTAGTGTAGTTTGGGTGAGATTCAATGGATGTTCACACGATCAAATCCTCAACAGAAGATCACGTGGATATGATGACAATGATGATGCAAATGGAAAAGCTTCCTGAATTCTGTGAGCCTTTCCAGAGCTCTTCCACATTGCCTGAAATCCACTTCTCCGATGGGACATCGAGCTCCACCATCCTACCCAAACCACCCATTTACCCACACCCAAATGTTTCTTCACTTAATACATTGATGACCCTGCCTTCCACTTTATCATTCATTGGCAATAACCCAGTTCTAGAACCCATGACTCCATCTCTCCAACCCAACAATATGGCCACTGGCAACAAGTTCAAATATCCAACTTCTTTCAACAATTTAAATTCATATCCTTCTTCAGTAGATAAGAAAACCTCCATGGCAGCAATGAGGGAGATGATTTTCCGTATAGCAGCAATGCAGCCTATTCATATAGACCCAGAATCCATTAAGCCTCCAAAAAGAAGGAACGTTAAGATCTCCAGGGATCCCCAGAGCGTGGCCGCCAGGCATAGAAGAGAAAGGATAAGTGAGCGGATAAGGATTCTTCAAAGACTTGTTCCAGGAGGCACCAAAATGGACACAGCTTCAATGTTAGACGAGGCCATTCACTATGTCAAATTCTTGAAGAGACAGGTGCAATCTTTGGAACAAGCTGCCATTAACAGGCCAATGGGTGTTGGGTTTCCAAGTGCAACAATGGCTAATGTGGGCTACTCCTCTTTTGTGAAAGCTTGCCAGCCATCTAACCATCATCAAGTTGTAGGCAATATGCAGATGCTTAGATAGGAGATAAAATTTAGAATTTAGTTGGTTCTTTAATGGGTAGTCGTGATGTTTTTGTTTACTTGTAAAGTGTGAATTTTACTTGTTCTTAATGTGCAACAGATAATTTCATTGCATGCTTTCATTATCTCTTATTAAACTTTTGAATATTCCTTTATATTTCTATTCTAAGAAAGACTTTTACATGAAATTTTATAAATGAGGTTGGTGAAATTTTTTATTAAAAATGATTAAATAAAATTTAAAATAAAAAATCAAAATCAATAGATTAAAAGAACTCATCACATAAATTAATCATGCAAAATTTTAAAAATTTTTAATAATTTTTGATACATTTATTAAATTGACATTTTTTATAAAAATATTGATAAAATTTTTACCATTAAATAAATATCGATTAAATTTAAATTATAAATAATATTTTAATAATTTTTTTAGATATTATTGATTTTTACATCCAACACAATCAGTCTATCAATTTAAATTTTTTATTAAAGTTTTTATTAAATAATTAAAAAAAAAAACTTTATAAATTTCACCTAAATTACTTTATATAAGTTTTGTCCCTCTATTGTTACCACCCAATGTGCCAGTAATCGTTACCCATCCAACCCAAAAAAAAAAAAAAAACCATGCTATTCAAACTTTAATCAGCAAAACACATGAAATAATGGAAAGATGAGATTTTTTTTTGGTGAAGATAAGTAGCATTTAATTTCCTTTCAAATGGACTATTTCCCTTTCCATACATGCATGGAAATTTCCTTTCATTTTGCGTGGTACCTAGGCTAGCTCACAGCTTATATCTAACCATCATATTCTCTGACATGATATTGAAGTATATGTGACAAAAATGAACGTTATAATAGATTGATATTTGGTGGTCCATGCCAATTTTGATTTTCTTGCAATTACACTTCAATTTTTCATTGGATTCGCTTAGATCAAATTTGTTTTAAAAAATATATTCGTCCCAAATATCTTCTATACATACCAAAAACAGTAACTAAACCAGTATTTTCTATTGTTTGTATATGATGATGATAACGATGATGATAATATAATAATAATAATTTTTCATTACTACTATATATACTCGCTGGTTATAGTTGCCGAGCATAGTAAATTGATAATGGTCATTGTCTCGAATTGAGAGCATGATGATCATCATCTCTGATATTGCTGGCGCTATGCATTTTTGTAAACCAAAATATGTTCATTATTTATCGACTAGAATTCACCATATATTTCGCCTCTACAATACTGTATATATATATATATATATATTACTCATACCTTACAAATATTGTTTTATTTGCATGTATTTATATTTCTTAAATAAATGCCTCATTTGAAAAAAAAAATTTCTTTAATTATGGTTACTCACTTTTTTTCTCCTTTTTAATATCAATGGTGATTTTGGAAAGAATATTTATAATCAATGAAAGTTAAAATATTTTTTAAATTTTTTAAATTTTGTACAAAATGAAAATCAGACGCAATATATAAAATGGATGAAGTAACACATTCTTAATTGACCACCGGTTAACTACTTTTCTCATACACATTCCATGAAGGAGTGCAAGTGGGGTTTAATTGCAAGGAGGTCGGCCAAATAAGTTTGGTTTGTAGAGTAGAGACTAGTAGAGAGTGTGATGCAATAATGACCTTATTCTTGCCTCTTTTTTAGGCATGATACAATGTGATAAAATGATACAAAAATGATACGAATAAAATATAAGAAGATAATATGATTTAATATTTTAGTAAAAATTATAAATAAATTTAATAAAATTTAAAAAAAAATATTTCATATTTTCACATCAATATAAATTATGATACGTAATTTTTATATAAAATATGATACAAATATAATATTTTATATGATATAAATACATAAATGACCTAATTTACTCTTTTTACATTCTTTAATTTAAGAAAAAACGATGGAGGGAAGGCTCCTCACTTGCTATGAATAATTTCGCCACCAAATACAAAGGATGAAGTGCTATATATCTCCAACCTTTTCATTTAAAAGGTTTCATAATCTTCTTTGTACATAAGTGCTATATATTAAATGAAGGGAAGGTGGGAGGTAGGTTGCCTCCCAAGGCAGGGTCGAGTAGTGTTAGTGTTCATGTCTCAAGGGTCATGCCTCACTAATAAAGCCACATCCCCCTCCTTCTAACTTAATGAATTACATATAGTGGACATTTAGAAGAATAGTTAAAGAAATATTTTTAAAAAGAGAATTAAAAATAAATGAAATGGTCAAACCTCATCTCATCAAGTAGACCCATGCGAGATATCCCACTCAGGCCCCAACATCCCCACACAAAGGCTTTGATTATTCGAGAGTGTAAGTATTTAGGACATTTTCCTAGATCGATCAAACCGGGCAATGTTCATTGCATCCTCCCTCTCTGACACATTCTATCTTCTGATCTATTGTTTCATACAATCCATTTTATCCATCTACCTCTTTTTTCCTTTTACGATAAGTTCTCAGATGTTCTTTCTGACAGGATAAAAGGGTATATATTCATGGAATTTCATTTTCTATATCTGCTCTTTCCTGCAAGGTTTAATTAAATATTTATATAGGCACAACTGACAGATTTATTGGTATCTCTCGCTATATTCGTTTTCTTTCCGTCCACTAGGGCTCTATTTGGAAGCTCGATTGAAACGATTTCATTACATCGAATGATGAGTTTTATGATTGAATATTTTTCATTTATAGCTTTTTTCTATTCATTTATTGAATTATTCAATAAAAAATAACTAAGGTTTTTATATTTAGTACAAGATTCAAATAAGGATAAAATTCAAATTTACCATTGAGTATCCCATTAGAGACACTTATTAGGGCCTAAGTCTTATACTTTTTCATTTAAGAAAAAATATGGTATATATAATATTTAGATGTATTTTAATTCCCAAAATATCATTGGAACTTATAAGAGACATTTATATATGAATGAGAGCTTCCTTTAAATTAACAGCAATGAATCATTTGGCAAGTTATATATTTATGAACTTCACAGGAAGATAAAATTAAATAATGGCATAAAGATAGAGGTCCAAGCAATTTAATTTTGGGAGTTGAGGCTATAATGAAAAAATGGTGATAGAAACATCCAAAGCTTTCAATTGTAAGTATATGCAAAATGGTGAACAAAAGAAAAGCAAGAAAGCAACTTGGGTTGTCCCTAATACAGAGATGGCAGTTAACCTGAATTGCATTTATGGATGGGAATCTTAAGATGAATTCATTGCAACCCAAAGCCAGACATATGAGATCAGGTAGACCAATTCTGGATCAAGATATTAATCCTTTCACTCCACCGCTAATGTATTGTAGCAGGCCTTGACAGGAACATGCAGCACTGGGTTGTGCTTGATTTTCTCGAGCCTTAGTGGCAGTATAGGTCTTTGGGGCAACTAGATTGACCGTCAGATCGATTGATTTTTGTTACAAATAAACACGCTTTAAAATTTAACCCAGTTGTTTTATGCTTTTACTTCAACAGCTGCTGCAAAACTGAGGATTGTTTAATGCAATGATATAATTCCTAGGTTGCCTATAGATGACCTGCAACTTCCCTATACAACCACCTTGTGACATGCATGCCTTTGCTTCAACGGCTGCTACAAGAGGCAGGTGAATGATCTTTCTTCAAACATAAATTAGCATTTGAATCATACAAATTAAGAGCGAAACCGAGATTTGTGGGGATTTTGGTTTTTCTTTTTGCGTTGCAAAAACTTGATGAAGAATAACACAAGAACTATATTTTGATGTGTTGGGATTAATTATTAAAAACTCATAATAGATTTATTTAAAATTAGTTAGATAGTACTTAATAAATAAAAAGATATGCAAAAATAGAATTTTAAGAGAGAAAGAATTTTTGATAGGCAGATTAGTATGATTATAAATAAATGAAATTTTTATAAGATTAAATATGAGAAAAATATATAAAAAGTTGTAGAGTTTTATTGGGTAGACACATATAGAACTACTAGAGATTAACGTTTTTATTGGTATATATATATATTTGAATGCTTGTAAGTGGACTAAAGGAGACCAAGAAAGTTCACACAAAATGATGATTGCTTTGTTTAGGTGGATTAGAGAAGATTAAGATATTCAATATAAGTATGAGTGCATATGAGTATGTATTTATTTGGGTTAAAAATATTTCATAAGACTAAAGGAGATTAAGAGGACCTAAGGGCATTAATTGTTGAGTGTTGATTAATATAAAATATATGTTTGTAATTCTATACAACTAGTGGATCTTTTTTTTTTCATCTGTAGACGTAAGTCAATTAAACTAGATTAGATTAAATTATTGTCTTTTATGTAATTAATTGATCGTTTAATTATGTTTCGATTGACTTTATTGTTTACTTGATTGGAGCTTTTTAGCCTAACACAATAGTAGAATGGATTCGGAGGTTTCAACCCAATTATACTAGATAAGAATTAAGGTGTAATCAAGCCAAATAATCGATATAGTTAGAAGTTTGAACTCAAGTTCGACTCTAAATTTGCAGTTTGAAACTAGGTTCTAGCTCAATTAAGTTTTAATTTTCAAATTCAAACTCAATTTGAGATAAAAATTGAGTTGTTCAAATTTGCTCGATTAAGTTCATTTAATAAAAATGAGTTCGATTTTTATACTCGATTTTAAATTTGATTATGTGTTTGAACTCAAGTTCGAGCTCAAATTGATATATATATATATATATATATAAGCATAAAATAGTAATTTTTAAATTAAAATAATAAAAATATATTAAAATTTAAAAATTTAATTAAGCTAACGAAATGTTCGAATCGAATATTAAGATGTTCGAATTTGATACACTTTATAAATTGAGCTGTTCGAACTCAAATTAATAATGATTGAGTTAACTTCAAATTTTATTCAAATTGAACATATATAACTTACTAATATTGATATATAATTTATGAGTATTAATATATTATTTATATTAGAATAGATAACTATTTTTTAAGTAAAAAGAGAAAAGGTTTCAACACAAAAGCCTTAAATCTGGGCCCAATTAGAGTTAGCTTAGTGGCCTTTAGCATGGAACAGGCGACATGGTGATGGACTCAAAGCCAGCCCACGGTAGTCCGCCAACCATTCAAATTTAGCCCAACTCGGCTATAAACAGGAAGCCAACGCGATCCACTCTCCGAATCGCGATAACAACTCAAAGCGGCACGAGCGAGCGAGAGGTAGAGAGATCTTCTTCTGCAAATTTTAGGGGTTTGGATTAGTCAGGTCAGTGAGCGCCCAAAAACGATAAAAAGGAAAATTTTTTGTAATACTTGTCGATTACTACTACAATTGATCACCTGTTTTTAAAATTAAATTTTTATTTTTCAAAAGAAAAAAAGCAATGAATTGATTTCGTATTTGGTGATGATTATGTGTGAGAAAGAGCGTGTGCTTATTGTGTGCAGGAAGAGGAAGAGGAAGAAAGAGGAAGAGACAGAGTGCGAGAGATTTATTAAGAGAGGATTTGTGAGTGTTTTTTTTAGTGTGTTAGGGATTTCAACGATTTTCATTTCTCAGCTCAAATTCTCTGCTTTTCTTCATGGACCGAAAGCTTGTGGTTAGTTTTGTTTTCCTAACCCTTGTTATTTTGGTGAAAGATTGGGTTTTTATTACTGGGTCTCTTGTGATTTTATCGAATTTGATCAATTTTCATTTCGTAGGTTTTGGGAATCCCATGGGAGGTGGATACTGAAGGTTTGAGGGCGTATATGAGTAAATATGGTGATTTGGAGGATTGTATTGTCATGAAGGTTTCCCCTTTTTCCATTTATTTTATTTATTGACTCAATAATTTTTTTCTGGATATTTCTTTGCGTTTTAGCTAAGGATTGCTTTATGTATGGAAAATTTTGTAATTTTCTTCACTTAAATTGCGTGGGTTGGTATTTTTCTGTTATTTTAAATCGTCTTCCTTACTGGGCATTTCTCTGGATGTCAAGAATTGTGAAAGATTTCAAATAATGTAGTAGTATGTGTTCACTTTATCCTTGGTGTTTGGACTAAACTCTGCTGCAGCATTATTATGATGCTGAGGTTTATTTTCTAAGGTGCTTTTGAGGTCAGGAGGTTCTTGAAATCTTGATGGTAGAAATTGGTTCATAGTTAATATCAGTAATTGCATGTTATGTTAATTATTTGTTCCAAATGGTGGTGGCTGATGTGTCAGAGAGGTATATACAAGAATTACTAGAACCTTCACTCTATGTGAAAATAGCCCAAGCTGGAGCAAGTGTTTTTCAGTTTTCTTCTATGCAAGTTTTTTTATCACGTATTACCTAGGTTAGAATCTTGAGAATTGTTAAATTTTGTGGATAAGTTCCTTTTCCTTTTTTTTTTTTTTTATGTTGCTTATCAATACTAATGTGCTTTTTCTATTATCTAGGAGCGATCCACAGGCCGATCTCGTGGTTTTGGTTATGTAACATTTGCATCAGCTGATGATGCTAAGGTAACCATTGACCTTCTCACTCCTACTGTTTTCTTTCTTTCCCTTACCTTTAAACCATGTGATGACAAATTATTATTTGTGTTTCATATTCTACAGAATGTGCTATCAAATGAGCATTTTCTTGGCGAAAGAATTCTGGAAGTTAAAATAGCTACTCCAAAGGTTTCATTATATAAACTTTAATAGTTGCCCTTTTTGAGAAATTTTATCGATTTACTAGTCTTTATCTATTCATTATCAATAGCTTCATTGTATCATACTTGACAGGAGGAGATGAGAGCACCAGTTAAGAAAGTAACCAGGATATTTGTGGCCAGGATTCCACTAACAGTGGATGAATCAACCTTTCGGAGGTAATGCCTTTTTTTTAAGCTATTTGCCTTTTATTCTTTGAACATGATTTGTCAACTCTACTCAACAGGCCATGCCTTTGTTGGTTTGAGTTGACTAATCCTGTTTAAAGGGTAAAGAACAAATAATGAGTTGACTTGTCAGCTATGTGAGGAATTAACATAACAATCAATATATTCTTCTTTGCAGTCATTTTGAGGAGTATGGTGAGATTACAGATTTATACATGCCGAAGGTACTCCCTATTTGTTCATGTGTTTCTATGGTTGCATATAACAGCTTTCTTGGTAGAGTTTTCTTAGATGATTATTAAGTATGAGTTTCGCAGGATCAAGTCTCAAAAGCTCACCGTGGAATTGGCTTTATCACTTTTGCTAGCGCAGGTCAGTTTATGCTGCTCCTGGCTTATCACCTTTCATTTAATTTTCTGCATCAAATGGTTCACATGCTTGTGTTCAACTTTTGGGTTATTTTATTTGGTTGTCTACGAGATAAAAGTGCTACAAGTTATCTACTTCTCTGTTTTTCCAATTGAAAATCCAAGTTGTATAGTTAAGAATTGTCTGTTACTTGTTCAAATTTAGTTATATCGGGTTCTCTTCCTCCACTCCTGTTAAGTCTAACAGTGAGAAGAAGGTTAATACGTGTTCAGTGTTACAGATTCTGTGGAGAATCTGATGGCTGATACTCATGAACTGGGAGGTACTACAGTAGTAGTTGATCGAGCAACACCCAAGGCAAGTTACATGACTGCTGGTGTTTTTTACTTTTTAACAATTTACCTGTTTTACATACCTGCAGTTCAAATTTGATCTTTTAATACAGGACGAAGCACAATTTAGTTTTTATATTCTATTTCCCTGTCAATTTCACATATATACTCAATTTGTGGGGTTAATATCACTAACTTGATATTATGTTGACAGGAAGATGACTTCAAGCCCATTGGCAGAATGTCACAGGGGGGATATGGTGCATACAATGCTTACATTTCTGCTGCCACTAGATATGCTGCACTTGGTGCTCCTACCTTGTATGACCATCCTGGCCCTGTGTATGGAAGTAAGTTCCTTCCCTAGCAGAGACTATGATTTATCTAATTATCATTTATTCATGTTTTCATTTTTTCCCTTTCTGTTGAATTAGGAGGGGAGTCCAGTCGAGGAATGGGCAAAAAGATATTTGTTGGCAGGCTTCCTCAGGAGGCTACTGTTGATGATCTTCGCCAGTATTTTGGTAGATTTGGTCGTATACTAGATGTTTATGTACCTAAGGTAAGGTGATGAAATATCATATACAAATGATAGATAATTGAAGCCTCCTTTTGAAGGTTTGGATGCTCCTTTAATGTAGGACCCCAAGAGATCTGGCCACAGAGGTTTTGGTTTTGTCACTTTTGCTGAAGACGGAGTTGCAGACAGAGTATCTCGTAGGTCACACGAGATTTGTGGGCAACAGGTACATGGAAACAAGTCTATAACTTATTACCTCATACTTGATTGCCGTACATCTGAGGCCTGATAACGATAAACTTACTTTTTCTTCATTTTCATGAGTTTTTATGCATGATAAGATGTTAAACAGGCCAAGTTCGTTTTTATGCATGATAGGATATTAAACAGGCCAAGTTCATGGATGATATGTTTATGTATATCCTGCCATGATAGCCATTTTCTGGTTATGGAAATTAACTCTAGTTCTCAGGTTATGCACTGAAATTTTTAGGATTCTCAATTATGATTTATTGCCATGAATTGATTGGAAAGCCTCAATTTATTATTGTTACTGCTGTGGATTGGTGTGGTAACTCCATTATGCACTGAGGTCATCATGGAGTTTGTATGGCATTTTAATCCCAAAAATGTGGTTATGACCAATTACAAGAAATCTTTTGCAAGGCATTTGCTTTTAAAAATTTTCTGCAAACTGGGGAGAGAAAGAAGAGCAGTTCCACGTAAAGAAAAAGGATTTTGAGATCATCTTGCTATGACTACAAGTTAAAATGGTTAAATTCATTTAATTAGTCCTATCTAGTTCACCATTTTTGAAAGGTTCAAAGAGTAGGTGTGCATTTATAGGTAAGCCTGCTCATCTGCTGTTAGTTCTGTCCCTTCATTTAAGTTATTATTTCAAACTTCTATTCTCTCTACATTCTATAAAATGCAATCAAAATGCCATAATTTATGTTGATTTAAACTCTTATAATTTTACATATGAACTTGCTATAGGTGGCAATAGATTCAGCAACACCTGTCGATGATGCTGGCCCTAGTTTCATGATGAATCCTGCTGGACCATTTAGAGGTTTTGGTGGTCCAATGCGCCCCTATGGTAGGATGTATGAAGGCCTGCATTTTGATGATGTGAGTATATATGCCTATAGAAGTTTATTTGGAAATAACGATTTAAACAATTACTTTAGTACTTAGGTGCGCTTTCAAACAAAGATGGAACTGATTGTGAAGTTATCCGAATTCTTAGGATGAGGAAAATCATTTAGATTCAGACAAAGAGTTCATTATGACCTTATCTTATGCGTTAAGTATTTTATGTTAAGCAGTGGGGTTATGCGATTGGGAGTGCAAGGTCATCTCGAGCAGATTGGCGGTACCGGCCGTACTAATAAGTGGCCATGGTATAGCTGTGGAGAACTTTATGGGATGTCAACTATTGAACTTATTAAATTATCAAGATTAATGCCTGATGTCATTGTCAGTATCTTTTATTTTGATTATAAATCATGTTATATGGAGCCATATTTTTTAGTTTCTGTAGAAAATATTCCAGTTGAAGTCTATTTTTTTGGCCAATCAGTTTAAGTCTCTAATTAATGTATTTTAACACTGTATATTATCAGTTTTAACCAAACTTTTTCATTGCCGAAGTTTAAAACTTCCTATCAATGGTATGTGAAGTTTCAATTATTAGGCATATATGCCAATATTTACCGAATTGTTGCTATATGCCCTGTTAAATATGAAGCTAAGCTTGTGTTTTTGTGTTTAATACCCCAAAGACCAAAGGTTGTTTCACTGACTTAAAAATCAGTTAAGTAATAGATAAGACCAACCTATTGACTTGTCAGTGGACTGCGAAAACCATAAGAGATGATATTTCCTGATAAGTAATTTTATGTACAAAAGTCCCATCTACTAAGAACAAGAGTTAGAATCCCGCATTCTCTTGGGCCAGCAAATGGTCCAATTTAGCTGCTCTAACTCAGAATGGGAGTCATCCTAAAATTCTAAGATATTTTATGTGGGAAGAGTAGGGAAGCCAAGAAACCAGCAGGCATTTACAAAATCTGGAGTCTGCAACTCCATGGTTAATAAATATACCTGGTGGTAACGATTTGAGCCAAAGGAGATCAGATCCCATTTCAAGAAACTAGTAAGCATGGCAGGCGAAGCAACTACTGAAGGAACTCATGCGGATATGGAAGAATGTAACCTTCTGTGAAGTCCTAGGAATCTGTTCATCCTCCTTGCCTGATATTGAATTTCTCATTTCTTGGGCTTTCATCTGAGCCATCCTCAGTTTGTTCAAGATCTTATCTATTGATGCTGATCTCTTCTTTTCCAATTTCATCTGATAGAAAAATACAGTGCTGTATCTTAAGCTAACAATAAAAAGGAATATGATCTCAAATAAAATGAAAAGGTAAGTAGAAAATGCAGGAAAAGATCTTAAGAAAGCTTAAGCTATTTGGATAGAGACACAATAAACAGAATTCTTGTGTGCATGTGAACCTCCAGTTTTCGTATGGCTGCCTCAGCTTTTGCCCTCTGCAAATTCTCCCATGCGCAGATCTTTGCTTCCTCTCTTTGCAACCTGCAAAACAAGTCAAAAAGTTCTTTTGGAAAAGCTCCTTTATGTTTCTGACAATTTATCTCACTCAACTACTCCCCAAGTTTCTGTTGAATATAATAATGGTGCATTTTTATTTAGGAACTGAATATTGGAAATTTCCTTCGACGTTAAAGCCTATAGCATTGAGTGACAGAAGTTGAAGTAAAATTCATCTATGGTTGGATTCCAGGAATGCTGGAAAGTTTGGCCGCCCTGCCCGAAAGAAATATCAAACAAAGAAACGCATTATATTGGCAGTTACTAGTCGGTGAAAATTATGTTATTTACTAAATCCTATATGGGACACAGAGCTTATCTTTGTCCCCACCATTGAAAGTTACATTCCAGACTTCATAAAGCAAGGCAGAATATGTATTCATCGAATTTCAAGATTCATATTAAGCATTAATGTTGCCTCAAATTGGAGGAGGCGGGACAGAAATTAAGGGAAGATGCAATAAAACATACCTTGAAATGCTTGTTGCTGCCTCTGAAATATCCAGAGAAAAAGCAGAAACTGCCGTGCTGTTTTGATTGAATTCTTCAAAATCCGGCACCCCTTTCTGGATTCTTATTGATCCATGTATTTTGGACCGGTTAGTCATTGTGGCTCGTTTGTCTATCTGCACTTCCCTGATGTCCAATTTAGAAGGAAGATCATTGTTCTCCACAGCAGGAAGAGGAGGCGAGTGGCAAGGGGAAGACCTCTCTCTGGGAGATGAGTGGCTGCAACAGCCCTCGGGGCTCATTTGTGTTGCCATATCCCTCTGTGAAACTACACGAGAGATCATCATTTCTGATTCCTTGATTTCATCAAGTTTCTCATCTGCAACAATTTGATTTGATTCAACATCAGAAAAGTTGTACACAAACAAATCATGCAACAATGTAGAAAGTGCCTTACATCTAAATCATTCGTTAAAAACTACACTGAAGATTTAGCCTTCTAATAGTTTCAACTGTCAATCCATGACCATATCTATTCTATTCAAGTGTCCTAGCCCCCCAAAAAGATGATTCTAGTGTAGTGACTGCAGTTCCAAGTTACAAACTGAAGCACAGACCTTTTTCAATTTGAAGGTAACATTTTACAAAATCGATGTAATTTTAATCACATTATATTTGTTCTACACACTTCATTATCGGTTGGCAGGCAGGATTTCCACAACAAAGAGGTCCAAGCAGCTCTCAAGTCTTAAATATGATTCTTCAGCTCTCAAGGTATGTCTGTCTACACAAGGAAGTTCACAGATTCCATCCAGATGCATTTTTAAGAACTTTATTTACAATTAATCATTACTGGTTAGAAATTAACAGAACTGCGATTGATTGTTGGAATTCTGATATGCAATTGGGAGCCTGATCATGTGCAAATTCATGTTCTTTAACCTCCATAATCAGATCAGCAGATAAGTACTTGGAGTATAGCAGCGTAAGTTAAAATTGCAAGCAAAATGATACTCAAAACAAAGAAAGAACGCTAATACCTTGAGAACTGGGCAATGAAGATTCACTAACCAAATCTGACCATCCAGGTATAATTGCCGATCTTGCCACATTACTGTCATTCTGCACCATACAAGATTGCCTGCCGTCACCATCTCCACCAGCATCAGGAGCTGTACAACCACCATAATGAACAGAAACCCCGTCAGCCATCAAAACCCCAGTTGAAAATGGAGAGCCTGCCATCAAATTCCTCACGGTCCCACCGCCTCCACCATCAAGGAGCTGCATTGAAGGCGAGTAATTGGAGTAGAAAGCAGTACCAGGAGGCACAACAGGACCACTGTTAGACTTTGGCCGCCTCTGAAGCTGATAGTTTGCATTCTTGCTAACACCATAACCCAAAACAGGGCTACAAATCCACCTCTCGGCATCTTCCCACTTGGAAGGCAATGTTCTACCACTATAAAAAGATGTCAAAGATGAAGCACTGATATGTCTTCTGCTACTACCATTGCTATTACCTGGATGAGGCACCCTCTCTGAACTCCACCCTTTTGAAGCCACCACCACGCCATTATCGCGGTAATCTGATGGTCCCGGGCTTGGAAAAGTACCCAGATGGCTCAAAGAAACAAAACCTTTCTTCATTCACTCTCTACCACCAAAACAAGAGTCTTAGCCTGTTTGCAAAGACAGTGCCACAAAAGCCACCTAGACTTGAACAAATAATAGTGATATCGGTTTGCTGGCAATGTTGTCTAAAAGGGTTATTGAGACAATATGAAAGAATTTGTTTGAAAGCTGATTTTTACTGTTCTTTGTGGCAAAGTATTCAGCTGTTTTTTAATTCTAGCATTGTAGGAAGCTATCCGTTTATTGGGTACAAAGATTTGTTTGCATCTGGACAAACCTCATGATGGGTTGCTTCATTGAGATTGCAAAATGCCAAATGCTGCATCAAATCATTGTACACAAAGGCCAGGAATACTAGTATTAGTTGAAAACTCAGATTTCGACCATAAAAGAGAAAAAAAAAAAAAAAGAAAAGGAAGACTCACATTCAAGTAAAACCACATCCACATGCATATATAAGACAACAAAAAGGCACCCAAAAAACAGTATAGTGAATATCCAAAGAACATTGAGCGATGAACAATAAGAACAAGGCGGTTTGCCAACGGGAAGACTCCCTTTGAATGGGGTTTTCATTTTATATATTGAGTTTGAAGATGGAGACTTAAGGGTAGAAATACATATAACACATTTTTCACATTTTGCCTTTTTTTTTGTTGTTTTTTTATTATAGAAAAAAAAAATCAAACCTCATGCATTTAATTCAAAACATATGATCTCTGTTTGTCTAGTTCATTTCCCTAATATTAGCTCCTAGCTTTTAAGCCATGTTTATGGGTTTGTTTATTTGTACTAGTGTTATTTTTTTTTTTAAAAAATTTAATCCCATCTTTTATGCAACTAGAGTGTTGACAGAAAAGATTTCACATTTTTAATAACTAAGAATTGGATTGTGATTTATAAATAAAGATTTATACTTTCTCAAATGATACATCTTTTTTCGAAAAACAAAATCATAAGGATACTTGTAAAATAAATAATATCTCGCAAACGGAGCAAAATTCAACAATTAATCTTTGAACCAATGGAAAATTTTTACAGTTGTATTAAAAAAAAGTTGGGAGAAGGATATAAAATTTGAGATCTTTTTCTTAGTAATAAGTTGTGAATTGTAATATCTGTATAAGAGGGAAATCAATTTGAATTTGTATTTAACACTTACCTGACTTAACCTTAGATTAATTTATAATGTAAGCTTATCATATTACATATTTATCATTTATCCTTTGCAAAAATATGTATATAAACACATTACAAAATATAATTGAATCAGGCTTTTCAACTGCAAATTCTATCCTTTCTTTATTAATTTGTTAAAACATAGCTTCAAAATAAATCTCAATAGTTAAAAAAAGAATAGATTAAATCTAGTAATTTACCTTTTGATCAGCAAAGGGTTTGGAAGTTGGTCCCTCCCTTCTCCTTTTGGTCTCATTTTTCATTACAAGAAAAACAATAGCCCCAACAGATAGCTATAGTATAAAAAATGTTAAAACGATACTGATGCCCTTTGCTCTGTGTAGGGCAGTGACCCTACCCCAAATATGTTAGGATGTGGACATCAAATCAAATTATTATAAACTATAATATTATAAAAACCTTATACGGTTAGAATTTCTGTTCCCAATGGCATTTCCACCGCTTCTTAATTTATCCGTTTCTGTATTAAACATTTGCCTCATTATTAAATTTTTGTACTTTTATAGTTTCAGAATTTTTTTTCATATATTTGCCTAGGTTTTATGCCAATATGAACAGCAAAATAACGGGTTTTTTATTTGAAATTATTAAAATTAAAAGCTTTGTAATAATTTGATTAAATATGTGGAGTTTTGCATAAGTATTATATATTTTAATTTAAAAATTTTACAATTTTATCTTATAAAAAATATTTTATAAATATATATTTAAAATTTAATTTATCATAACATATTTTAAAAATATACCGACGTTCATCCAACATAAAACACAAGCAAAATTAAAAAATTAAAATCACACTAGATATTAAAATTTTAGAGGTGACTCTTATTATATAATACTTAATTTTTATTTAATGGGTAATTACTTTTATACAATTTGTAAAGATTCATATTTTATCTGTCAGATATTATTTATTTTTATTTAAAAATCTCTTGATTTTATCTTACAAAATGTACATCATAAATATATATTTAAATTTCAATTTATATATCACAATAATTATTGACTTAAATATTTTGATGTGAAATTGGTTATCACAAAATAATCATTGACTTAAATATTCATGGTTAAAATAAGAATTTTTTAAAACATTTTAAACTCATAATCCTAGGATGGTTTTTTGTAAATGTTTATAATTTTTAAAATTACTATATAGTTTTAAAATTTTCAAATATGAACAGAGTCGTTCATATCTATATGTTTATCAGTCAAGAATTTGCATTTGATAAATTGGACTCAAGAAAATTGTAAAATATATTGTAAAAGGTCTGGTTTTAGTATCAAGATAACTTAATTTTTTATTTTCAATTAACCCTTTTTCATAAAAAAAAAATATATAATTTTCTCAAATTTGATGAAAATTGTAAAGATGTAACTAAAGATATTGAGAAATGCTCTTAAGACACTCAACATTAGGACCTCAAAATAATTGTGACATTGATTGAGAGAATTTATTTTTCTTAGAAGCATTTATTATGATGTCAGATGTTGTTTTGGGGTCCCGATTCCTGGAGATTTTTGTCCATTTAATTAGTTGCAGTCAAACGATGCACTAGATTGGTACATCTTTAGATGTTTTTAGAGACAATGATCTTGAATTCTTCATCAATAAAATATCAGCAAATTGCTTCCTTTTTTTTTCCATGAATTTTGCTTCAAAATTCAAAGAGCCACACTCGTAAATAAAATTTAACTCAATTTTGTGTGGAGAGGATTTGATGCTTCCCAAGCTCATGGACCTTGAAAGTTACATCTGTATTATTGGAGCTGGGAAGAGCTCTAGGGTTTTCAAATTTTAGATGTCATAATTTTAAATATTAGTATTATGATATGAAAATAATATAATTTAAAATTTTAGTAAAATTATATAAATTTAATAAAAAATATATTTTTATATTTTTATATCAATACAATTTATTACACAAATTTTTTATAAAATCTCATATAAATATTTAAATTATTAATATTTTATATGATATAAATATATAAATTATATGATTTAAATATATATATATATATATATAAAGAGTTATACGAAATGATTATTCAGACTTCCGAGGGAATATTTTTATATGAATACAGGACTTGTATGAAAATTCCCAGCTGAGGATTTGGATAGGTTTGTTCTTGATAATAAACTTATTCTGAATTAATAGTATTGAAAACTACTCTTCTTGTCCTCAGCCAATATGGCTCCTGACCGAACGGAAGCCACGTTTTAAAAGCTGATCCATAACCAATCACATTGTCTTTAGGTGGTAAGGTGACTTGACTGACATCTGATCGTTGTTTCCAACCATTGAAACTAGACACAGTTTGGCACCACCATCATCGTCTATTTTGTTTCAAAAGTTTTTTTTTTTTTTTATATATATATAAAAGATGTGAAAGCCGAGAGAATAATCATAAAAGAAAATTTTGCGAGAGTTAAAAATCAAATTTGAGAGACATAGTGTACAATTACAATTGACAACAGTTCAAAAGAAGAATATTGCCTTGAGTAACTTTTTTCTAACGTAGGCGGTTGACCACATGAAGTTTTATGAATCAGGATGGCATTTAATAGTGAACCAAACCTAATCTATATGTGAAGATAATAAATTTTATGATAAATTGTATTTATCCAACAGTACTTCCATTGAAGAGCAACCATCACCCCCAATTCCAGTAGGATGAGGCTGGAAATTTGAAGTGGAAAATATTTTAAATTTAATAACAGATAAGCCGACCACCACAGAAAAGATGGACGTGTGTCAAATAACAAAGATATTTCTTACCAAGATGTTGTGGTGGGATTTTAGACTACTGCCACATGGCCATTGGAATCACCATGGTTAGTGCGGCACAATTCTTGACTTCACATTCATGTGTGATTGGCTTATGTTCTATCACTTCCTTCTCTTTCTCCCTCTGTCGAATTGGGAAAAAATCTGTTCAATTTGCTTTCTCCCTTACCTTCCTTGACTCTTCTGAAAACAACTGTAACCATAAAGTGTTTTCATCTGATAGAAGGAAAACATATTTCTTTTTTTTATTATTAAAACCAACAAACAAGGCCTTGAAAGTTGAAAAGTCTTTTTTTTTTTTTGGCAAAACAATGGCTGCAACTTCATTTCAAAACCCTTCATCAATTCTTTTTACAGGAACCCAGTTTCCAGTTTCCATCTCTAATTATATTCCAATAGAATCCACGCCTTGTATGTATTGTAGTTACCATTTTAGAAGCAGAGCAAGTAACAGAAAGAAGGGACTTTTACAAGTAAAAGCTACAGTGGCAGCCGGAACCCAAAGTGTTTCAAAGTCAGGTGAGAAAAGTGAATTTGATGAGAATCAATTGGAGAAGAAGAAACTGAGGATATTGGTTGCTGGGGGTGGTATTGGAGGATTGGTTTTCGCATTGGCTGCAAAAAGGAAAGGTTTTGATGTGGTGGTGTTTGAGAAGGATTTGAGTGCTATAAGAGGTGAGGGGCAATATAGGGGTCCAATCCAGATTCAAAGCAATGCATTGGCTGCTTTAGAGGCTATTGATATGGAAGTTGCTGAGAAAGTTATGGAGGCAGGGTGCATCACTGGAGATAGAATTAATGGATTGGTTGATGGGGTTTCCGGTACTTGGTGAGTTTTTACTCTGTACTAAATACTGTTGTTTGGCTGCCTTGTCTAAATATTGGTTATAAGAATCCAATCGCACTAAATGATATATGGTTTAAACAGGTACATCAAGTTTGATACATTCTCCCCTGCAGCAGAAAAGGGGCTTCCAGTTACAAGAGTTATTAGTAGGATGACGTTGCAAGAAATCCTGGCTCGTGCAGTTGGGGAAGATGTAATTTTTAATGACAGCAACGTTATTGATTTTGAGGATGATGGACATAAGGTAATATGAGTTGCTAATTGGTCAAGATCTTCTATTGTAGCTAAAGGAAAGCATAATCTTCTTCTATTTACTAGTTTCTTTTAGTGTTTTGCAAACTGGTTTGGCTAATTCTTTTGTAGTGACATTTTATTTTTTGTAATTATGTAATTTAAAAGTTCAGGTTACTGTGGTTCTGGAAAATGGACAGCGCTATGAGGGTGATCTTCTAGTTGGAGCTGATGGAATATGGTCCAAGGTACCATTTTATTTAATTTATTTGTATGACAGAACATAGTCTTTGTTTGTTTTTAGACACTGGATTGTTAACAACCTATCCTAAAGCTTGCTTTGACAACACGTCCCTGACAAATTGGTTACCAAACTTTCAACTTAGCTGAAACAATTGCTAAAATCTGTTTGCTATATAATGCCCAGTTGTATGAAGAAAAGTAGAAAACTCAGGTATAGGAAAACATGGGCTGACCTACGGTGGGATGGACAGTATATGAGCTAATCCTTAACTCTAAAGTCTAAACTTTGGTCAGCTAGATGAATTCTTTTCATTTAGTTTTCTGTAATTAAACTAAATCAAGATCGAAATGCAACTTGAAGTTTTCACCAATAGTGACACCGATTGTTTCTTCCCTATTGTTCAACCCTTGAAATGTTGAAGCAGTATCATAGTTTGTGAAATTTTCCTCTACAGGTGAGGAAGAACTTATTTGGGCCAAGGGAAGCTGTATACTCAGGCTACACTTGCTATACTGGTATTGCAGATTTTGTGCCTGCTGATATTGAGTCTGTTGGGTATGTTCCATTTTGCTTTGTATTAATATGATCGATATTACATTATAAATTTGTGTTTTTTACAAGCCATAGGAAATTATTAGAATGTATTAGGGCTTTGCTAGTTGCCTACACTAAAACTTCTCCTCTGAAGGTACCGTGTATTTTTGGGACACAAGCAATACTTCGTTTCCTCAGATGTTGGTGCTGGAAAGATGCAGTGGTATGCATTTCACAAGGAACCAGCTGGTGGTGTGGATAGCCAATGTAAATAACCTCCGATGTTTTATTTTGTAGAATTCAGTATATAAGCTAGCAAAATCTTTGAAAGAGGCTTCAGTTGCCCTGAAAGTTATTTATTTTGTTTATATTTCAAATTCAAAGATATACATCTTTCTTTTAAATTTTCAACTAGTAACAGTGCTCATATTTGTCCCAACCTATTATAGGATTTGACTGTTAATTTCAAAATCTGTTAATGTTTTTGCTTCTTGTTTTCATCTTTTTGCAGGTAAAAAGGAGAGGCTACTTAAAATATTTGAGGGTTGGTGTGATAATGTGATAGATTTGTTACTTGCTACTGATGAAGATGCAATTCTTCGACGTGACATATATGACCGAACACCCTCGCTAACTTGGGGAAGGGGGCGGGTAACCTTGCTTGGGGATTCTATCCATGCAATGCAACCAAATATGGGTCAAGGAGGATGTATGGCCATTGAGGTATGACTGGAAACCATTGTGTTGGCAGTTCCTTTTTTCCCCAAATTTAAGTATTGCCTATGATCAGATGCCCTTGATAAACTTATATATGTTATTAACATCATGTGTATTTTAATACTGTATATCGTGTTTTCCTAATAATCGGAAGGATGTCAGGTTATCCAAGCGATCTTCGTGCCAAAAAAACACTTCCTTTTTCATTCATCTTTGCAGGACAGTTACCAATTAGCATTGGAACTTGATAAGGCATGGAAACAACATATTGAGTCAGGGACTCCTGTTGATGTTGTTTCTTCTTTAAAGAGGTAATATAATATTTTCCTTTTCCTAAATAGTTCGAAAGGGGAAATGATTGTAAAAGGAGGTCAAAACTGCATGTTCAATCAAAAAATTATATTGAGAAAGCTCTCATCTGTCAGATTGAATTGTTGAATTAAGTGTTTCCTTATTTTTCTTGACTCAAGTGCTTAGTAGGCAAAGAGTCCTTGTAAACCATGGAAGTAGAACATCATTAGCAAGTATCTTATGGAAAACTTTGGTAAAATTTACTAAATTTAACAGATTCACTCATCACAATCTAGATTTTATCTGAAAACTTCCTATGCAGTCTACCAATAATGATTTCTTTTCATTATGTACGATGTCCATATAACCAAATTACATATATGTTACTGGTCCACTATATCCATTTTCTGCAATCTGAAACTGATTCTCCTAGGTGACTCTTTTATTTCACAGCTATGAGAAGGCTAGAAGACTGCGAGTTGCCATCATCCATGGAATGGCAAGGATGGCTGCAATCATGGCTTCAACTTACAAGGCTTATTTAGGTGTAGGGCTAGGTCCATTGTCGGTAAGAATCCATTTTATGTAAGTTAATAATAATATAAAGTCAATAATTGTGCAACAACTGCATACATAATCACCATGGAATCTGACCTCCTTTACAGTTTTTGACAAAATTTCGGATACCGCATCCAGGAAGGGTTGGTGGCAGATTTTTTATTGACTTAGCAATGCCCTTAATGCTCAATTGGGTCTTAGGTGGTAACAGGTTAGATCTTTAAATGCCTTTTTTCCTCTGCTTCTATCTATGTCTGATTTTCAAGCATTTTTCATTATGGACCATCTTTAGAAGAGTTAGCTTTCAATACCAGCTTCTGTTTTTCAATTTTTTCTTTGTTTCAGAGTTTATTCCTACCAATGAGTTCTTTGATGGTATTGCTTCACCTTTCAGCACTCATGAAATGGCACTATGAACCTACGGTTAACAAAAAGTTTTGGGTGCCAAAAACTTATGAAATTGCAGAAGGATTGAAATTGGGGGAAGTGCTAAGGGGATTTAGATAACCGTCTAAAAAAATTCCAAAGATCCTAGGACGAAGTTTCTGGTTTCTTCTTCCTTCTAAAAATGAATTGATTTGTTTGCAGCTCAAAACTTGAAGGAAGGCCCTTAAGTTGCAGACTCTCAGACAAGGTATGCTGCTTTTATGCTACTGATTCTGCATAAATGGCTAGCGAAACCGTTTGAAACATCTGTTAAAATAATTTCTTCAGGCAAGTGACCAACTGCAGACGTGGTTTGAAGACAATGATGCATTGGAGCGGACTATTAACGGAGAGTGCGTATGATAGTTTTTATATTTGTAAATTGTATCATATTTTCTGGACAATTTATTCAACACTATAGGCTCTTGTATTTCTTATCCTTCTTGTCTGTTTTGCAGTTGGTTTTTGTTGCCAGTTGGAAATGAAGTAGTTGCCTTACAACCTATTTGTTTAATTAGGGATGAGAACAAACCTTTCATGATTGGGTATGTATTTGCTTGTTGTCGGTTTGTAGTATATGACTTCATGTCATTAAAAGGGATTTTTTCTATTCGTTTTTTATTTTTGGTTTTCGGGGAGAAGAGGTTGGAATTCCAGGGAAAAGGTAATTTATGGAGGGCTTAATCAATCCCATTTACCAGTCTACTACTTTTCTCTTATAGTAATTCATCTGTCTGTCATGCTTAATGGTCATTGCAGGAGCGAAAAGAATGAGAATTTTCCGGGAATGTCAGTGTTGATACCTTCACCCCAGGTGATTTCGACTGTTCTAAAGCCCTGATCTGGAGCTAACCTAGTTTGCTTACTTCTGCAACATTTTGATTTTTTTGCCTAATTATCTCAGGTAACCAAAACACATGCTCAAATCAGCTATAAAGATGGTGCATTCTTCCTAACTGATTTACAAAGTGAACATGGAACCTATATCATTGAGTAAGTCATGAGCAGCAAGAAACAACTTTGTGTATCTTAAATTTCCTGGAGTCTCTAAAACTAAACTCTGTATGTGCAGTCATGAAGGGAGAAGATCTAGAATACCTCCAAATGTTTCTACACGTGTTCGTCCATCAGATGTTATTGAGTTTGGTTCCGACAAGAAGGTAATAAATAAAATCAAATATGAGTTTGCTAACCTACCGCATGAATATCATTTAAACATTTGCTGCTTCTGAGACCATCTAACTGAAGTCGTTATCACATCTCCAAATTAGAGGTCCCAAGTTCAAAGTCGTCTCTGCCTACCATATAAAATAAAAAAACATTTGCAGCTCATTATTCATGTTGCAGTAATTAGCACGAGTCACTTTATCATAACTACTTAGTTCTACCACTTTTTTTCCCAACTTGAACCTCATCTTACATTCCAAGCGATGTGCAGGCAGCTTTCCGGTTAAAAGTGATGAGATCACCCCCAAAGATTGTTGTGAAGGAAGAAGGCGGAATTCTTGAAGTCGTCTGAAAATTTATGAAGCCATAAGTATTCAAACTTATAGCATTGTACAGCATTTATCTACGCAGGTGGAGAAAATGAAATCTGCTACATTTTGTAGAAAGTAGGAGTTGAATTCAGAGTATCATACAAGAAATGTCACATACCCCTGCATAGCTCCTGGCAGAACAGGAATAGGATATGTCAACTTCCATTCACTTTAAAGAATGCTGACATATATACCTCATTTATGTTAAGAAATAATATAAAAACATTTAATGGTAATTTTTTCTTCCCAATTGTGAAGTTTTGGGTGTTTATGTTTTGCAGTACTATTTTTAGTTACACATTTTTTCGAGAACCCAACATCAGTTTGAACACTGTTTTGCCTTCTAGTTCAAATTTTGGTTTTCAAACTTCTAAACAGAGGTAGGAGTATATCGTCAGGGATGGAATCATGGGAGATGGATGCCGTGAGGTAATCGTCTAAGAAATTAGAAAACTGATAGCTTTGGAAATAATTTACTGACAGATAGGACCCAATTTCGTCATGTCAGTGAACAGTGGGCATGTCATTCACATGTAAGATGTAACTTGTCCCCAGTTATTGCCATACATTCTATTATGTACCGTCAAGAAATCTGCAGCAGCTTCACATTTCTGATAACCTGTATCTTTTTTATTTTGTCTTTCTAGACTCTATTGGCCTAAAAGCTTGAATTAAGAATATAAAAAGTCTTCCATGTATTGAAATCTAAGCATTTGGCTCGGTGATTGCTCTATGGTTCTTCCTACTCAAGAACTCATTGTCTTGTCATATATTATTAGATAAATTAGACTGTAGCAGTAATAAGTTTTTCATGCACTAAAAAAAAGAACAGATTCATGGTTTGGTAAATATATACACAGAAAACTTGTTTTCTGAAAAAAACAACTAAAACTGGTTCTGGTTCTGGTTCTGGTTCTGACTCTGATTTTGCTGCTTTTGCATGTCAGCCCACAAGAAAATTCCAAGAGTCTATGATAGACCCAAAAACAAACTGTAAAGAAACATGGAGCCATTGACAATTAACATACCTGCCCTCCCTGCAATAATGTATCAAACAAATAGACTAATAACAGCAAACACTTTCCCACAACAGTCCAAAGTCTCCCCCCTCAATGTCAAGGATTTTGACAATCTCAATCTTTGAATCACCAATCCGTTCTATGCAGCATCGTCTTCATATCTGTCTAGCTATCTATCACATTAAAATCCGCACCAAGCTCTAGTACTGTCTCGTTTTGCGAGACAAAAGCAACCGCACCTTGACCTTACCAATCAGACTCTCCCCTTTCTGATGGCAAGATAGGACACCACCACCATCGTTGTTAGTCATTGGCTCACACCGCGTCATAATTGTATTTTATGTGACTAAATTCTTAGAAATTCAATAATAAAATGATATCGCAAGTCTCTTTCATCATACTATTAAATGAATCATTAACCAATATTCAAATAAGCTTGGGATCAAATTAATTATTTTAAATAAAAAAGAAGCAATTTGTTGTTTAGGCTATGAGGCTGTAAATTATAATAGTGTGTGTGAAGTGTGAAATGTTTTGGAGTAATATGAATGGTGCAAAGGATCGCTCGAGTCTTTAAAAAGGTGTAACGAGAACTGCAGACAGATGAACAAACGAGGGGGCTAAAGCCAATTTCTCTAAACAAAACCCCACGTAAACACGTCCCACCTCTCAAAAAGGCCTTTTGCCCTGCTTTTGCTTATCATCATATGCACTGTGCACATGTTGTCGTTTCTATGGAGGTAATTTTGTCTGCACGTGAAAGCCGTAAATAGCGGTGGGGATGGCACGTGACCCTTACCAACGGTCGGTTCAGGTGGGCGTCGCAATGACCGTTGAAGCATTAAATGTGTTTTCCGTTCACAATACTTGGGATATGAATGAATTTTCACTGCTTATGGACATTGATTTTTGTTTTTTTTTTTTTCTTTGGTAAAAAATTTTCTTGGTTTTTTGGTTTTAATAATTGTGTACTGTCAGGTCTAATTATTGCTGTCAAATCGTAATGCGCATCAGCACATGCGAAGGCGGTGGGATCCAAAGATCACCCCGAACCACTTGTTTTTACTGTGCAATTATTTTGCATTCATTGATTTGGTCAGCAAAGATCTGCCTAAAGCCTAAACCCTGTTTTTTTTTCTTGTCTTCTTCTTATTTTACAATGAAAATGAGTGTCAATTATGTCTCTGACATCATCTGGATATCCTTAGAATTGATCAAACATGAAAATTGATTCGTTAGGCAAACTCCTTTGAGAAACCAAAGTTACAGAAATAAAAATGAACCAAAATCCTTCTTCGTACTTTCCTCAGCTCTTCCTTTCACATATGAACCTTCCTTGATGTTCTCTTCTAATGTTAGAAAACAATGCTTGACAAACCTAAACCAAAACACCCCCACACTCAAAGGTACTTTTAGTACGTTTTTATGACCAAACATCTCGCTCTCAAATGCCAACAAAATTACTTCGCACATTGCAAAATAAAAACAAAAATCACAATAAGATTCACATTTCAGATTATTTTGGGTTTTGTTGTTGCAAGTTGGAACACAAAGGCCTCGTTGTTTTGTCTCTTAAAAGCTAAACGGTGAGAAGGTTTTGGTGTCAGGTTTCTGTGTGGAAACTGGAAACCCCCCGTTATCTTTTCCTTTTCAAATTCCAAGAAAATATATGAGAAAGAAAAGAAAAATGAAAAACAATTCCTAATCTTCTATCTCTATGTATATTTCTGTGTCTTAAATGCTGCGTAGTTTCTCAAAAGAAGAGATCTTTTCCAGACATCTCCGTTGCCCGTGTTTGTTTCAAAAATATGGCAGGTTTCTTTCTTTTTTTAGTTCCAAAATATGAAAATGCACTTCAGTCCTGACGAAGAGAAAAAAAAAAAAGGGAAATGAAAGCAACAGCTAAAACGACAGCGTCTGAGAGCTGAGTTTGATGATTTATTGATTTTTTGTAGATTACAATTCCAACCTTTTTTTTTTTCAAACTTCACCAAAAAATTTTTTATTATAAAAAAAAACTTAAATCTAATAATTCAAATCTTGTACTTTTATCAACCCGCATCAATTAAATTATTTTAATAAAAAAATTGTAATCAAAATCAAATTTTTATTTAAACTTTATCTTACTCTTAATATTTTTAAAAAATATTAATCCAAACCTAATATTTTCATCTTTTTCTTAAAAATAATTGACTCACACCTAATATATTTGTTCAAAGCTTACTATACACTTAGGGCTAGATTGGATTGAAGTGATTCATTGAACTTAGAGTCTCAATGTAAATTTTTAAAAAAAGATTTTTTAAATTATGATAATAAAATTTGTTATGAAATAATTTAATATCATACATAATTTCACTGTCACATTATGTTTCCATTCAAATATATATTATTAACACTAATCTTAATCTCACCTTAAATCTCCCATAACTTTATTACTATCATTATTTTTAATCTCACCTCAAATCTAAAGGTAACTTTAAAGTAAAATGAAGTGAAAAACAGATAAAATTTGGGTTAGAGCTTCCACTTCCAAATAGTGGGACCTAGAAATAACTTTTATTTAAAAAATGATAAAAAAAATAAAATTAAAAAAGCACACGTGCACTGGTGGCGATTTAGAAAGCTGAGCCAGTTCAGGTAACAAAAATATGCCATTGTTATCGAAAGTATAAAAAAATAAAAAAAATCTGAGCTGTAAAAAATTATTCAAATAAACAAAAGAGAATAACCTATGTTCTTTTATTAATTATTTATATATTATGAACAACAATTTAATTTTAACTTTTTTTCAGCTCTTTTCTGCGCTTTGTTTCATAGTACAACGCACTTTTTTTTCAAACTCTGATACCTGGAAATTTTTAAAAACAAACAAATTAGAAAATAAAATTAAAAAAAAAATCCTCGACGATGTGTCATGAGCGGGTGACGGATTCAGCAAGTTTCCCAATTTTTACTACGAGTTCAGGGGATAATTTCTTGGCAGGTTTCTTTCCCTTTTCCGCTCGAAAATCAAATCCTAGCGCATCCGAAACTTCTTCGGAGCTCCACCCAGCTTTCCGGAGCGAAGCTGCAAACCGATCCGTTTTCAAAAGAAGCGCATCGCGAACTGCTTGATTGTCCAATAAAACCATCTCTCCTTCGAAGAACCCAGATGCTGATACGTGTACGATCTCCGCTATATCTGATTCGCCCCACCCGCCTTGTCTAAGAACCGACCCGATTTGCTCAATGTATTCCTCTACCCATTTGGGAATTTGGGTTCTCGGCATATCGAAATACCTATCTGGTGACGAACTCGAAGATGTCGACGATGAGTTTCTTCGCCGCCGATCAATGGCCGCGTCACTCCAGAACTCGACCCATCGTGGGGTTCTCGAACCGGTTATCAAACCCGCATCCAAACTCCGCCTCGAGAAATTAGTGGACGATCCGGCTGATTTTTCACTAACGGACCTCTGCTTTTTCAGCAATTCTGGGTCGGATTCCGTGCTCCGAAACAAAGATTCCCTCTCGAAAAAATCGGATATATCAAATCCGCAACAGAAAATCCGCGTTTCATCGATGAAGAAAATCGGGTTACCCGCTAAAGACGGGTTACAGGGAATATAGCAGTGATTAAAAATGGGGATCAAAAGCGGAGCTCTTTTAAGCGCATTCCTTGCGACCCGTAAAGCTTTTTCCGGGTCGGACGGTCTCGGGCCCCAAGATTTGGACCATAAGGTGTTCCGTGCGATCTGAAAGGAAATTGCAGCGATGGGAAGATCAAGCAAAGCCCGAAGATGGAGTCGGGCTCCAGCAGACCTCCAATCGGGAAAACCTGGACCAACGGGTAACCCGGCTGATAATATCGCTTGTAGGTCAGGTGGGAAAACGAAACCAAACTCGGCTTCCGCTCTAGCGAACTCGGCGTCGGATAAACCCAACTGGACTTGGAAACCCGAATTTCGTAAATGGGTTATAACTTTATCCGCTAAAGAAGAGAAAGACTGAAGACCGTTGCGAACAGGAAGGGAAGCAGGAGTTGAGGGAGCAGAAGCTCGAGCAGAGAGACGGCGTAAGCCTGCTGCATGAGCCGGATTCAGACCGGACATCCTCCGGTCCACGTCAACCATTCTCGCTTTAATAACTAACGGTTTATTCTCTAATTCCCGTCGAAAATAAAAATACGCCGTCCAAAAGATTCTTTCTTTTTTTTTTTTTTTTGCCTCAGTTAAAATGGAGCAGAGTGAGTGAAGAAGGGAAACGGAGTGGGAGGAGCCTAATTTTTAGGGGGAGAGGACTTCGAGGCGACAAGAAACGGTGCATATTTATAGCTGTTTAACGGTGGAGCCCACCTCTGAGATTTTGGTAATTGTTTTGTTTTAAAAATCTTTTGTACAATTTTTTACTTTCCTGAATTAACCTCGATGGTTTTGACAAGTGAACCATATTAAATAGATGCATTTGAAAAGGTCATCATATTAATTTTGATATGATTAAAAATAATAATAAAATAATTATAATTATGATTAAAATTTTTATAAAATATTTTATTTTAAATAAATTTTATTAAAATTAATATTTAAATCTAATTGATGATATATTAAATTTAATTGTATGATAGATTTTAATCCCTCCTTAAAGGAAAAGATTGTTTTTGGAAATGCAATTCAATGTTCACTGTTTAGCAACGGCTCTTTTTATGGTGATTTTGTGACTAACTTCATTTTTTTAATTTAAATTCAATCTTTTTAATTTTGCATTTTTGGGATTGTTTAGTTGGTCATTTGTATGGAAAATTGCATATTAAGATATTTGAACCTAATTTTTTGTCATTTTCTTTTGTTTTAAGTTCATTATCATGTTAAAATTTTAAATTATTACTAATTCATGTATAATTGAATATAATAATATATGAACCTATGGTTATTAATTTGATCGAACATTGTATAATACGATTTTCTTTGTCCCATTTTTTATTCATATTTTTTTAAGATATTCAAAAATTATGTTTTATTTTTTTTTCAACATTTAAAACTCTTAATTTTTATATTTCAAAATTTTTTTAATGATTTTTTTAATTTTTGAACATTAAAAATCATAAAATTTTAATTTTATAAAAATTTTAAAATTTAATATTAAATATATTTAAATTAATTTTTTTAAATTTTGTAAAAATAAATACATATCAAATATTTTTAAATGAAGAAAATATTACTTTTAATATGTTACTTTTAAGGAAGTAAAAAATCAAAATGATACATGATGCAGTGAAAACATCGTCCCATCGTACTTGCAAATCGACCTATAAGATTTTGACAATACATCTGGTAATCCTTAAACATCAATTAACCTTTGATAGAATTCCATAGTCTAATCAACTTAAAGAAAGAAAAAGAAACACAGCTTATGTTAGTTGCAACCATTTGCAGCTGGTACGGCCGATTTGTGGTCCAGTTAGCAATCATGAATTAGCTCGACAGATTTAGATAAAGCGAAGCATAAAATCATAATTCCACATTGTTGTATGCTAACGTTAACAAAACTTTTTCGTGGTCTTTATTTCTTTTGTTTTTTTTATTTTTATTAATCTTTAATTTTAGAAGGAGAAACAGGATTAGAATCCATGCCTAACAAGGAGGATATGTTTCATAAGGTGAGGCATAGTTTTTTTTTTTTTTATTTAAAATTATCTAGAATTAAATTTTGATGTTGTTGGCAGGAGAGGCATAGTTAATCACATCCATTAGTGTTGTGGGAGATGTGTGCAAAGATTAAATGCTATATATCTTCTTTCCTTTTTTATGAAATTGATTTGTGGTTTGATTCCTTGAGTACTTTTCCTTGGAATTCAGCTTTTTTTTTAAATTTAATCAATAGAGAATGACCCAAATTATTAAAGTTTAGAATCTAAATGTAAAGCATTCATATTTAAATTTTCATAATCTTTTATTGGTAAACGATTCTTACAAAATAAACATTCGTAAATTTTTTTATGGGTTGATGGCATATTCTGATCTTATAAATGTGATAATTTGATTTACTCATAAATTTTTTACCGAAAAAAAAAAAAGAGAAAGTAAATGGAATAAAAGGAAAAAGGGATAGTGTTAAAGATGATTAGAGATATTATTGCCAGCAAAAAAGCAAGTTTATCGAGGAATGGAAGAAAAAAGTGGGGAAAAAGAAATTTGTAGAAGGAACTGAGATGTGTATCCAAAAAATTCAAGGAAATGAGAAAAAAAAGGTGATTGATTTACCTATTTAACGTATCTATGAAAATATAATCATGATAATTTCTATGATAAAGAGAAAAAAAAAAAGGACTTGGATCGAAAGGTACTTAGCTTATTAAAAATACTTAAATTTTATTATTTTATTTTTTTAATTAAAAAAAAAAAAGAGATTCGAACTTTATTTTTTAAAGATAAAGATCATACATTAATTACATATTAAATCAAATGCTTTGAGTACTCATTATTTTATTTTCTTAATATGCTACTTGATTATTTTTTACTGTACTTTTATGATCAATATTACATATATAATATATTAAAAAATAAATAAATTTTCTTCCTTTATTTTCTATGTATTGAGACTAATAAGGAATGTAGTTGACAAGTAAATAAATTTATTAATTAAAAAAGCAAGTGTAATCAATTAAAAAAAAAAATTATGAAAATCACGAGCAACCTGAGCTTATACGATATCCCCCAAGGCCCAACGTGAATGTAGTTGAAAAATAAAAAAAATCATACTTATTGAAAATAGATTTTTGAGGATTTTAAAATATTATGAAAAATCTATTTTCGAAAATTTTAAAAACTTCTCAAAAATATATTTTCGATAATTTTGAAAGATTTTTGAAAGATTTCTTAAAAATAAATTTTTAAGAATTTAAAAATAAAATTTTAAAAGTCTTAAACATGAGATATAAGAAGAATAAAATTATAATTTATTAATAGATAAAATTAATATTTTTTATATGGATAATTTTGAAAAAAAAAAAAAGTAGATTGTAGAGAGAAGAATAAATGGTGTATTTAAAACTCCTCGAGCGAAAAAGTAAAGCTCATATTCATATACTTTTAGTCTGAGAGTTTGGTAAATTCACGTGGGGTTTACCTCTCCCCAAGTTTCCAAACAATCGGCATCATAGCCTTAGCCTTAGTGGACCCTCCTCCTTGGACTATACAATCATAGTTTGCAGTAAAAATAAAATCCAATTATCGTTTGCTTGCTTTTGTGCCAAGTTGTTGTGGAAGGATGAATTTTGTGTTGGCGATGAGCAACAGCCAGCAGTTAAATTCCAACGTCTCGTTTTACAGGGATTCACATATATAGATATCTATGGTCGACAATTGACGGTAACTGAGAGCATTGCTTGAAATTTGTTTCAACATTGCTTACGAGTTAAGATTGGATGGCCTTTGCTCGTTCAGACAATGATTATCTGACACAAACGTTATTGGAACTCATTAAGATATACATTTCTTGGACCCCACTCTAACATTATGAATGTCTGCAGATATTAGACTTTAAAAGGCTTTCAAAAGAGATTTTTTGAATCTTTTATCCCAATATTAAGATGTTAGGATATATTTAGTGCATAAAAAGTAAGATAAGAAATAATATTATAAATAAAATTATATTAAATAATATCATTTTATTTTATATTTAATATATATATATTAGTATAAGATAATTTTATATATTAATTAAATTATTTTTTAAAATTTATATAATTTAAATTATTAATATAATTTTTAAAATATAATAGAATATGTAAAATCAATCTCATAAATTAAAAATAAATTTTTTTATTTGTAAAAAATTAAATTATCTTATATCAAGATAATAATTAATTTTTTTTTACAATCATATCTATTTTTTTACGTACAAACTAAACGTGACAATCAATTATTATTATCTTATCATATCAATCATTATATATATTAAATTAAATATGATCTTAACAGATAAATATTAAATTTCAATATCCACCCATTATTGTTAATTTAAAACATCCGGTAAAAATTAAGGGTAACTTTTTCAGGTTGAGCACATGAGGTTAAGACACTAATATTCATCAAACATCAACTTACATTATTTTATTATTTGAATTCAAATTTTAATTCATTTGATTTATACAATTAATTTTTAAAAATAATATTTTGTAAATTTTAATTTTAATTTTAATACTATAAATTTTTTTATATAATATATTACAATCTAAAATAAAAAAATTTATAAATATTAAAATTTAAAATTTAAAATTATTAAATATTACTTTTTAAAAATAATTATATGAATAACTGAATTAAGGTTTGAGTTGCAACTCCTTTTATTGAGAAAAATTATATGGGATTATGGTCATAAATCAATTGAGTTGGAATTCAGTTAAAAATATATATATAAGAAGATGATACAAAGTAGCCAACAACATGTGAAGGTAGCCTTGACTTTCGTAATTTGATCGGGAGAAAAATACTACTAAATATCTCAATATTTTTAATTTGGCTAAAGTTTTAATCATTAGATCAGCAAAAATGTAATTGGTCAACGGTTGATTGCTAAGGTTTTCAGCCGATTTTTTTTGCAACTTTCACATTTTCATCTCACACATGATCGAACTACGGCATGCCACAGCTGCAAAATCCCATTTACCTTATCAAGCAAATGCCCACTTGCAAACATCTTACATTGGAAAACACTCGGTGAGGCTTTGAGGTATTTTTATATAGACTTAATTATTGGTGTATTATATCATATAAAATATTAAAATTTATATATTTATATTATGTTTTAAATAAAAATTATATATTATAATTTATGTCGATACAAAATTATAAAATATATTTTTTTAATTTTATTAAATTTAGATAAAATTATTGTTAAAATTTTAAGTTATATCACTTTTACGTCTTATATTTATATTATTATATTATATTTCAAAGTGTCAAGTTTACTCTCAAACATGCATGGCCTATGCAGTATGGAAAATTATTTTATTTTAAATATTTGAATATAGTACTCTACATATTCATCAAATTTTGATTAATTTTTTGTATTCAAAATTGTCAAAAATTAAATTTTAAATACCGAAGTAATTGAGAATTTCATCATTCAGACGATTCAAGTAACAGATTGACATTTGTAAGTTAGCCTTGGCACTTGATTTATTTGACCAAACGATACATCTTTTTCGCAATCAATTTAAGTAGGGCTTCCAAAGAAAGAAAGACATCGGCTTTGACCACACCATAACAGGAACAAAGGTTGTGGGATTTGATTTGTAGTGCTTTAGGGGGAGAGCATGGACCAATTGACATGGTCACCAAGTGGAAACCACAAGCTACAAAAGTCAACAATGGTTTTGTGAATGTGGAGCCGTCGGAGGCACTCTCCATAGATTTAATTGGAAGATGCCATTGTCCTCTATAGGGAACTAGTGGGGCAAGAAAATCGCCCGGCCTGATTTAATTTCTGCTAGTGAAAGTAGTGGGCAGCATTGCTTACTTGTCTTCCTCAATCCAACATATATGTTCCCTTGAACACCGATTAGTCAAGCCATCTGTCCTCTACCTTGGGTCATTACGTTCAGAAAAAGGAAATTCAGAAAGGATCTTTGATAACATTGATATTTCGTTTTGATATACTAGTTTTCATAATCAATTCAGTTGGTTGATTGCTTGAGACAAGTCATACACGCAAATGAAATTGGATTGATTGATCAAATTTATCGAATAATCGACAAGTTCATCATCTGTTTGCTTTTTTCTTGACAAACCCTTTCAAATGTCGGACGAACTTTTGAATTTGATCGATTAACACGATCTCCAAACATATCTGAGATAGAAACGATCTTGTCTTGAGCCCATAACTCTCCTGGCCAACAATCTTCAATTTGATTTCAAATCTTAGGCATGGCAATGCATATGCACAAATAGGAATTGACATCACATGTTTGACTTGAGTAAAAGATAGGAAAAAAAAATCTGATTTCAAATAATTATACTTTTATATCTAGCCTTAAAGATGAAATAGGATTAAAAAATTTACAAGAAACAAATCAATTCACACAGCTGAGGGTGATTATGATTATAATATAATATTGGGTAATTCTATATGATGAGAATATGCATGCTTTGGGGAATTTTTATGGCAAGGATCTTAAGGGCTATTTTAGGATTGAGATTGAAAATGATTTTTGCATTTAAACTCTTTTTTTTTTAATCTAATCTCAATGCTAAATAATAAAAAAAAAATCTGATTTTTCAATGAGATGATTTTGTATTCAACCACAAGTTTTGTGAGTAAAATAATTTTATTATTTTCATATCTTTAATATATTTTTTTTGGACATTTCAATTCACCAACATCTTTTTACAATAATATTAAATATTTAAAAATTTTAAACCAACAACAATACTAAACTAAGCTTAAATAATCAAAGAAAAGATGTAGCCTTCCCATGTGCTTCCTGACCTATAATTATTAATTAAGCAAATTAATTAAGTGAAGTTTTGCTAGCTAGGGGAGCTTTTCTAGGAACAATTTGGCAGGTAAAGCCTAGTTCAAGTGGTTAATTTAACAAAAGAAATAAATTGGGGATTCATTGCTTGATTGTTTAATTAAATCTTAATATAAAGTTAAAATCAAATGTTAATTTATTACCTAAAAAGGCTCTTGAAGGAGGTACTGGATTATCAAGGCTCCTTCTACAAAGATTAAAGAATAATTTTAGTGAAAATATAGCAATATTATATGATTCTTTACCAAGGTCATTTTCAACCAAAGCTTTCAATTCAAAGATCTTTTTAATATAAAAAATATATATCTAAATTTACAAGAGGATAACCATAGTATTGATTTTGCATTATATCTGATAATTTTAAATAAAGTATGATGATATGATATAAAAATAATATAAATAAAAAATAAAAGTGGTATAATTTAAAATTTTAACAAAAAACATAAATAGATTTAACGAAAAAATATATATATATTTTATATTTTTATGTGAATATAAATTATGATTATAATTTTTATATAAAATATGATTGAATATATAAATTATTAATTTATTATATAATATAAATATATGAATTATCAAATTTATTTTGTATAAAACTAAAGCAATGACAAATCACACCATATTCCCATTGGTAGAGAATTTTTTTTTTTATCAAAATGTTACCAACATGTTATGGTATCAATCCATATTGGATTAAAGCAAGTGTCCCCTTGTGTGGTGGTCAGGTTTTTGATTAATTTCATGAGTGATGACCTTTTTTTTTTTATTTCTTTGTATGATAAGTCTGAAGCAATAGCTAGCTAGGGTAGGGGAATTAAAAGGTGTGAATATTATTTGTGGGTAATGTTAGAGATGGGGCATCCCTTTCTCTTTCATGAGTGCGTGCGATAAGGATGGAATAAAGGGTGGATTCAATTGCAAGTTTTTTGATAGCTACTTAGCTAGCTTTGCTTTAATTCATCTAAAGAAAAAGAACAATTTTGCTTTAGATCATATGACAACAAAGAACAAATCGGTGCTGTTCACGAGAAAAGCTAAAAGGGCAGATCACAGAAAAGAAAGATTAAATCTAAGGCCAACTTCGAATCTTCTACACTTTTGATGACTTTTAATTAAATGAACATGACTTTGAAGTTTTCTTACAACTTTGTGTTCGGAGATGATTTTGAATAGAACTTATCATTTGTTTATGGTTTTAAACACTTTGTGCAGGCCAGTAATCAACCTGGCGTTGTGACAGCTTCTGAAAATGCTTTAAATTTGAGCACTTGTTGCAGTCGCATGCAAATTAACTCCATTTTAGGCTATCATAGAACCTAAACTCATTTCAGTTTTCTTTTAACAAATGAAAGAAATCGTGATGCTTTAAAAATTCTTCGTTCTTTTTCCAACTTCAATCGCCACCATGGACTAGTGTCGTGGGACTGATGAAAATCCACGTCAAGATTAGTCTCTCTCAAGACACCCTTGACAAGTGTCCTTTGTGCACTTAGAACCGGCATGTGGGGTAACTATGTACTCCAACGACAAGACATCTCCAAAATCTGGTTCCCTCTCTGCTTCCATATTTCCATCGTCCTAGTCCCATGGCTGACTTATCATACCGTCAATCCAGGGTGAAAAAACGAGCCCGGCTCGGCTCATATTGACAACTTGAAAGAGTCGAAAACAACCAAACCAGAGTGAAAGAAGCTTGCAACAACGAAATTGTGGTTCAAATTGTTTAGTTGAAGACCCAAAAAATGCCAAGGTAGGAGAAACTTTGGGCCTTAAAACGATCCTTTTTATTATTATTATTATTATTACTCCTCTTTTCCTTTTTTCCTCCCATTTTAATTCGCAATAAAATGCTAAAAGCTTTACAACAGTCAACTTTAAAGTTTTAAAAAACTATAGTTTATCAAAAAACTTATTTGTTATATGACACGATATTTGGTAGAAGCAAAGAAGATTAATAAAGAACATAGATCACAACTGATTAAAACACCTTACAATATTTGGCAAATATTCTAAAAAGCTGGCAAAAACTACAATCGCAACACTGGCATTACATAAAATATCAATACCCAGCCTTCACCATTTGCAGCAATCACCTTCAGTATCTTGATCGGCTTTTTACCCTGCAGTTTCATAGAATTTTAAATCAGCCACCAAGCATCATACATCATGCAACAGAAGGAAAGTCCTACTACCAGAGCATAATGACAACCTGGGCGAGCGGGAATTAGAACGAGAACGGGAATGAGAGTAAGAGTGGTGCCTAGATCGTGAAGGTGAGCGTGAACGAGAATAGTATCTTCGAGAACTCCTACCCCTACTTGGGCTTCTACTCCGTTGATACCTTCTATAGTAAGAAAATTATTCACCAGATGATTAGAACATCGATAAGAGAGAAGCAGAACAAATATTGCTACCAGCCTACCACAAAAGAGCATGTATTGCTAAATTACATAGTTGCCATGTAAATATCAGGAATGACTCAACAAACATTATTAACTGCAGTTAAGAGAAGAAAATAACACAATCAAGTCTTTAACCAGATGGACAAAGAAAAAAGTAGGAAACAAAAAAAGGGAAGAAAATAGAGACAGAATAAGCTTAAGACAAATGTCAATAGTTTTATAAATTTCTTGACTTCCCACGTAAAAGTTTGTGGATATTTATTTTGTTTAAACTTCAGGCAGCAATTCCCCTTTTGGCAAATCATGCTACTACATCTTAATACACCCCCAAATTCCCTCACAACAACAAATAAATTAACCAAAATATCACTCAAAAACTCGTATTTATCTTTGGTTGGTTTGCAAGGAGACATTATTCTGCTGCAAAAGATATTCATTGTCAGCTATATGGTTTGAGCACAAAGTTTTAAGTATTCCAGGATATGTACCTTGGAGGAGAGCGACTGTAGCTCCGACTGCGGCTGCTATGCCTATGACGACTTGATCGGCTTGTTTCTGCAAGTTTTTCCAGTCTTTGGCGCTCCTGCTCTCGCTTCTTAGCCATTTCTGCAGCAGTGTCCTTCTTAACTATAGAAGAAACCAGCTTATCAAATCAAAAATACAAGAAACTCAAGAAAACATGTGACACCACAAATAGAAACCCTCTTGTACCAACTTACTGCATCCTCTTTTTTTTTCAAATATATTTACAGAAATAAAAAGCTAAAGAAAATTTAGAAAAAAACACAACTTGATAAGAAAAAGAACATGTAATTCCTTAAAAACTCCAACAGAGCATGATAACATACCATTGAATCACCAGATTCATAAAAATAAAAAATAATAAAAAAAAAGTGTCCAACAGAGCAAGATATCATTGAATCAACAGCTTCATAAAAAAAGTATCATTTATGTCATACTTTGCTTGTTTAACTGTCTGTTCATAATCCTTTTTAGCCGCTCCTGAGGAGTTTCTTTCTTCTCAATCTGCCCCTGTTTTGAGGGTCCTCCAGAGGCACTTGTTTTTGTCAACTTTGCTAATGCTGACGATCCACTGACAGAAAGGAAATAAAGTTGTTAAATTCAACGCAACTCAAAAGAAATTAAAATAATCCTATTCTAGATAAAATAATGATAGAAGCAAATTTTATGGTGAGGATACCTTATTGCTGGTTTTGACACTTTACCACTCTTTTCTTTATCAAGAGAAACACCAGATGCAGGATCAACATGAAGTGCCTCAAGTATGCGACCAGATGATGGCCTGCAGGAAAGGAAAAGCATTAGATATGCCCATTTTCATGGTTTCATGCAACTGGGAAGCATTCACACAAATTCCATTTCAGGAAAAATATGAGCTTCAGAAGGGAAGCCTCCTTCCTACTCCCTCTTGCCAGTTATGTTGATAACCCTAGGGCAGATCTATTCTAAACCAGAAAAGTTTGCCTCAGGCAACAAAATGGGGATAAGCTGCAGCAGAGTAAAGACTTCCAATCTATCTTTGCAAGAATTAAAGGTCGAGTGCTCCGACCGGTTCAACATGTCAGCCTGGGATAGTGGAGATGATGGTGGAGAATGTCCTTCAAGCTTTGGTCCATCCCCATCGCCAGAACCCCCAAACTCTGTAATATACTCTATTTTTGGAGCCTTTGTTTTACTTCTATGAGAATCATCAGAATAACCTCCACGTGCATGGCGCCTTGAGTAGGATGGAGAGTATGAACGTGATCTAGATCTTGACCTGAATAGGAAAATCTATAAATAAATTGCTTTTATGTGCCTCAAATAACAGCTTCAAGAGAAGCAAAGGACATAGTATACCTCCTAGAACGTGGATAAGCATCATAGGTTGGACTCCGCCTAGATTCCCTGATATGGCAAAAGAAAGCATTAACACTTTAGGCATGATGTTATACCCAATTCCAACAACAGTTTGTAACAAAGATCTTCCAAATTTTGTACCGGTAAGGATCATTATGGAGTACTCGTGTTCCAATTATCCGTGCAGCTTCTCTTTCTCTCTCCCTCTCTATTTGAGAAGCTTTTCTCCTCTCTTTGCGACTCAGTTTCCTCTAAAAGTTCAGAATTTCATATTTGTTATCAACATATGTTAAATAATAAAATGCAACTATAGCATGTCTAATCCAACTTACAATTGCAGGATCGCCTTTGATTACTTCCTTCTGTCTTTTTTCCTCCTCTTTTGCCTTTTTATCCATATAAACAAGCCACCCATACCTTTTCACTCCAAATTCTTTTGCTATTATATCCATTCCTTCATCATTACTATCATCACTGTTGAATTCATCATCATCTTCCTCCTCCTCATCTTCTTCATCATCATCTGAAAAATGAGCTTCCTCTTTCCCATTTCCATCATAAGAAAATCCAACTTGAGAATATGAACCTTTATTAGCTGGTTGTGCTGGCTGTGATCTGCCAACATAAATAAAAAAAGAAAAACAAAAAACCATATATAGCAGTCAGATCTATTAAAATCACCAAACTTACCACTTTGGAGGAAATTAAATCCTTGATCATATTACACATGCCAAAGAAACCAAAATGAAGCACACCCATCCATATAGAAATAGTCTACACTAAACTGTATACATGCAGATCACCCAATAGATCTTGATGATATAAGCATCAAAATCATTGACAAAAAAATGCATTTCTCTTGCTTAGCAATAAATCAACTATTAAGGCAAAAGAAGAGACACATCAAAGATGATTTTTTAAAACCATATGAAGAAAATAAAAAGCAAACCAAGTTTGTAACTTTGATCTTCTATAAAGTATTTTTTAACATTTTTTTCTGAACTAGCATAACACTGAACAAAAGATTTATTCCAACCATCAAAATAACTTAATGTCTAAGATCACCCTGAAACCCTACCAGAATTTCTTAGAAACTTATAACAGACAGAGACTTCTAAATTTATCTGAAAAATTTAACTCTAGTACTACCATATGCATCGCCTAACTTATCAAATGGATACAAAAAGTTCATAGAAAAAAAATTAAACCTGTCTGACTGAAATGGTGCGGTAACTTTTGCCTCCATTTCTAGATTCACATGTTGTAAACCATCCTCATCCGTAACTGTCAAATGAAACAAACTTCAGCTCATAAAGCTCATTGAAAACTAATCTCTTATTCTTATAACTGAATTTTATCCTTATATATATTAGTATATTGCGATATAACCAATAAAAGGCATTGGAAACGAACAACGAAAACTAAAAACAAAATTATCAATTCAGAGAAATTAATAAAAAGTACCGACATCCTCTACGGCGATGCTTAATTAAATCCCGATAACGCTCAAAATTAACAAACTCTTCTACTTCTTCTTCTTCTTCAGACTTCTCTTGATTTCTAAAATGCCGTGTCCCTGGCTCCCGAATAAAATCAAGTAGAGATCGGCCATCGAATCTAAAATATAAACAAATAATTAATTATTTTAAAAAATGATGTCAAAAATTAAAGAGACAGAAATAAATTAAATTACCTATCAATTAAAACGTCTTGTTTACCATTCCAAGGAATCCTGTAAAAAAAATGGAACAATGGAAAATTTTGAGATATTTAATAGAAGATTAATAAGATTATTTATGGAAAAAATGATTAATTTACTTACAGGCCTTGCTGGTCTTCGGTGGCGTGATAGAGAGCATCGTCGCGATGGATACGGCAGCGAGAGCCGATAACTTGAATAGATTGTTGAGGATCGCCGCGCCTTTTGGCTAAGAAGATGGCTCGTCTTTGGGCTCTCTTTCGAGCCGCGTCCATCATGTCGTGGACTTTCCTCTCTGATCTTCGAGCTTCGTGCCACATCTTCGAGAAGAGAATCGAAACCCTAACCCCAAAGAGAGAAATCGATGGTGGGTGGAATGGAAGCGAAAGAGGAAATTAGCGACTAGCAGGAAGGATTTCTGGCGCTTGTAACCTTGTATGGTAGGAATTGGGCTACAACTCGCCAGCTCATTTTGTTGTGGAAAAATGGGCCCTCATTTAACCAAAAAGGCCCATTTTGAGATTTGAGTGGATAGACCCTTTTATTTTTCACTCATTTTTTTATCGTGAAAACATATTATATAAAATATTAAAATTCGTATATTTACATCATGTTTTATATAAAAATTATATATCATAATTTATATCGATATAAAAATATTAAATATAATTTTTTATTTTGTTTAACCAATATATCATTATTATTAAAATTTTAAATCGTATAATTTTTGTGTCTTTTTTTATATTATATTCGTATCATATTATTAGATCAATTTTTAAATTATCGATCAATTTATAATATGAACTTAATTAATCTGTAATAAGTTTAGGCTAAGGATAGCAATAGTGAAAAAATCAAAGAAGTTAAGAGGATTATTTGGGAAAGAACCTGACAATTATATATACATTGCAAAGGCAGGGATTTAGTTTTAGGATGATGGAGTTTTGTTGAGTTAATACCTTAAAACTTTCACCATCTTTGATTTGCAGGACCAACCGACGGGTTGTCTTATTTTCTGCTGGTCCCATGGTTACTCTTGACCCTTGTCTTGGTTCTGTGGTAACAAGTTCACAAGTAGAGCCATCTGGCTTATTTATTGATTCATTCAAGAGGACAATTACAGCTATTGCTTGTGAAAATTTTGAGATTCAAGCGAAAGAATATCAAAAACATCGATTCAATTGATGACCATGAGAAAGCTCTATCTAAGATTCAAACATAAAGGCTACCTTCATGTTGACACCCGATGCCAAAGTCTTCCTTGCCAAATGCTGTAACATCAGATCAAATTGTCAATACTCCAGGAATTGGACCAGGGCCGTTTACAGGTTTTGTTCATTGTCTCAGGATGTTTGCTAGAGAATTTTCCAGCATCACTTGCCATTTCACTAACATGCTGAAGCCTCTTGCTGTTCCAGTTTAATAGGAATTATCAATATTGACTAAAGTATAGATGAGAAAAATAAAGAAAGAACAAATCTAGTAAGACGCTAAAGCATGATAACATTGAGAAAACATATATATACTAGATTTCTTAAAGGAAAAAAAGGTTATTATTCTATTGGGTTTCGCCGACCCCAGTACAAGAAATGGGGTATTTGACATTGATGAACCCTTCACGAGTGGAATAATCATAATCAATGTCTACTTGATCATGTCTTACATGCAATAATATCAACAAGATGATCACGATGGTCCTTATATGATCTGTTGATAAAATATTTAATTTTTAATTTGATTTTTCCATCGAATTTTACAACCGAATTACCTATAGTTAAGAATTTTTAACAAGAGTTGTGATTTTAAATCTCTTCGACAACTCATATTTTGAACGTGGATTGTTCTATTCATTGAAGTTTTTATAAAATTTCTTACCTTTCCAATGATTATATTGTCAAACTGTCAATCTTTTTCAATTCGGAAACGATATATGCATGCCTCCTGAATTTGGTCTTAATGCTTGGCCCAGCCAAGTTATGTTTTCATTAATCCACTCTGAAAATACTTTATTTTGTTTGTTTCATTCATCTAAATTATACAAAATTCACTACCGGCAAGTGCAAGCAATATAAGAACTTCAATCATCGTTCGACAATAAAAAGTTAAAGAATTCCTATCTCAAGTTGCCACTAAATTAACTATTCTACTTGCGGAAAGCCGTCATACGAGGATGTTAATTTAGTTTAATTTCAAATTGAATTATTTAAAATAAATTAATTAAATTATTTTATTTTATTTTTATTAATCAAATTAAATTTAAAATTTTAAAAATTAACTAACTAAATTAAATTTGATCTATTTGATTGATTCTTTTCAGTTAATTAAATAATAAATATATTTAAATTAAATGATATGTTAAACTCTTAATTTTTCATATTTTAAGCAAATTAAATAAAATTATCTAACAAAATATTATGTTAAAAATTCTAACAATTTATAAAATTAAATAATTCATTTCATGTATTTTTTATTTTATATTTAATTATGTTATATTTTGATTAAATTTTTAATTAATTCGATTTAAAAATCAAAATTATTTTAAAATTTTTTTTATTAATCAATTGAAATTAACTCAATAATTAATTGATTAATCAAATTAAATCAATTTAATCAATTAATTTAATTAAAATCAAATTATGAACATTTCTATCGCGATAAAAAATCCTTCTACGACATTAAAACATGAAATTTAATGTAAATAATTGCACATTCAGTTATTCTAATCTATAATTTAAGATATGCGATAAGCAAGAATGTGAAGATAAAGCATCAGCTAGTGTCATGTGATCGGAATTATTGACAGTGGGGGTGCCTTAGAGTTCAAGTCATAGCATAATAAGGCTTGTTGTGACAGGCAGCCGCCAACTAATTAAAAGAAGAATTGGGTTTGGATACTTTTTCATTTTTATCTTTTTCTTGAACATCATTATAAAATGATGTCAATTTGATGTGATTTGTCGAAGCCTACGTTCTTGGAAATACTTACAACTCAAATTGGTCTCTCTTTCTTTTTAATAATTTATCTTCGTTGAGGCTTTGATAATCAAATTTTAAAGGTTAATATTAACATTAGACACTGAAAAATACATGCAACATTAATTAATTTACTTAATTAATTAATATTATATAAATTTGATGATTCATCTAATTATATCATATAAAATATTTAAATTTAAATTTTATAATATAAACTAATTAAATTAAATTCTAAATTTAAAATTGCATCTTTGATTACTTAACGCAAGATTGACCCTTGCATATTTTTTTTCTTTTAAATTGTAGATTAGCATCATTACCGTGTGTTTGTAATAGACGTGGAGGAAAAGAAAGAAAAAATGGTTTAGTCTTGAAACTTTGGCTGGATTTCCTGGAAGTCTCTTTGAAGTTCACGTCTTTTACTTTTGATTAATTTTCATAGAATGTTCCATTCAAATGCCTGCTTAATGAATAAACAATGAATTTAGAAAGTCCTTCGTCTGCCCAAGGCAAGTCAATATGAAATGGAACCTTAAGCAAATGCAAGCCACAGCCACCCCTTCTTCGTTCAGGAAAAAGGGCTATGTAATGATTTGATCAATTTCCCTTTTTTCTTACAACTATTTTCCATTTTATTGACCATTGAATTATTAAAAATAATTAAAATAATTAATGAATTAATTAAATTAAATTTCGGATTTAATATTGTATTTATTTAATGATTGATTTTAAGGCAACGACTAAGTTTCATTTAGTGAATTATTAATATTTTAATAATAACATTATTTTAAATAAAATTTTAATAATAACATGTTAAATGCTATGCTTATATATTTTGGATATCTAATTAAATAATACAAAATTAAGCTTGAAATATAATACAATTAAAACGAACATAAAAAAAAAAAAAATTAGTGGTATATAATAGTCATATATTTTAGACGGTATTGCTCATATATAATACTTATATAAGCCATATATATTAAATTCTTCTTGTGTTAATGGTTTTATTTTTGACATATTTGATGTGCATAACATATCCTAATAAAGTACATTATATGTTCTTAAGACAAATTAGTATTCGTAAGTCAAATTTTGAAATATATAACATTGCAAACTTTTGTAACGTGTGGCTGGAAAATATTCCATATTTAATTTGGAGTTTAATTCAATCCTATATTATATCAGAAAGCAAATATAAATTACTATTAAAAAATATAAATTTGTTTATGTAAATTTAATAATTTTAAATACGATATAATGATATACTATAATTTAAAATTTTAATAAAAATTAAAAAAATATTATGTTTGATATATGATAAAAATTATAACATAATAATTTTTCATATTTTAAATATATTTAATAAAAAATAAATACAATGCAAATATTCAAATTGTCGATTTTTTTTTGTAATTATCATTTCTACTTCTAAAAATACTTAATTTTTTAGTTAAATACAAAAATGATCTTGTACTATAAACTTTATGTTAATTTGGTATTTAAAAAAAATAAAATTCACACTTAAATATTTAAATTTTTATTTTGTCAATTAATTTAGTACTTTAAACTAATATCATTAATCAAGTCGCTTGCATAGTATTGATATCCAATAAAATCATGACACATGACATAAATGTTCAATTATTATTATATCATTTATTTGTCATGTTAGTAGTTAAATAAAAAGTTTTAAATATATATTTTTATTCAAAATTAAAAAAAAAAACGAACACAATCAAGGAAGAGATAAAAAAAAAAGAAAAAAACAAAGAAAGAAAGAGAAACAGGAAAAAGGAACCCTTAGGTGACACCTTCAATCAACTTAAGGTCGAATCGAGACTAGTTTATCTCGAACCTAGTAAATTAGTTTCAACCCAGCTCATTCAAGCCAAATTCATGTCGATTTGCCAAGTCTAACATAGATCAACTTGTTTTAATCTTAGGTCGATTGATGATGTCTCTCTTTCCCCTCCCCTTCTATCTCTTTTTTTTTTTTTCTTTCCCAAGTTTCACCTATTGATTATTTCATATTATTGATTATTTAAAAAAAATGATTTTATTATTTTTATTTTTAATTTCTTTTGACGTAATAATGATCAATATGATGATAACTAAATATTTACGATAAATGACATGAATTTTTTGGGTATTTATGCTATCTAAACTTAGTTACTTAAATAAATGATAATAGTGCAAAATATTAAAATATTTGATGGAAAGAAAGTTGATATATTTAAATGTAAATTTTATTTTTATAAGTATCAAATTGATAAAATATATAATTAATGGATCATTTTACAAATTAATCTTTTTTAAATATTAAAACACTTAACCCTTCCTTTAAAACAAATAAATAAGGAAAAAAACAGGTCATCCTGACTAGACCAACCAATCCCAAGGCAGCACCCCTGACCCACAACCCCACCACCTCACCACCTTATAACCCATCTCCCGTGAACCTCCCCTCTCCACTTGTAAAAAGTATCCTAAAAATCACACCAGCCATAGACCTCCACACCCCCGCGGGCGAGGTCCTACCGGACCTCCTCGGGGCAGCTGTGTCTATGTCCCATCCTGATCATGCACCACCACCACCACAACCACCCCCACCTCATCCCTTTCCACCACCGCGAGAAAAGCTACAAGCACTAGAATCACCACAACCTTCGGCGCCGATGATTATGATGATGCCACCTCTGCTTCCGCTTTATAAGCAGCGATCGTGGTCCCCAGACATTTTCCGTGATGACGCATGGCTTAGAAGGAAGGGAAACAGCAAGAACAGGAGAAGCAAGAGCGTGACAGACGAAGACCTTGATGAACTCAAGGCTTGTATTGAGTTGGGGTTCGGGTTTGACTCCCCTGAGGTGGATCAACGTTTGGCTGATACTTTGCCTGCTCTGGGTCTTTATTATGCTGTTAACAAAAACTATAACGGCACCCTCTCAAAGTCTGTGTCATCTCCTTCAGCTGCATCGGATTGTGATAGTATTCCCTCCCCTATTGGCAGCCCTCACGCCATCTTTGGCCCTGGTAAGTAATAAATTCAACTCAGATGATCCTAATTTTGTTCGAACTTCTTTTTCTTCTGATTTTAGTGATTTTGATTTTATTTTTTGGTGATTGGTGAAGGTGATAATCCACAGACGGTGAAGACAAGGCTGAAACAATGGGCGCAAGTGGTTGCTTGTTCGGTGAGGCAAAGCTCATGATGAGGATGATGGATGGATGTGTCCCATAACTTGATATGATCATCAGGGTTTCAGGTTATTTATTGAGAAATCAAAACAAAAAATCAGGGTTGTCATCAATGTAACCAAATATCAACAAACAACAACTTGTTTGATATGATTACCCTACCCACTTGCTTTTGTTCGGTTAGAAATTAAAGAAAATCAATGTGAAAAATCCCCAAGTTAAATAGAAAAAAGAAAAAAGACAAAACAAGAACAGCTACTATTAGATTGCCTTTTCTTACTGTAATCAGTCAATTTTGCATTGCTGTCAATGTTAATTTTTTTTTTTAACTTTACCCAGTCTTACGTTGTTTAAGGTACGTAGTTTCTGTCTGAACCATGAAGTGAGAAAAGGTCAAAAGATGTTCGCAGCTTCTTTTTTTTTTTTTAAACTTTAAAAGTGTTTCTCTGTCTTAATAATTGGAATGAGGGATTTTCTTTTCTCGAGGAGAATCCTTCTTTACGGAATACAGCTTGCTTTAATTAATGGGCAGACAAATAAATCATTTTCTTTCTTGAAAGGAAAGGCATTTTGAAGCAAAAAAGTTTTATGCTTATTCCTTAATGCCAGACAGAATTAAGACTTTTTTGACAGTCAATTTGCGCTTTGCATGTTCTCAATCATCAACCAGACTGAGGCCTGAGAGATATAGATTCCCTCCCCCCTCCCCCCCACCCCACCTAAACTCTGATTCAAGAAATTTTACAAAATTTATGAAAATTTTCATGACAACTCAAAAAATTGCTCTGCAGCTACCCTCGCTCTGGATAAAATTCAATCCAAATTCCAAAGAGTTTGATGTGGATTCCCTGATATGAATAGATAAATGGTTATAGCTATTGGTTGATGGTAGTCACAAGATCAGAAGACAGGGTAGATAAGTGGGTAATGAAACTGAGATTTGTCCTTTGCCAAAAGGGGAAAGTAGTGTGGAAAGGGGACATAGGAATAATTAAGATCCTGTTAGCATTAGTTAAGGATTTTAGACTAAAGCTGAATAGCACTAAATATATTCCATTTTTAGCGGTATGAACAGAATGTATTAATGGGGAAACGAATTTCAGGAACAAAAGAAACTGAGAACCTGATTTGGATATTGGTGCATATCTACTAATAGCAAAAGGAATTTCAGGCTTTGTCCCCGTGAAAGGCTTAGTTAATTAATTTGGTATGGGGATGAATTAAATGCTCTATATAATTTGGAAAAACTAGAATGAATTACTACTCTCTGTTAATACTTAAAATCCATTTGGATTGTTCTTGAGTATTCCTCGAGTGATCGTTGCATTATTTTCTCAATTCAAAGAATAAAATTTGAATCACTCTTCTCCAAATTATTTAGAATCTGATATCATTTTGGTATTTACGAATAGTTTTTGGAGATATATGTAAACATGATTTCCAAACAATCACTAATGACAAAGACAAATTTGACCCTAACTTTCGATGGCCTCATTACTCATAGTACTATACTCATGCATTACCTTGCTTGCATTAATCCCCACATATATGCCCCACGTACACCAAAATTATATAAATCACCAGAAGTGTGATTTAGCTGGGAAAGAGTGCAATATTGGCAGCAAAGAGGCACCCACTAAGACTGGTCTACATCCAAAGCATCGATGTGAGAAAAGGGTGCTTCAGGACAAAACATGGCATTAGTGCTCACAGCTCAATCCAACATAAACAACAACAACCAAGTGCTTAGCACTATTAATTTCTCTGTCATGGTTTCTCATTGGATGAAGAAAAGTTTCAGACATATTGGTCCACTGGAGAACGCGGTGGGTGCTCTCCTTATTTCAATTCCTGTTCCAATGGGCTTCCACGACTCGATAATTTTGTCCACAATCATGAAACCCAATAGTGAAAGCCCGTTTTAGGGCTTTTGTTTTGAATTTCTAAACAGTAAACCCCAATGAATTAGTGGGTTCAACAGTAGTACTGGCTTTTGAGTGTCGTTCATGTACACATCTTTGCTTCATGAACCATTCCAATATCCGATAGCTGATGACTAGTTATGCAGATTTGAGTGGAAAATCTTGTTCAACATGATAGAGAAATACATTATACATCAATCCGATGAGAGGTTTTCGCATTCGATTCAAATATCAAGACTTGCAAAAAGGAATATATCCTTATATTTTGAACGAAAGGATCGTTTATAATGATCAGTACGTTCATTTTTCAATGCTGTCAGAATATTCTGGGGTTCAAGAAGTTTTATATCAGACAAAATGTAGGTTGTGTGCAAGAAGAGAAAAAGAACGGTAGTGCTGGTGCCGAAATAAGTTGCTTGAGGTAAAATTGCGAAATAAAAAAGAGAGAAATAGAGTGGTTAAAAACAAAAGTTGAGAGAGCTCTTGGTATTTGTGTTTCGATATTTAAGTCAAACATCGATAAAAGAGGATAATGAGAAGAAGAATGTAAGGAAAGCATAAGAAAGTAAGCTTGTGAAATGTCTAGATGGTGTTCAAAGCTAGCCTTAGGACCTAGATGATCTAACAAATCAAGTTGACTTTAATATTTACCGTTTGCTTTAGGGATGATAACTTAATATTTAGAGGAATCTATTGAATAAATTAGTGAGGTGATGGAGTTGACGTGATTTTATGAAATTAGATCAATTTGATATGTTAATTTAATTTAAAATTAAAAATATTTTTGATTATTTGTTAATAATTTAACGAAAAAAAAATTATTTGACTTTTTAGATTTAAAAATATCTGGCTGGCTTTAAACATAGGTGATATTGATAATTAACTTAATGTTTGAACAGAGAATTGTTTATTGTTGATCAATCCTTCTAAAAAAAAAGTTGTTTTTAATTGAATGCTAATACTGACCAGTTCATCGCTCATAGATACGTCAATCAATGTTGGTTTTCGTCCTGTTTTCGTGCCGTGAAAGACCAATTTCAATGGATAAAAAACAGGACGCCATGCATGTGGGAACAATCTGCCGTCCGGTTTTTGATGCTGAATCTTGGAATTTTCTACAGATTTATGCTTGAAGATTAAGTCTTTGATATATTCTGCAAATTATTAACATTATTTTTTATTAGTGAGAAAAATTGATTAAACAAACACTGGCCTGCCAACATTCTTGAAAAGGTGTTGTATATCTATTGTTCAAAGACGTGTGTATGGCTAAGTATGGTTGTTACTTTCCTAGAAAACTCCTATAAGATGTCTGGAAGAAGACAGGAAAAGAAAAGAATGTGTGGAAGAGAAACAAAAATAAAACAGAAATTCTACATCTTTGCAGTCACATTGGTCCACCTATAGACTTTATAAGAACAAAAGCCTTTGTTTATTTCAGTAGAATAGCCGAAAACAGCATTTAGAAACAGTGAAAAGAAGAAAACAAAATTAAGGCATAAAGTCAAGCCCTTAGTTTTCTATCGTTTTTTTTTTTATAAATTTATATTTGATATATTGTTATTGTATAAATTTTTATATATTGTTAATAAATCATATAATAATACTTCATTAATGAAATAAATCAAATGATAATTAAAATTTTTTTAAATATTAATTTTAATTATTGATATGTACTCATTAATAAAATATCATCATCCGATTCATAGATAATATATAAAATTTATATACTAATATTACATTAAATATAAAATTTTTTATTATAAGATTAGACGTATTCTCAAGTAATTTCGCTGGGATCTAATGGCTTTTTAAGATAATTTTTTTCATGTAAAAAAACAATGTATTTAAAAAATCCTTTTTTGAAATATTCCATTGAATACTTATTGATAAGAAAGATGTTTTTTTTTTTTTACCGGCTTCACTAGTTCTTTACAAAATCCTAAATAACAATTCAAAAAATCTGTTGTACGCTACCTTTGATCCCAAAAAACCCTTAATTTTTTTATTGAAATTTGTTAGAAAAAAGGCAATTTTATATTTATTAACATAAGAAAATGTTATATAGAGGTATTCAATAAAAAAATCATAATCGCATTATAATTTTAGATATTATTTTACTTACATGTCATAATCGTAATTACCAAAAATTAAAAAATATTACCTTAATAAAAATTAAGTTTTAATTAAATGATTGATTACTCAAATACAGAAAAACTAAGAACAACAACATTCTATCAAAAAAAAAAAAAAAGAAAAACTCAAGAACAGGAATATTATATAGGTTTATTCTTTTTTCACTCTAATTAAAATTTTTTAGTGAGAGTTTGAATTTCACCGTATCTTTAATGCAATGCAATTAAACTCAACCGACAATTAATTGAATTCAAATATTAATTTTAATAAAATTTATTTAATATAAATTTTTTTATAAAATTTTTTTAATCACAATTATAATAATAATTATTATTATTTTTAATTTTAGTAAAACCAATCTTACCTTTCATCCAAATGATCTCTTAGATTGATCATTACCTAACCATTGATTACGCCACTGGGTGGTGGCTAATATCATTCCCCATGTGATTAGGTTGATTTTTATCGACCATTGGAAGCTTGGACTGAGAAAATTCCATGCCACTGATTTCTATTTTACGCTTACGTCTTTGACAATTGTCAACTTATGACAAAGCAAGAGAGAAAAAAAATCTATGTGATATTACTGACAAAAATAAGGTTGTTTATGCTTCTGATCGCTCTGATGCTTGCTTAAATCGGGGGTTGTCAATGGCGAAAGTTGAAAATGACCGCATGCCATCAAACTTTGCCGTAGAATTCTCCAAAAGGAAGAGGACTAGTAACATGCATACATCCAATTTTCTTTTCCAAATTCGGGACCTGATGTTTGTCCAGGTGTAAAGGTAGCATTGTGGAACATGTTACGGAAATTTATTACTAATTATTTGCACCAAAGAACAATAAAAATGTACTAAAAGTTTAGAAGTTGAATATTGAACGGTTCATTAATGCAATTAAGCCGTCCTCTAACATTTAAATTTATCATCTAAATTACACTGAACTTTTTTTATATAAAAGAAATTACAGAATTGAAAAAAAAAAAGTTTTTTGAGGTTATTTTTTTAAAAATTTATATATAAATTAATTAAATTAAACATTGAAATCAACTAAAATTTGAATTTCAAAGTCATTTATCAAAAATAAAAAGAACTAGCTAGAGTAAAATTCCTTATAACCATATAAAATCTTGGAATTAGTAAAATTTCTCAAACTTTACTATATATATATACATCAAAATTGTATCTATGATTTTTTTAATGAAAAACTATTTGATAGTCTGATAGTAAATTTTTTTAATTTAACAAATGAGATTAAAATAATAACATATATTTTATTTATTTTTTATATTAATTTTTTTAAATATATAAAAAATATGTAATATCATTTTAATTTTACTTATGAAATTAAAAATTTACTATCAATATATTTAATTTTTTTATATAATAAAATTAAAATTAGAATAAATTGAAGTATGAACTGATCAGAAACAGCAGCTTAATAAAAAAAATTGTTCCCGTTGGAATCATTTGGGCCTAAATCCGATGACATAATTTTATAATTTCTTTTTTGTTTTGTAATATTTGATATGAAATTCCACATATCTTTCTGGTAATTTTTAAAACGTTTCCACCTTTAATCGGAGTTTGACAAAGAAAAAAGAAAGCAGAGATGAGAAAGACAAAAGAGAAGTGGATGAGAAAGTCAATATGATCGGTGATTAAATTCCAACATTTGTGCTATCACGTTATTTCGAAAGGACTTGAATTGATCGTCCCCTTTACGCTATCAAACAGCGTATGGATATCCAAACAGAACTTAGTAAGTGGAAACGAAAGCCAATATCTGTCAGTATGTTTTGGCCTGCGAACTAGTCATAGTACAGTCGTTCGCAGCCATGATGTTTTGAAAAACTGTTTTAAAATCATGAATTCATTTTCACTGTTTATAAAGCCCTAATATTACTGTTTTTTTTTTCTCCAAATAATTATGGGTTTAATCACAAGCCTTTTGAACACGATAAAATTGTCGCGAAAAGGAGAAATGTAAGATTCATGGTAAAATCGAAAATAATAATAAAAATATTATAATTATGATTGAAAAAATTTTATAAAAAATTTATATTAAAATTAATATTTAAATTTAATTATTGATATAATAAATTCAACTACGTCGCATTGTGGAATCCTAGCTCTCATATAAATGTTTGGTCTCTGAATTGCCTAACCTAACCCAGGTGGTCAGCCGCCTAGACTAAGAAAAGAGGCAGTTTGGTCGAAAAACTAGACCAAGGTTTTCCTCAGAAACTGGTAAAACACCATTAAACTTATACAAAATTTTAATCTCGTTTTTGTCAGAAAAAATTATGTAGTATACTACTTACTCACAGATTAGATCTTGTTATGGCATTGTTGTCTCTATTTTTTTCCTTATTTTTAGTATTTGAGATAGTTAATAATTAAATTTTTGTCTTTAAAATTAAGAATTTAATATTCTACAACAATAAAATCATTTAAACATGTGTTAATTTTTATCATTTTTTTAGTCAAATTAAGACAATTTTTTTTAAAGTTTTTAAAATAATTTAAATGTACGAAAATTTTTTATTTCTCATGAAAAGTCTTTCTTCCTTTTATTTTATCAAAACATAAAGCTAGCTAATTACTATATATACTCAATAATCATAGATTAATGGTCTCTATATACTGTTTAAAGTTTTGAATTTCCACATAATTTCATAAACCAATCATTTGAAATGCCGAAAATTAGTTTACATTTCTAATATAAGAGCATATTACCTATAATTATTATAATACAATTAACCAATTATAATTCAGAATTATGAAAAATTCATAAAATTTTTTTATGAAATCTACATTTAAAAGTGATGGATCTCTATACAATTCATTAATGTAATTGAATAATTATAATAAAAAAGTTATAGATAAAATGCTCCCTTCTAGAATATTTTATGTGTGCCTAACATCAATTACTTAGTCAAGATACATTTATACTTCATCATAGACACAAGAGCTGGGCTATTCACTCATTATAAATTTTTACCTTTCGTATTTGGTATTCCTTTCTCATTTTTCGGTTCATTTTTTGCTTACATTTTTTCTATTTTTGTTCGAATATTACGTAATTCTTTGTTTCTTAAATTAATAAACATGAACCCTCCCATATTATATTTAATAGGTTTTTTTTTTTTTTCATTTATGTTAAAGGATTTTTGAAGGATTCAATTTTAGTATAGCTCATATTGCACTATCAATTAAAAAAAATTATTTAATTTATACAAGCAACATTTAATAAATATAAAATTTAACACTTATAATTTTTTTTATTCATGATTTTTTTTTTATAAAAAAACTATACGGGACAAATTAAAACTCCAATAGCAATAGGAGTATCAATGTTTCGAAATAAAAATTCAATTAACACATATATTAATCAACTAGGTTGTAAGATTAAAAGTAGCCCAAAATTTAAACAGAATATATATAAAGAGTGCTACTGCTAATGATAATAATGATGATGAAAGGAAGCAATCAGTGATTATGGGGTGTTACCCGTTAGGTGGGGGGCTGAGGAAAAAATAATATTACCACTACTTAAGTAAAGGCTTCCCCAAGCTTCTTCGGCTTGGAAAAGGTGGAAACGGTGGAAAGCACGCGTTCATATAAACCCCCCTCTCCTCCCTCAAATCAACTCTTTAGAAATTCTATTTAATAGAAGCTTCCTTCGGGAAACGACCAAGGACACGCCCACCACCTTCGTTTTTCTCATTAGAAAAATCTCTCTCTCTCTCTCTCTCTCTCATCATTTTCCTCGAGGAAGAGAAAAAGATTATTGTTTTGATGTTTTCTTCTCTCTCATCTTGTTTTTTTTTTTTTTGCTTTTGGAAAGATTGACACTAGTGGAGGCCTGGAGGGGCTGCTTTTTGCTTTAATTTAAGGGACTTGTTTCTCAAAATTTCTAGAACCCAACAGTATCGTTTTCTTTTGGTTTTCATCTTGATCCTCGTCCTCCCTTTATAAGTAGTCTTTGTTAATTTTCTCATTCAGGACCACTGGTCAGAAAGTTATGGTCTTGTTTAGATTCCAAAAACCAGGGAGTTCGTCCTGTTAACTCATGGAAACTGATACAAGCAAACGCTGTGACAACCTTCTTCACTCTCACTTCTTCCTCTCTGGGTTCTATTGCTGGGGTTGGGAATTCTTGACCGCTCTTCTTCTCTTTAGTTGTTCTGTCTAAACACAACGTATCCTCAACATCTTTAACGCCGTTTGTTCTACTTTTGTTTCTCTTGTGATAATAATTCTTTGTTAGATTTTCTTTCGTTTTTACGTATTCTGGGGAAGGGTTTGGTGAATCGGAGCGGGTAAAAGAAGAAACAGAAATGGCGCAAAGGTCAGTTCCGGCTCCGTTCTTGACGAAAACGTACCAGCTGGTGGATAATCCGATCACCGACGATGTGATTTCATGGAATGAAAAGGGAACGTCCTTTATCGTTTGGAAAACTGCTGATTTTGCTAAGGATTTGCTACCCAATTATTTCAAGCACAACAACTTTTCTAGCTTCGTTCGGCAGCTCAACACTTACGTAAGTTATCGTATTTTGAATTATAATATAGTGTTATATGCAAGAAAGTGTTACATTTGTGTATTTGTATTTATTATTTTAAAATTTAAGTAAAAATACCAAAATTTGTAAAACTTATAATATTTTACATGATTGTATATAAATTTTTTTTGTTCTAAATCTAAATAAATAATAAGTATATTAAAAGTTTATATTTAATATATTATCAATATATAAATTTTATATGACGTTAGTGATCATATGATATCAATTTCATAATAAATTTTTTTAAAATTAAAATTTTATGTATTTATTTTAAAAATTTATATTTATTTCAATAATATCATATGATTCATTAATAATATATAAAATTTATAAATTAATAATATATTTGTAATATTTATATGGTAAACTGTCTTTTTCTCAAATTTTTTGGTGAAGTAAAAAAATGGATGATTAATTGTCTTAAGATTTCTTTCTATTAAAAGGAAGGAAATTTTATTGGATAGTTTTAAAAATTATTAATAGATTGAATGATTCTCATAATAGCTTGGGGTTATGATAATTGATGGGATTGGTGAGCTAATTAAAGATATTAATGAACCTTTCACCAACTCAATTTTTGATTTAAAAAAAAAAACTCAAATTTTAAGAATTTTTCTTCTAAAAATAAGTTTTACCAATTATTTTCTATCAACTAATTTTAGGTGAGGGATATGACCGTCTTATTACTTTTCTGTAATAGTACGGAAATTAAAATGAAAGTTCCTTTAACAGTTACGTCTCGGTGATTTTTTTTACTGTTTTCCGACAGGGATTTCGAAAAGTTGTTTCCGACAAATGGGAATTCGCGAACGAGAACTTCAAGCGAGGGCAAAAAGAGCTGTTGTCCGAAATCCGTCGTCGAAAGACGGTGACATCATCATTGGCTAATACTCCGGAGAATGGGAAAACATCTGGTGGTGGAACTTCCTCCCCGACTAACTCTGGAGAGGACCTAGGGTCCACTTCCACGTCATCACCGGACTCGAAGAATCCGGGATCGGTGGAAATTAAGCCAGAGGATATGAATCAGTTAGCCGATTTATCAGATAAGAACGAGAAACTGAAAAAAGATAACGAGAAGTTGAGCTCGGAGCTGGCCCAGGCGAAGAAGCAATGCGACAAACTGGTCGCGTTTTTAACTGAATGCGTGAGGGTAGGGCCAGATCAGATCGATCGCATCATGCGGCAAGGAAGCTGTGGGTCCACCCATGATGGCGATGATCGTGGCCGTAGCTTCGGTGCTGATGAAGATGATGATGATGAAAAAAGCGGCGAAGAAGGTAGCCGAAGTTTGAAACTGTTTGGGGTTTGGTTGAAAGGCGCGGAAAAAAAGAGGGCCCGCGAGGAGAAAATCGTGTACGATAGGCCACGCGCTAAGGAGATGAAGACCGTAGATTGTCGCGACGTGCCTTTAGCAGTAAAGAGCGGCAAGGTTTGCAACTGACCAATCAACGGTCGACACGATAGCAAGAAACTTCCATGCTAGTTGCTTTCATATAATTAGGAATAAGTAAGGTTTTCTTTTGTATATAAAATGTAGTAATAACGATGGCTTTGTCAGTTAGTCAGCAATTGTGGGAGGCAAAGATCAAAGGCAAATGGGTCTTTGCCTTCCTCCTCCCATCTTCAATGTTGCAAAATTACACATTTGTAAAATGTCTCCTTTGAAGATTAGATTGTTATTATTATTATTATTTTATTTTGAGGTTTAATTTTATTGGCTCACATGTTACTATATTATTATAACATGAAGAAAATAGGAAAAGCAAAAAGTTAGGTCAGGTGAACATATTAGTTAACTTTGCACATTATTCATCATTAATTTGTATAAAAATGTTTTTGTTAGAACACATAAATTATGATTTATCACTCAAATGTTTGCTTGTTTTACCAGTCAATAATTTGAACATTCATATGGAATCATAAATAAAATAAAATAATGAATAAATAATTTTTTATCTAGTCAAGTATTTGTTTCGAGTGTTGGATGCATGTTCTTTTTACTTTATTTAGAGAGTAAGATTGAAACGATGGAGTACCATATAAATAATCATATAATTTGTTAATAAAATATTAAATTTTTAATCTTAACGATCAAAATTCGATTCACGTTAACCTTAAGTTAAAAAAATATTAATGGGTGACTGACCGACCATGGTATGAAGTTTAGAAAGGGTGGAAGCTTCTGCCACATAATTCTACACTCTGCTCAAAAACCCGGAAGCTTATAATTTCATTATTAGCTCTTATAATTCTATGACTACGAAAGATTGAGTTGGTCCCAGAAGTGTACAAAAGATCAATTTTTTCTTGAAAAAGATATTTATTAATCTGCAAAATTTGGTTGCGTACAGATTTCAAAGGTAGGTATAATATTTTGACTGAAGTGATTGGATAAGTTAGCAAGATCAAAGCATTTTTATACGTTCACATTTTGTTTTTGCCTTTTGTTGCTTGTAGATTTCAAATGCCAGCCATGATGTTGATCTTGATGTTTTCATTAGGAAAGGGATTGGATCAAAAAGACTTGAATAATTCATTCTTGTCATCAAAACATAATTACTCATTATCTTCTTGTAGAGAATTTTACACATGAGTCCGTTGTAGTCTAGTTGGTTAGGATATTCGGCTCTCACCCGAAAGACCCGGGTTCAAGTCCCGGCAACGGAATATTCCTTTTTATTACTTCCAATTCAATGCAACGGCCGCAACCATCCATGAAAAGATCAGACAAATATTTGTATTGCCACCAAGTTTTGCTACGGACTAATGGCTGTCGTCTTCCGTCACTTTCTAAAATCACCACTTCCCTCCCTTTCATTTTCTTCTTCTTCTCTTTGCCTTCTCTCTTCTTTCAGTTCACCTTCACCCAGGCCTCAAATTTTTGCATCCTCTTTACCAGCATCATCTCCCATGGACAACACTCCCAGAAAATTCATGGATTTCCCATTTGTCACTGCCCCACATAGGAACTTAATGATTGATCTCGTATCAACGGTGGAGAATCGACTCCAGTCTCAGCTCAAACCATGCACCCTACCTCCTGATGTACAATATTACTACAACCAAAGTGGAACCTCCCAGGGCTCACTTCATATCAGATCAGGTCATAGCTCTTCCCAGGTATAGCTTCCTTTGTTAACTTTTTTATTTCATTTTTTTTCAATTTGGTGTCTGGGGTAGTCTTGAATTCTTTAAAGTTGACCATTCCTACTCTAGACTTGATCAATTTCTTCCTTGTTGACAACTTCTCTAGTAAACTCTGTTATAGAAGAAAAAAATGATTCTGTATAAGAATGATTGGCCCAAATTGACATGCAGTTGAAAGGAAAATCTATCTCTTTAATGATTAACTACTTCTCTAGTTGCTATTGCAAAGGTAGCATGTTGAATTGTTGATTAATTGTCGGTCCATGCTTAAAACTTTTAGACTCAAGTGACCCAGTTTATGCAAATTTTTTTTTTTGGTACAAAGGAGAGGGGAAGGGTTCAACGTGCTGGAGCTTTTGATATAGAACGTTTTGCTGTTGATTCTAGTGATTAGGAATTTAGGATATTCCAATTTGTACACCCCAGAAACTGAAAGCAAAAATTTTATTTATATCTAATGTGAATTGGTTTATTGGTCATAACTCATAAGACATGTTCAAAGCTTTCTGCAATCGCTGTAAGTCAAATCAGGAGAATAATAAAGAATAGGTAAAATAATTTGTGTTATACACATTATTATTCACTAGTATAATGAATGAAATGGTTTTGGATGCAAATGTGTTGCATAATGGCTTATAGTTGTGTATTGGACAGAGTATTGTTAGTCTCAGACTGGTCTGGCATGAGGCTTGAGGATTACCGCCAGCAAATAGCTAATCCTAGACTTTCAGTTCAGGATGCTAATTTGCAGCAAATTGCAGATTCTAAGCCTGACTTACAGCCATTGGGTTTTACCTTGCAAAATTTCCTCATATAATTCAATTTAATCTAATGGTTGTCAGCTTAGCCTATTTCATTTTATGAAGATCCTATTGATATATCAAATTAATTCGGAAGTGCTTTTGTTTGTGTTTATGCTCTTCCCACTTCTAACCTCTGTGTGTGTATATGCTGCACCCTGCTTGTGTTCTGGTTGAAATTTTAGATAGCTCTTCTCTGTAAGAATGCTTCAAGTGATATTCCCAGGCCCCAACCATCTGTTTTTAGAGGCTTAAATTTCCCCAAGTTGTTTGTTGACGCAGAAAGGTAGAGATGATGTTGATCTAGGGATATCCTGTATGGTTCGTAAAATTGAATCCTGGAATCAAAACAGCAATCTGTGTTGTTTCGTATTTGAACTGTTGGCTGTCGTCTTGGCCAGGGCCTAGGTATCTCTTTCTAAATGCCTGGCTGGAGGCTGTTAAAACGTTTGTAATACCAATGTGTTTGAACTCTGCACTCTCTTTCCTCTTAAGATTCATCATTCATGAGAAGGTACTGTTCAGCTTAAATTGTGAAGGTGTGTAAGTTCTTAATCTTCAGTGACACTGCAGTAGCAGTATATTACTGCCATTGTTGCTAAATCTGCAATTGGTCAGCTGATATCCTTTTTGGTAACTTGGAAGATTTCCATTATGCTTCTAAGTGTTGTGTCTTTGGCAATAATTTTGTTTTATTTTAGATGAAATTAGCTGTGAATAAAGGTTGCAGATGACAAACTAGGTATCTGGTAATTAAAGTCGTGTTGTAAAGGACATTAATTGTGTAGTTACATTTTCGGTTTTATTGGATTTTGACAATGAGCCTGATCTAAAACGTATTGTTTAATATTCCTTTTCCGGGATTCTGAATGTTTGGATGTTACAGGTTGATTTCATACTAGGAAGTTGGTTACACTGTGAGCTGCCAACAGGGGGAGCACTGAACATAACAAGCCTTTCAGCATATGTGAATGCTTCCACAGATGCACCACATTTCCTTATTGAGCTCATACAGAGTAGCCCTACATCGCTCATTCTGATTCTGGATTTGACCCCTCGAAAGGACCTAGTCCTATACCCAGAGTACCTTCAGACTTTCTATGAAAACACTCGGTTGGACTCGCTTAGGCAAACGCTTGAGAAACTCCCGGAAGTTCGACCCTACTACTCTTCAGCTCTTTACATTCGATGTATCACTTCTCCCACATCAATCATGATCCGTGTCAACACAGATGGAGCTGAACCAGGACGCATGGAGGAGATTGTAAAGCATCATGTGGATCCTGTGGCAAAAGAAGCACTAGGTATATGGTTGGATCAATGTGCTTGTGGTCAAAGAAATGTGGATGAGGCAGAAAAGGCATATTTGGAAAAGAGGGATGGATTGATTAAGAGCAAGACCATTGAGATTGATATTGGCTCAAGCTTTCCAAGGTTGTTCGGGCCTGACATAGCAAACCGCATAATAGGGGTGATGAGGGAGGCATACGAGGGATGAATGCTAAATGTAAGCTCATTGTTGTACGGTAACCATATTCATCGGTATATACGAACATGGCATGTTCTACCTATTTCTCTCTCTCTTTTATGGAAAATAACTTAAATAACTTGTCTACTTAGTTCAAAAATAGTTTATTTATTTAAGTAATAAAAATGATCTGATTTGAATCAAAGTTTAATTTAATTAATTCAAGCAATTATTTTTAAAATATAATATTTAACAAATTTAGATTTTATAAAATCAACGTTGTTTTTTCACTCCCAACCATTTATAAAATTTTGTTTTCAATTTTTAATTTTTAAAATAAAAACAAACTACCAAACATAATTTTATTTTCAATTTCCAAATAAGAGTGAAAACAAAAACATCTTCAAAGCATCCATTTGCATCATCATGCTTGATCAATGGAATAACAAAAGCAAAGAACAAACAAGCCATTTAAGCCCATAATTAGTAGATAAGTCTAGTTAAGAATGGGCCTACTCATGGCCCATTTAGTCCCATTTTTATACAGTCAACAAAGATCAAACAACCGTGCAAAAGATGGTATTTTTATATTACTCTTTTTTCCTTTTTTTAAATTAAATCTTCAAATCGGCCTTTCAATTCCTTTTCTCTGAGGTTGAGGATTTTTCTCGAACGCGTTTCGATCTTATCTGAATTAACAATGGTATGTTCTTCGTATTACGCTCTAGATCCAGTTCTTTCTTCTTTATCATCATTATTATTATTAAAGATTAGGTTTTTGATATTTTCTTTATCTTCGTGTTCCTCTTTACTTTGAATAGGATTCGCCTTTTAGGTTACCGCCTACCGTTGGTAGATTTAATTTGGGATTAAATGTGAAATTTGGGGTTTTATGATAAAATAAAATGGATGAGATATGTAGTGACATTAGCAGGAAATGGAAATAAAAACTTTTTCAGTACTGCCTCAGGAAATTGAAGCAATTGTGGCTACATAATATTTTCTTTGGTTTGTTTATTTATGGCTCACTGATATTCTGTAGAACTAGAATTGTCTCGTTTATGTCTTTTATGAATGTTTGATCACTCGATCAGGCTAGTCTTTATAGAGGGGCATCGAGGAAGGACAAGCCGAGGGGACGTCACCATGGATTAAGCCAACAGAAGAGGCAAGAGATTAGGGAAGCCTTTGAGCTATTTGACACTGATGGCTCAGGTATGGACTGACTTTTTAATACGCGGGTTATCTATGATACATGTGGTTGGCATATTACTCAATCATAGTTTGAATTTTCTGGCCAGGTACCATTGATGCCAAAGAGCTGAATGTTGCCATGAGGTATGAGTATTTGTGTTTCATGTTTCATGTTTGTTAACAGTGTTTTTGGTTGATGTCAACACATTGGAACTAAAAGTTTTAGCTTTACAGGGCTCTTGGTTTCGAAATGACAGAAGAGGTAATTTTCTTAACAGAGGATACTTGTTGAAATGTTTGCTATCCTGTTGTTATCCTGTAATAGATTGTGTATTAAGTTGATTTTCTTGCAATCCTTATGTTTTGATCTGCTGTGTCACAACAGCAAATCAATCAAATGATTGCTGATGTGGACAAGGATGGCAGTGGTGCCATTGATTTTGATGAATTTGTGTACATGATGACTGCCAAGATTGGGGAGAGGGACACTAAAGAAGAGCTTATGAAAGCATTCCAAATCATTGATCAAGATAACAATGTAAAGATCTGTTTTCTGTTTATTTAGAATTGATGTTATTAGCTGTTTGTGGAAGATTGATTCTTCCTTCATTTGAATTCAGGGAAAGATATCTGCCCAAGACATTAAACGCATTGCAAAGGAGCTTGGTGAACACTTCTCCGACAAAGAGATTCAAGACATGATTGAAGAAGCAGATCGAGATCGTAAGCTAACCTTTCTTCTTGAATCTTGATACAGTACTATATGATGTTTTACTTTTCTGTTTCGTTCCAGGTGATAGTATATCTTGATGCCATTCACATTTACTTTCTTGAACAATATTTGGATATCTCCTGATAATTTCGATCTTACAAAATCTTTTTAATTTTGTTTTGATGTTAGTTTTGTGCTACATGAAAAGAACATATATTCACCTGTGACAATTGCGCATAAAATTATTACCAGCCTTTTTTTCTTTATTTGTCAAATCTCATCTATGTTCAAGCAAGCATGTTAATCAATGTCAACTCTGAATGCAGGTGATGGTGAGGTAAGTAGCGATGAGTTCATGAGGATAATGAAGAGAACTACTTACGGCTATTAGAAGTTCCACTTACTGCTGAAGGGGGAGATTAATTGCAGTCATGCTGTAGCTGCAGAATAGTTGTACAAATAAACCAAAAAAAAAAAAATGTTTTGCATGATCTATGTACTGGATTGAATGTTTAACCATAACTTTTAAACATGTAGCTGATCTCTATTATATTAAGTAATTTGAATTAGTATTTTGTTGGCTTTATTTGGCCAGTGATGATTATATGATATTCTATCTCAGTATCTAATCTGATACCACTATCCATCCTGGTTATTGCAATTGATCTGCCTTAATTTGCTTCAACATCGCCATTAAATGGCAGGAAACCATTCTTCTGATTGGTTTAGTTAATGTTAATTTTGAACTCAAAATTGAATTAAATGAATTATGTTATTTTATTTTGATTAATCGAATTGAATTTATTAAATCTTAAAGATTTAATTTAATTTGGTTAATTTAAAAATTAATTGAATAATAAAATATATTAAAATTAAAATTAAAATATTTTATATTTAGAATAAATTAAATAAAATTATTCATAAAATATTTAAATTCTTAATTTTTTGTATTTCTATGATGATAGGAAATGTAATATGATATTTTTTTATTTTACATATTCAAAATTCAAGCTTTTTTCTAACGCCAAAAAAGGAAAAAAAAACCTTATAAATGTAGCGAAGGCTTGTCTGAATTCTGAACTCCTGAGGATGAGCATTGCTATTGGGGGGAAAGCCATAGTTCCAAACATAAATCACTCAGTAAGGCCCACCATGGTTTTAAATCTTCCATGTCGTTCCTCTTCAAGTTTCTTACATCTTTTAAAATACAATCAATGCATCAAACGCTTAAAGCCGCTTAAATCCCTTCTCATCGTACACGGTCTCATTAAAAACAACTTACTGCTAGAACAATTTCTCAAATCTTGCTTTAATCTGGGTGCTCCAAATTTAGCTCTCTCCACATTTTACCAGATTCAAAACCCAAATTTGTTCTTACAAAACTTAATGTTAAAGGGTCTTTCTAGTCTTGGTTTATCTGAAGATGTTTTATCTGTTTATCTAAAATGCCGGGTCCTGAATTGCCCATCCGATAAATTTACATTTCCTTTCGTGATTAAGGCTTCCTCAGCTCTAGGTGCTTCTGGGATTGGAAGACAGATTCATGGCTTTGTTTTGAGAAGAGGGTATGAAAGAAATGTTGTTATAATGACTTCTATTATTGATTTTTATGCGAAAAATGCCCAGATAGGGATTGCGCGGAAACTGATTGATGGAATTTCTGAACCAGACTTGGTTTCATGGAATGCTTTGGTTTCTGGTTACTGTTTTAATGGACTTGATAAAGAAGCATTAGGGGTTGTCAGGGAAATTCAGGGAGTGGACATAAAGCCTAATGTTAGTACTTTGGCAAGTATAATTCCGGTATGTAGTCGGTGGAGGTATTTTGGTATTGGTAAATCTCTTCATGGTTTTGCTATTAAATGTGGATATTTCTTGAATGATTTTTTGGTGCCTGCTTTTATTTCGATGTATAAAAGTGAAGTGGATTTATCTAGTGCTAGACAATTGTTTGACTTTGCTGTGGAAAGGAATGTTTCTGTTTGGAATGCTATGATCAATGGTTATACACAGAACGAGAAGTTTTTGGAAGGTTTTGAGATGTTTCGGGAAATGCTTCGAGCTGATGTGCAGCCTAATTCAGTCACTTTTGTGTCTATAATTCCCTCATGTGAGAACTATTTTAATATTTGGTATGGCGTATCACTCCATGGTTGTGTTATTAAATATGGGTTAGGAAATCAGGTTTCTGTGTTGACAGCTCTGGTGTCAATGTATGCTAAGCTTGGGTACATAAGTTTAGCTGTATTTTTGTTTAATCAGATGCCTAACAAAACGCTGCTGTCATGGAATGTTATGATTTCTCGTTATGTAAGTAATGGGCTATGGGATGAAAGTTTGGTTGCATTTCGTGGAATGCAATTGGAAGGGTTCAGCCCCGATGCAGTCTCAATTGTTAGCATGCTTTCTGCCTGCTCCAACCAAGGTGACATTATACTGGGTGAATCAGCACATGCATTTGTAGTTAGAAGAAGTTTTGAAACAAATATTAATGTTTCAAACGCACTACTGGCATTTTACTCTGATTGTTGTCTACTCTCCACTTGTTTTAAGCTATTTGAAAGAATGGCGACTAAAAATACTGTATCATGGAATACATTGATATCTGGGTATGTACACAGTGGACAAAAGGAGAAGGCGAATATGATTTTTCACCAGATGCAGAAAGAGGGAGAGAAGTTGGATTCTGTAACTTTGCTAAGTATCCTTTCTTCTTACACTGAGAGTGAAAATTTCAGCCAAGGAACAATACTTCATGGTTATGCCATCAAAGCTGGGTGTGAGTCTGATGTCTCTTTGACAAATGCACTAATTAGCATGTATTGTGACTGCGGGGAGCTTGATGCTGGATTGTCATTGTTTGATGTCATGCCTGAAAGAAGTGTAGTTTCTTGGAATTCATTAATGACGGGCTTCCGGCATTACAACTTATCAAACAACGTTTTAGTCTTGTTTGGTTCAATGATAAAGGAGGATCAGAGACCAAATCAAGTTAGTTTGCTAAACTTATTGCCCATATGCTGCACGCTGCCACAGGGTAAGTCCATCCATGCTTTTGCACTCAGAACAGGAATAATAGAAGAAACCACTGTTCTTACGTCTCTTATCTTCATGTATGCTAGATTTGGTAACATAAATTTGTGCCTCCTTGTTTTTCATATGGGGAAAAAAGGAGATATTTCTTTGTGGAATGCTATCATATCCGTGCATGTTGATACAAAAAATGCCGAAAGAGCAGTTGCTGTTTTTCGTGAATTGCTCCAGTTAAGTTTGGAACCCGACAATATAACAGTTTTAAGTTTAATCTCCTCATGTATTCTAGTAAATAGCCTAAATCTAGCAGATTCTGTGATGGCCTATGTGATACGCAAGGGCTTTGACAAAGATGTGTTAGTTACTAATGCCCTTATAGATCTATATGCAAGATGTGGAAACATTGTGGTTGCTAGATTGCTGTTTAACTACATGCATGAAAGGGATGCTGTCTCTTGGAGTGTGATGATTAATGGATACAGATTGCATGGAGATGCTATAGATGCCCTCGAACTTTTTTCGAGGATGCGAATTTCAGGGGTGAGCCCTGATGCCATTACTTATTCAAGTCTTTTATCAGCTTGTAGCCATGCTGGTTTAGTTGAGAAAGGCCATAGGGTTTTCAACTCTATGGTTGAAGACGGGGTATCTCCAAGAACAGAGCATTATGCTTGTATGGTTGACCTTCTTGGGCGAACCGGTCACTTGCATGAAGCTTATGATATAGTTAATAGACTTCCATTTAAACCTTCTATAGGCATGCTTGAATCCTTGTTGGGTGCTTGTAAAATCTACGGGAATGTTGAACTTGGAGAGAGAATTTGTCAGATGCTCTTTAAAATGTACCCACAAAATTCAGAATCCTATGTGATGCTTCACAATATCTATGCAGCAGCTGGGAAGTGGGAAGATGCCAATACAGTTAGGTCTATCATGGAAGGAAGACTACTAAGGAAAGTCCCTGGTTTTAGTCTAGTTGGAGATTAACATCAGAATTAGCAGTCCTCTGAAGTGTGCTAACAAGTAAATGAATGTCAAGGCGAGTAGACAACGTCATGTGACCACGCATGTCGAAGGTGATCCACTGAGCTCCAAATCAACTAGTGGTAGCCGCTCCAGAAAGCAGCTGTCTGAAGCGTAAATGAATGTGCACGATCGGAAGAGGTGTCTGAGGTGATCCACAGAGGTCTATGTGAAAAAAATGGCAGCCAATGGAGAGCTAAGAAATATCGCTCGAGCTGTTAACCAACAGTCGACCTTCTTCGAGTAAGTGGAGAATAATGTTGGGGTCAACCAACCCACAATTTCTTTCTGAAACTAGCAAGTCAAAACGACCCTTGATATGAAATGACGGTTGAATACAAAAAGTAAGAAGTGATGCTGATGCGGTAGACACAAAAACAGCCTGGAAAAAAGAAAGCAAATGGATTACTTACAGTTATCCAGATAACTAGAGAGAAAGTAGCCGGTGGAAGAGAAAAAGATGAAGAGTCTTCATTTTCACACGGGATGGTTTTGGCCGGGAGAAGAAGAGATGAAGAAAAAAAATGAAAGGGATAGTTGGAATAATACGGAATCAAACTAATCCTTCTCAACTTCCATTCCAAGTGGCTTGGGATACATCAAGCGCCAGCAGCATGCATCAAAGTACCAAACCCATGAAGGAAGGCCATTCGTAATCCAATGTTGGATGCGATCACTGTTGGTGGCAGCTCCGCTATGGATGATGACACTCGACATATTTGATTAGATTCTTGGAGTTCTTTTTTTTAGAAAAAAAATTGAGATAAATAAATTATTTAATTTTTTAAAATAAAATAAAATATATCATATTTAATAAAATATTTTAACTAACAATTATTAATAAAATTTAAACTCAAAATCTCTCGATAAAAAAAACGAATTTTAATTAAGTGAATCAATCACTCGGTGATTCTTGGAGTTTCTGGATAGAAAAGATAGTAGTTTTTGGATTTTGGAATTTACAGCCGATGCTGCGCTGTCAAACTCACGGTGAGCCACAGTACATTTTATTTTGCAAAGCCGCTTAAAAGGCGCGTGTATGAAGATGACGGTGGCATCGAGTGGACTCCTGCTAACCCAAATCCTTCAAAAAAAGAAAAAAACTCAAGGAAAGTGTCTTACGTACCTCAATTCAGCGTGTGAGTAACTCACAGCTGTCAATTCCCTCCCTATATAAAGCATTTCCTCCTTTTTTCCGCTCGTTCATAAAGGAATCCGTCGTTGCAACTTAACTCTTAATTTCCCAAAACACCCTTTACGTCATGGAAAGTTACAAGAGAAACCACCTCACTTGTGACCACGAGCATCAAATAATGGTCTCCACCCTCATGCACGTAATAAACGGTGGACAACCTACCACGTCAGTGTTAACTTCAAGTAGTGGGACCAACAATGGGTTTTCTTTTAGCGACACGTGTCCTTTCATAAACTGTAATGAGTATTTCGACGGCATTTTCCCGCCAAGCGGACGCCGACAACAACCAGCCAGAGTCCCAGCAAACAGGAAGCGTTACAGGCGAGTACGGCAGAGGCCATGGGGGAAATGGGTGGCGGAGATTCGAGACCCGAAACGGGCGGTTAGGGTATGGCTGGGGACGTTCGATACGGCGGAGGCTGCTGCCAGGGCTTATGACAGGGCGGCTATTAGATTTCGTGGAGATAAAGCAAAGGTCAATTTCCCATTATCAGATTACAAAATGGAGCAAGAAGAAGGAGAAAAAGGAAAGAAGAGAGAAATTCAAGAAGAGAAAGACAAGAGCAATGGAGAAAAAGGACAGACTATTAAAGAAAATGAAGAGGCAGCATTGGAAATATTCTCTGAGGAAGAGTTTAGGGAGATGATGATGATGATGGATTAACGGCAGCTACCTCCCTCCGCTTCCCGCATGATTATGATATAGGAAGGAACGAGTCAAAAACGTTGGCATACAACTAGTGAATTTAAATTAAAATTGAATTAAAATTTGATAAGTTTGGTCGCTTTAGTTAGGCAGACAGGCAGGGGAAGAGGATGATGGTTAACTATGTGTTTTAATTAGTCATGTGTTAATTATAAAAGTGTCTGTTTATCTTTTTACCTTAAAAAGATGGGACATTCCTTTTTCTTCATGTCCAATCAAACCATGTTAAAAATCTGAGGAAAGGAGGGAATGCCACGTGAATGGACTTAGCTGACTGAAATTCTTAAAAGAAAGTACAGGTGTCAGAAGAGGACTTCTTTGCTTTTATTTTCTCACATGATGTACGTTTAGCGAACCGCAAAGCTCGGCTATAGTCTACTGTTGACTCTTCAATTTTCACTCGCCTCACCCGCATATGGTTGAAAAGTCAATAATCCTACATAGCCAGCTCGAAATAATAATTAATACAGACAAAGAGACATACTTAATGACTGCAATGAGTTGGAGGACATATTATTCCCCAAAAGCCCATATTTATCATTACTGAGATGAAATAGTACATATATCTCTCGGAAAAATCCTTCATATATATATATATATAGTTATAGTCTCAGTACATGATCAAATCCCAAGACATTTATGCACCTAATAAAATAAAACGTAAAGAGTGATGGAGCACGACTGCACCGACCATCGAGCCCCTTTACACAAACACTACACAGCTTCTTCAAGGCAAATACTCATACCTTCTTAAGCTAGAAAACTCAAAAACCAAAAACAAAACTACTCTTTTACCAACCAGTAGTGCAAATTTCCACCAGAAAAACCACCGTGGCTATTTGGTAGACACTGGTAAAATCCCAAAAACTCAACACTCACCGGTCACCATACTAACCCAAGTGATTTTGCCAATAAAAATAACAAAAGTTGCATCTGGTGAAAAGAAATGCTCCACTCGTTGATTCTCTATTTTGACTAAAGTCAGAAAAGCTGTCATCATGATGATTTTGACGACCCATTATTGGTCTGTTTAGCCACATAAATTTGCTTCATCTTTGAAGCGGGAAAGTTCTTGTCTCCACCCATGGATTGGCTTCTTCCTTGAAAACCCATTCTACGATAAGTCCATTCACCAGAGCTGTGCTTTTGCAAAGCCCCACTTCCTCTCTGATGATTATACCCGGAGGAGTCACTGTAATGCTGGGAAGATGATATATTCTTTTGCTGGTAAGACTCAGCCTTGAATGCAGGATTTGCGCTCTGGCCACTACTTTTAATACCGCCGTCATTTTGGACATCAATCTGGCCAGCACCTGCAATTTTAGTGAGGGACAAGCTCTTGGAGACATGTTGTGCTGAAGCTGCAGCAATGGTGGAGCTAGATGGTTCCACCAACCCTAGTTCATCAGGCAACTGGGTGACGGTTGCATCTGTTGCCACAGGAAATTTCCGACTGCTGTCAGAAGGCGTTGATGTTTGGGACTCAGTGAACCTGTTGCTAGTCAATGACAGGTCAACAGGAGGCCCCTGGCTGAACTGAGAAGGTAGTACACCTGTGCGTTGCTGCGATGGCATTGATGGTGTAACAGACGGTAGAGGTGAAGCCGGAACATGAGCCCAACGAGCTTGGATTGACATGTCTGGAGTGGACTGAAGGAAAAGTTTCAAGATATTAGTCAGATCAGAGGAAAAGTAGGGAAAGGGACAAAAAGGGGGAGGGCTGGGTTGTAAAGTGTCATAAATCAAACAACAGCCAAACAAAAAAACTTTGATAATTCTCATCATCCAGCATTCTAGTGCACCTATTCAATAAAATCCAGTTTAAAAGAATCGATGATTACACCTAGAATATCTACATAGACCACTAACTTTTGAGTTGACAACACAAATTAATTTGGAAAAAATGGACTAGGACAACCAAAAAAAAAAAAGCACCATCGTGAATCTTCACGATGCTGGCGGCTTAATAGCTTGAGGTTTGCTTAAACTTTTACCTGGAAAGGAGAAACATCAAACATAGCAAGTGGAGATGCCATGGGCAGAAGAGGAGAACCAGGGCCAGGTGCAAGATGCTGGATTTGAGCAGGCATGTTGGTAGAATTACGGTGCGAAGCTTCCATATTCAAATTATTCACATCCCCTTCACCAATTGCAGAAGATGCGGGATTGTGTTTCCAGTCAGGTTGTTTTCCAGATGGGATGTACGTTGTACCCATGAAACTTAGTCCAAACTGACCAACTGGAGCAAAATGGTTGTACACAACCATATGTGGTGGGCCTTGTACCCCAGGGATACCTCCCGGTGGGGTGATAAAATGGCCGGTGAATCCCGTTGGAGGACCATAGAATGAATCCACTCCAGAATGGCATTGTTGCCAGGTCCCTAAGGGACCTGAAGCTGGCGTGTTACTCTTCTGGCACTGCGATTGGGTAGATGAAGATTCCTCATGTGGTCCAAAGGCAAAGATTGGACCCCCCATCATGGGATTCATTTCATAGAAGGGGAAGTGCGAAGGAGGGCCTCCAGGAAAATGTGAAATCATCTGGCTTGAAGAATTCTGTGGACTACGTAGTGGTGGCCATAAAGAAATAGGTGGGTTCTCAACAGAAAGATCTGCAGGAAGAGAAACACTGAGTGACTCTTCCACCTTGGATTGACTTGCTACATGCTGACCAACATCACCTGTGAAATAGATGAAAAAAGCTAACTCGGTTAGTAACATCCACACAAGCAAAAACATACAGGGCCCCTACTATGATTGCAGATTATTTTGTTAAACACCTGTAGTAATAACATCAATGTCTGCACCTCCAAAACCTTTATTATCTGAAGCAGAATCGGTGCAGGTATTTGTTCCATTCCCTACAATCTCATCACTGGTTATGGCTGCAACAGCAACAGCAGAAGCAGCTGCTTCAGCTTCAGCTTCACAATCTTCCAAAAGAACGCAAGATTCACTTGAATGTTTCTCTTTTCCAAAAAACAGGGTGCAATCATTCTCAGCTGCAGAAAGATTGTGGGGGATTTGGATATCTGATCGAGATGGACCTGGAGGGCCAATCCCATGTGAAATGGCACGGCTGATAGGAGGAAGAACTGTCGGAGATGTAACTGCTCCTGTATAAAGTGATGATATCCATCATATAAGTGGCAACAGTAACTCAAAGAATCTAATGCAATATCAGAAAGAAAGAATACACCAACCGAATTGTATTTTCTGCCCAGCAAGCAGAGAATTTATTGGACTTGCAGCAGAAGAAAATGAACTGTCCTTCAATAATATGGAGGATGGCATGCTGGGGTCAGTAACTGAGCCAGTGTGATCTCCAATAGGAGCACAAATATCGAATTGAACAGGCTTCATAGCATCATCAAGTTGGGTCTGTGTCAGTGTCATTACCTACAAGATGCAACCAAATCAGTTCTTGGACTTTCTCAGATTTATTTCAAATAATTAAAAGAAAGAATACCAGCATCTGCAAGCACAATAATTTAGAATAAACTCAGACTAAAGATATCAAAAAATAAATAAATAAACTCAGACTAACAACCCTGAAAATACAAGACATTTTAATCAACCTTTCACATTGTAAAGTTCAATCCTAATCAATCTAGAATGCAGAATATAACAGCCTGAAGTTAGAAGGGAAAATGATAAAAAACAAAGTAACAGATTAAAATTTGCAGCATCATAGTATCAAATATGCCTATAGGCATCCTGGAAGACACAATATAACAACGTGCAGAAATTCAGACACATGCATGCACACAAGCATAAAACACAAGTATAAAAAGATAAATCAGTGCACCACACATACTGAATTCCAATCCCAAGTTAAAGATCTTGAAGAAAAATCGAGAAGGTGCAAGAAAAGTAAGAGCTGAGCATGTTGAAGGAGCAAATATGTAAATCAATCTGATTCCAAAATCAAGATAAAAATAACATAGGCCGTAGAAACTATGTTGTCAGATCAGTCAAAATATAAAACGTGGGGAAAAAAGATTCCATGATAATCCATGAGACAATGCATAAAAAGGAAAATTGAGTATTCATAGAAACACCATGAGTCTTGCAGATCTACTAGAAACAGAGGGCAGTATTAAACTGCTACAAAAGTTAATAAGTCAGTAAATGCAGTTATTCATACCTGTCGATTAATAAGTGAATTACCCCATGAACCTAAAGATGTCTGAACATTATCAAGAACTTTATTCTTGCTATCAAACATGAAGCCAGATACTAGGTTTGGTTCACCACCTGAGGTAACTGGAAGGGAGCTTCTCTGGAGTGACCTGTAGAAAACCATCAGATTTAACAATCTGTATGAATATTGTTTAAATGTACATTAGTTTTTTCTAGAGAGGTATATACTTCACTGCCTGCATTCTTATATCAGCCTGTGCATCAGATTTAGTGGCAGGAGTACTAACTGGAGCCAAGGGTTGGCATACTATAGTTGCACCAAATCCTGCTGATAATTCGCTATTTCCCACATTACATCCCTCAGTAGCAACAAAATCAGAGCAAACATTGTTCATTACTTCTCCACTTGCTGAAGCAGAATTTCTATTTGAGCTGGCTGAGATGGTGAAATTTTGTGGGATTGTACGAGGTTTTCGTGGTGGCTGTCATGAAAGATAAATAAACAATGTTAAGCAACACAGTCTTATTGCACTGAACCAGCAAAAATGAAAGGGGAAAAACATCTTATTGTGAAGTGAGTCATGAAAAAAGTTCAAAGTGCATTAGAACCTTTGCAACCCGGCACTTTGCTTTGATTTCTTTTTCTCTTTGCTCACGCCTGTCGTTCAGCATTTGCCTCTTTGATCTCACCTCAATGAAGTCATCTTCACCACTAGCTGCTTCTATTCCAGGTTGCTCAAAAACTCGCACAATGCCACTTTGCAAAGGAGCATCCACATCATCTTCAATATTCCTCTTAAGATTACCTTCCCCAGAGGGTGGGATATTATGAGTCCTCATCAATGATTCTTTTCCCAATCCCTTTTCATTCCTGTTCCCAAAATCAATCTCCTGGGAACCACAGAGAGCTGAATTGGAGCATTCTGATTCAATTATCTGTTTTGATTTATTCACCACAACAACTTTCCTCACCCCATTTCTTAAGGAAAATCCAGTATTCCTTCCATTGGCACTTAACTTTTCATCCAGCCCTACTTGATTCGGGTGGTTTGAAGAAACCATTCTAAAAGACTGCTTCTTATCAGAATTTTCTCTAATTCTAAACTCTGTTCTAGGACGTCGAGCTCTCCTTTGATATCCAGTAGACTCTTGGCAAGAGGCCTCAGAAGCAAGAAAAGTTGATCTTGTGTTAGAACCTTTAACTTTGAAGACATGCTTTTTCCCCCTATTACTATAAGTTTGGCCCCTTAATGCACTTAAATCTTTCTCTTTTGAAACTGACTGAGATGGTGCCAGAACAGTTTGAAGTTCAAGTTCTGATTGATTACTAGACAGTGCTTTTAAGTTTCTACGAACTGAATTCTGGTGCCCCTGATCTTCTGAAGGGAAACCTGACTTGGAAGATGTGTTATCACCAATATTTGATATCTCTACATGAACATGCTGTGTCACAACACTTTTTCTGCTTTCCCTGGTTGGTGTGGAGCTTTCCTCCTTCAACAAATTCCCATGTGATAAATCCAAGGGCCTTGGAAGACCTGACTGGTTATCCAATAGAGATGAAACTTCATTTTTCATTATACTATGCACAGAAGAGTCTTGACTGGGCTGTACAGACAGAGGCACTTCAGAGTTTTGGTTCGGGGAGAAGTTGGCTGGAACATTTGGCTGGACAAATGACACAGATTGAGGAGCCAATGGCAGCACTCTCTGGGAAATAGGAGATGTATACCTTAACTGACCAAACTGAAAGAGATGAGGCTGTGATGGCTGCATATGGGTGAGAGATGGACCACCCTGAGGATGCAGATGAAGAGGCATCTGTATAGAACCAATCTGTATGGCTGGAACTGGAGATGGTATTAAAGAGGGACCCGAAAACAGCCCAAATTGGAGCTTAACAGGTACTTCAGACTGATTAGGAACAGAAGAAGCAGTAGGCATGCCACTTTGACCATAAGATGAATGGGAAGCCATGCTGACAGAATAGGGGAGAGTATGCTCTGCCAACACACCAGTGCTACCAGTAGCATCCACAGGATCCATTAGCTCAGATGATGTTGATGCTTGAAAAGCAGTATTCGGTTGAATAACCGGATCCTGCATTGCCTTCTCGCTTTCCTGGAAGATTCTAGAAGAACTATTTAAACTCACTTGGGAAGGAGAATCCATGGACTGAAGGGTGTTTCTATCACTATGCATATCATCAAAAGATACCTTTTCTTCTAAAGAGCCAATAGAAATCGGCGTTATTGCATATGCAGAGTCCTTCCTAGAGCTTCTTTCCAACTCATCATTTGGCATGCTAACCTCGACCCCCTCATTGAAGCCCAAGACCAAGTGATCCATCATGTCAGGCGGCTCCTTATCCTCTAGATGCATTTCATCAAACTCTCGAGTCAGGTCAATATTGCCATCATCTCCTTCATGCACTTCATCTTCTTCCTGGTATCCATCTTCATTTTCATTTTCATCATATTCTACTTGCTCCTGCAAGTGTTCATTGTTATTAACAGTCCATTCCTCATCATCACCAGCTGAAATAGAACTTGAAGCAGTCTGAACATTCCCTTTCCCAGCTTCAGTAGGCAACAAAAGGGGTTCGATCCCCTGGCCTGACAAGTCAACCTCTTTACCCTCTTCAGCTGCTAACACTGTAGAATCTCCAGACTCATCCAAGTCATCTTGAGAAAGATGAACTGGGGAATCTGGGGGGCTTGAAACAGATAAGGATGACTGTGAGTCACACCTTGCTGTGTTGCCATTCACTTTTTGTGCTTCATTATCAGTATTCTCAGGCTGAGTATCTATAATTACATGCTGTACAAGATCGTCTTGATGGCCACTATCATAAACTCTCTCCATGCCAGATCCACCTATTGTTGCATGATTATAATTTATCTCATTTTCTAGGAATGTTGAAGGACCAGGATGCTCATTCCCACCTCTATATGAGGTTTTCTGCATTGAAGACACAGATGGAGGAGGTAAAACACGAGGCTGCCTCACAGAATATCGTGACCTCCCAAAGGAATAAAGCCCATCACCCTCAGGGTTGTGATAGAATCTTTCAGGGTAAGGAGGATAAAAATTACCACGAGATCGCTGCCCCCATGTCACATCACCATAGTTCTCAGCTAGGTTCTCATGATATTCAGATTCAATCTCAGCATTTCTGCCATAATGATTACCATCACCGGCAACATTCCACCTTTGACCCTTTGGCTGACCAAAATCATCCGTATGGGGTTCTGGAACCCCTGCTCTATAGTAAGGCCTAGAAGACATGTACGGAAGTGTTCCATAAAACTCTTTTCTTGGAAATTGTCTACCCCCAATAGATCCATCTCGCCTGGGGCTATGATGATCATTCTCTATCTCTTGCCCATTGAAGGCTGAGCTGTTTCCATTCTCAAATGCATCTCTCCTCCATGAATTAAAGGGCTTAACTCTATCTGAAAATGCAGAAGAAGCATTAGAGAAGTGAGGCCTAGAAGTCATCTCAAAGGGTCTATTTAGACCAGAAGAATCAGAAGAAGCCGAAGTTGTGATTCTTTCCACCATCCTTTCACCATCTTCCCAATCACCCACATCTGTTGCTTTTGATACATCTCTTTCTTTCGCCATCCCCAAAATTTTCTCATCCTCTCCAGCAGAAAAGTTACTACCACCCTTCACTGCTTCAGCCTGCCTCTTGGCAATCCTTTCCTCCAACTCTAAGAGTTTTTGTTTAGCAGCCTGTTTTCTCCTTTCCTCCTCCAAAAGGATCCTGCGCTTTTCCTCTTCTCTGGCTATCCTCTGTTCTTCTGCCCTTTGCAAGGCTTCCAACCGCTCTTGTTCAGCTCTCCAAGCAGCTTCCCTAGCTTCTTCTTCCAACCTCCTCTGCTGCTCTTCTTGTTCCCTTGCCAACAGCAGTCTCTCTTCTTCTTGTCTTCGAGCTTGCTCCAACACTCTTTCTTGTTCTTCAATAATTCGCTGCCGCTCCTGTTCCTGCCTCTTCTGCACTCTCTCAATTTCAGCTTCAAATGATTCCCTGACAGGGTCATGAAAATCAGTTTGTTTATGCATATCTTTCTTCCTCTTAATGACCCCAACAAGATTTCCAGGAAAAGGATCCTGTCCATCAAATCCAGTAGCCCCAAAGTCCTTCATGAAAGGGTCTTCTAGATAAGGTTTTCCATTGGACAAAGGACGTTTCTCTCTACCAAAATTTAGTATAGGATCATTAACAGGAAATCCTTTACCACCCAAAAGAAAAGATGGTTTTGATAAGGAGCTATTCTGGAAAGCATCAGCTTTGTATCTATTGTATTGGTCATTGCCATAATGCTCCCTTGTATTCCTCTCAGACTCTCTACTACTAAATGAATCCATTGTATTGTTCCAAGCTCGTCTTCCTCCATTTCCATAACCCAAATCCCTCTTTCCATTATCATCCTGAGCATTATCCCGGAAAGGCGATGGAATGTACTTATTCTCCTTTTCTCTGTTCATACTAGAAGGCCTTGAGCCAATACTATTTCTGTCACTTGCAATCTCTTGAGAACTAATTCCCTCTTGAGGAAGAGGGGAAGAAGCTCTCCATGCATTTCCTTCCCGCCCTTCTCTACTTGGTATTTTTGCATCTCTGCCATAAGGGTCCAATTTAGTGACTTCACTGGAAGCAGTTCGTCCAGTTTCATTGTCACGCTGTCCCCACCTATCAAAAAGACTATGTGCTGGTTTTTGTGGCAGAACACTAGCCCTAGGCATATCAAAATCTCTATCCCAGTAAGATTCACTTTTTGAATACCCATGATCTCTCCCACGGTCTGTAAAACCCTGACCAGTGTCACGTTCATCATCAGCCCAGTCAGATCTTGGGTTCAAGCGAACCAATGGAAGTGGCCCCAGGAAATACTCATCCTGCTTCCTGCCTTGCTCTAATAAACGAGAGCCATTTACATGACCTTCATCCCCATTCTCACTCAATCCATTACCAACAGCAATTCTTCCTGACTGCAATTGAGGACGCATATCTATAACTGAACTTGGACGAGAACCATCCCTATGCTCATTAGACAACTCCTCAACTGCCAATTGCTTCTGTTTCTGATTCAAACCATCCTTCTGTTTCTTTTCAGCCCCCGATCCAATAGGCAAAGCTGCCTGCAATGAAGGAAAATCCTCTCTCCTCAGCACCGTAGCTTTATCCAAAGGTGGAAAACCTTGAGCTGAAGCAGCCACCGAGGAAGTTGGCCCTGCCACACTTGACCTAGCTGAAGGCGGCATATAAACACCAACATTTCCTCTACTGACCCCATCACCAGTATTCAAACCCTGATCAACACCATCATTCACAAGATCACCACCACCAACGAACCCTTCTTTCTCCTGCAAAGCAACTGTACCGGGCTTAGTCCATCCCATCCCAGACGAAGTAGGCCTTGGTCCACTTCCGGAAATCCCTCCACTGGCAGGCACGCCGCCCGGGCCCAACGAATCAAATCGTTCATGCTCCTTTCGCAAGGATGGTAAATTCAAGGGGGGTGGAACAGATAACTTGGACCCAACCTTTTGGGAGCTACGAGGCCTTGAAAGTACCACCATTCCTCCCCCTCCTCCAACGCCAGCACCGGGTCGTGCCCGATTTGACCCATAAGAACCCGAATGATGTGAATGGTAGTTATGTTTAGATGGTTGTTGGCCATATGACTTGTTCAGATTGACTGAAACAAACTTATTCCCAACTCCGGAATTTGCCATCGGAGGGTCCGACCCGAACTGTTAACCCGTTTGTCGGATTCCGATGATCCCCGACAAAGCATCAAAAACCTAACCCTAGATTTTACTCGCCTCAACAGATCTCTCAGCGCAATGATGATCAGATAATAAATCAATCAAAACCGTCGAAACTCCCTGATCATAATAATTTAAAAACAAAAAAAATAATAAATTAACAAAATATATCAATCTTTCTGCAGTTACGAGATGCGAAGGGAAAAAATGGCTAGAGAAAAGAGTGTTATTCTAATTAGGGTTTCTATTTTGATGCGAATTTTTATTTTAGAAAGGGGAAAGAATGGGAAGAAATGGAGTGTAGGATAAGCACTTACCTCCGTTGGCGTAGGATAGAGACGGCAGAAGCTAACCTGCACCACACAGATTAGAAACCAAATGCCCAACTCACTCCAAACCAGAGAGAGAGAGACAAAGAGAGAGAAGAACACGAGGTATGAGTTAATAGCACGAGAGGAAAAAAAAAAGAATGGTTCTTTTATTTTTTTCCTCTTTATTTATGCTTATTTATATATTGGCCCCCAATTATTATTGTCTTTTTTACACGTGTCCATTGATTTGCCGACTGAAAGTATTGGTGCGTGTTTTTTTTACATGTACGTTGGCTGTACTTCGGACCGTAGATTACTAGATTGTGGCTGTTAGCTGTGCAGAGCATAGTTCTGTTCAATGTTTTGCAAACTTTTGTAACTGTGATTTTACACTCTCTACAGTGCAGGTTTGCTTGCAGCTGTAAGATTTGGCAATGAAATCTTTGTCTCTCCTTTTCAGCTCGAGATGAGATAGATTATGGTAATTGGCAATTGCTATGTACTTTTTGTTCTTTACAAAATGATTTTACCTAATTGAGATTTTTTATAAATATATTTTAAGTAAAAATGTAAATGATATATTAAAATTTATAAATTATTTAAATTCGTTTTAAATAAAATTTAAATTTAGATAATTTATTATTAAATTAAATTAAAGTTCGAATAGCTTAATTTATTAAGTAAGTTAAGTTTGAGTTTTTTAATATTTAATTTAAATAGGTCATGAATCTAATTAAAATTTTTAAATTTAATATATTTTTATTATTTTAATTAAAAATTATTATATTATTTATATATATTAATTCGAACTCGAATTCAAATTTAAATACATAATAAAATTTGAAATTAAACATAAAAATTGAATTCAATTTTATTAAACGAACTTAATTTAATAAGCTCGAATAATTTAATTTTTATCTTAAATCTAATTTAAATTTAAAAATTAAAACTCGATCAAATTTAAATTAAGTTTTGAACAACAACTCAAATTTCTTACTGAATGATTCGACTAGAATATATTCTATTTTGGACTACGATTTAACTTAAATAAGGTATAAGTTAGTGGACAAAAAACTCAGCATTTTGGAACACAAAGAGAATGAACTCATAGCTATGGACACAATCGAAGCTTTATCTCTTCCTTTTCAACCCCTTATAATTTTAGGAACTTCCCTTTTTTTTTAATTTTAAATTTATTTACTTAAATTTGATCCTATTTTTTTCTTTTTCCAATAAATTCATGAATTTGCAATCTTTCCCATCAACTTTGCTACTTTTACATCACCGTCAACAAACTTGACTTCTAAATGGTCCTCTTTTCTTTCTCTCCATTCAAACATCGATTAATCCTTGAAGATTCATTATTTCTAAGTTTTGAATAAAGAAAAACAAAACCAAAATTTGTTGGAGACGTTAATTAAAATCCTAGTCATGGTGGGTCAACGCACAAACCTTCCTATAATAGTCTATTATAATTAAAATATAAATGATACACTTATACTCACAAGTTATTTGGACTTGATTAGAAAAAAACTTGAATTCGAATCGATAATTGTCAAGTCGAGTTCGAACTCAAATAGCTTGATTTATCAAGTGAGCCGAGTTTGAGCATTTTAATACTTGACTCGAGTTTTTCAAGCTTATTCAAGCTTTTTTATTTTAATATATATATTTTTTAGTTTAATTACAATTTTACCTTTAAAATATAAAAACCTAAAACTAAAAGCCTTAAATCATTCTTTTCCTCTTTCACTCTCACGCTCTCCCTTCTCCCCAAAACGGCATTACCTCGTTCACTTTCTCCCCCATTTCTTTTTTACTTTCTCTAAAACTCTCTTGTCATGTTCCTCCTTCAACTTTTGCAAGAAAGGCCCTCTCTACCATAAACTATACTCGAAAAGGTTGGTGATAATTTGCAATAAACGAAGACACAAATCAATCACATGTGTTACGTTAAAATCCCATCCCAATAGGAATAACCATCCTTTTTAGCATCTCTACTCTTTGCCATTTTTTCCTAGCTTTTAGAATTTTTTTTTTGGTATTTGTGGTATTTGTAGTTTTTTTTTTTTTGGGTATTTTGTAGAATTTGAATCTATTTTTGTGACAAAATGTGTGAACAAAATTGTTAAATTATTGATATCATCTTGTGATTAGATGGCCATTTAAAAAAATGACATGTTATTTGATTTTTCTTTCATTCTGTTCTTTTTCTTTAAATTGTTTTATTATTTTGAATTTTTATGTTTTTTTTTTTCATATATTCGGAATGATTCACAAAAGATTTTATGGTTCTTGTTTTGTTATTTTGATTTTTGTTTTGTGGAGAATGAATATAAATCACAAATTTTTTATTATGATTTGAGTTGAGCGAGCTCAAGCTTGACTTGAATTATACCTCAAGTTGAGTTTGAGCTTGAAAAATAAAATTCGAGCAAGTTTGAGTCGAATTTTGAGTTTTTTAAGCTTGAGCATCCCAATGTATCGACTAGGCTTAGCTTGATTACACTCTTAGCTATAGCTAATTGACAAGCTTGGCATTATCTGCTCCACCGTCTCTAACCTCCTTTACATTTCCTTGTCCTCTTTGGTAATTTTGTAATATCAATTTAGTGGTATAAATTATATACCAATTTTACTAGTATTACATTTGTATTTTTATTTTAAATGCTAGCACAGCAACCAAACTGATGTTTTAACGATGAATTGGAAGCAACAAGTTACGATTTAGACAAAAAATGGTCATGAAATTGTAAAAGAGGAGCTAAAATCTCATATGATTGTTATAATGGCTGCCTACCTTCCACTTTTTGCTTTTAGGGAACCTTCAATCTCGACACATATTTGTTAGGCAAAAAGTCTCAATCAAAATTAAACATTTTTGCCAGTGAAAGCAAAATCGAACAATCAATCAATCACACAAAAGATAATAATTTAACGTGATTTGGCCTAATCGACCTATGTCTATGGATGAGAAAAAAGATTCATTAATTGTAGAGAATTACAAACATACAATAAAAAATTAATAAGCACTCAATAATTAATACCTATAGATCCTCTTAATCTCTTCTAATCATTTGGAGTATTCTTAACTCAAACAAATATATACCCATGTACACCCATGCACCATACTTATATGACCTTTTCAGTCTCATCTAATCCACTCACAAACATTCAAACATACATACCCATAAGATGTAAATCTTTAGTTGTCCTATGAAATGTCTATCCCATAAAATCTTACAACTCTCTTACATTTTTTTTATGCTTAACCCTATAGAGACTTCACTTATTTATGAGTATACAAACTTACCTATTAAGTATCTCTTTCCTATTAGAATTCTTCTTTTGCAAGTTTTCTTGTTTATCAAATAATATCTAACCAATCTCAAACAAATCACTTATAGTATTTCAGTTATTATTTTTAACAATCTCCACTTTGACTTAAATTTTATCAAATAATTAGTTTTCATGCTAAATATGCTTGACTCTACCTATAATGAAAGTCTCACAATTATCTTCTCTTGTGTGCTTTCAAGTTTTATGCAAACCGATCTATCAAAGTATAAACGTAAACTCTTATCTTGAATCGAGCTCCCTGGATTTGATTCTTCTTACATCTTGAACCTAACTCTTCTTACATCTTGAACTTTCAGCTCTGATACCACATTATTGAAAATAGTGACTCAAATCCCATAAGTAATTTGTTTAGATTGTGAAAATTATTTTGGTAAATAATTATATTTACCTCCATATTACGATTTTATCATGTAATTTAGTTTTGAAAGAACTATATATGAGCCCTTGATTTTAAAAGCCTTGTTGGAGTTATAAGAATGAAATTATTATTCTTGTTGGAAATTCTAAGATTTTTTATTTTAAAATATCTCTCAATACATTATGTTCTAACATTGTCAATTGGGGTTGTTGGCTACGTTGACGTGTATTATGTGATTAGAAATCGATTTTAAACCGTATCACTAGTTGAGAATAATAGATTTTGTTTATTGTATCACTGATAATATACTTTTATTTCATTGCACTAAAGGAGTAACTGTGATTTTTGTTCTGTTTCATTACACTAATGAGTAATTATGATTGTCTAGTGCAACCACTCGGTTGCTTTTGATATAATTTTATCCCATTATACTAAGGGGTTAATCATAATTTTGGTTATGATTCTAACTTATGTTATTAGGATTGAAGGTGGCCATAGGTTGTTAACGGGTATATATTTATAAAACTAAAATTGAAATATTTGTTGAGTTTTTTATTTTGGCATATGATTTTGTAACAAATTATTTTATAAATGCATGATTACCCTAAAATTTGAAATTCATCTATTATTCTTTTGTTTTAGATTAAATGTTTTAACTTACTTAACCCAAATAATCAAACAGTGCGTAGCAATAGTCACCTCCCTAGCTTTCTCAAAAGCTAATATATATTCCTGAGACATGGCCTTGACTTCCTTGGCCACAACTCCCACAGTTTTCCCTAGTCGCTTACCTAATATGCTAAAATCAGGCTCTGCACGTACAGAAGCATACTTCACAGTGTCTTTGCATGGAACAAGAGACCTTACATTGATCTCCTCCAATACATACTCTCTTAGTTTGCCAAATATGTCACCAAGAAAGCCTTTATCTTTATGAACAACTATCATCTCCCTGAGAGGTGTTTTGATAGGCTTGTTGTGACGCTCACGAATGTTGCGGGCAAGATCAATAATCTTCATCATCCTTGCCATACTTTCTTCGATTCGCTCCTCTCTCTTTCCTTCTTCTTGAGGAAAACTACAATAATGAATACTTTCCTCTGCTCCATCAGAAACTTTTCGCATGTTTTGGTAAAGAGCCTCAGTGAAGAATGGTGTAAAGGGGGACATAAACTTACATGAAGTTAGAATCACATTATAAAGAGTAGAGAGAGCCGTGCGGCAGTCTTCCTCTCCGGTGGCCTTTTAGTCTTTTACGGTTAATCTCACATATATATTCGTAAGGTTATCAAGAAACTTCAAAAGATATGGAACCACTGTGTAAAGTCGATACGCATCCATTTCTTCGCGAACAAAGTGAACAAGACTTTGAGTGGCAGAGTTTATCCACTGCTCGAGCACATTAGATGACTTCTGAAGAACGGTGAAAGCAATAGGAGCAAATGGGGCAGAACCCTCGTACTCGAGTCTTTTGCATTCTGAACAAGGAACCTATACGCATTATACCACGGTAAGAAGATATCTTTGATAACACCAAAAACTCCTTCCTTTTTAAAACGTAAAGTCTTGGCCCGAACAACTGGGGAGTTATAAGGTGCAATCGTAAAGCATCAGCCCCATAGTCATTAATGACTTCCATGGGTGAAGGATAATTTTCAACCTTTTACTCATCTTCTTTCCATCTTTAGCAAAGACAAGACCATTGTAAATGAGATTTCTAAATGCAGGTTTCCCAAATAATGCAGTTGACAAAACCATAAGAGTGTAAAACCATCCACGAGTTTGACCTAGCCCTCAGCCACAAAATGCCCTGGAAAAATTTTCTCAAAAAGTTCAACATTCTCAAATGGATAATGGATGTAAGCATAAGGCATTGATCCACTCTCGAACCAACAATCAAATACATCGTCTATGCCTCGTAGCACACCAAACTCTTGACCACGGGTAGAAGGTACAGTGATATGATCAATATTGTGACGATGGAGATCAAAGACCTTAGCACCAGAAAGCCTTCCAAGTTTTTCAACAGAATCCATGACTATTGGGAACTTCATCCCACCATGCAATGAGAAAAACCAAAAGAAATGTGTGACTAATACCCCACCAGCCAATATTAACTTTTCTTTGTGTAAAATATTAGTAATAACCCTTTGACGTGACATATTTTCCAACTATACATAATTATGTTTAAATATTGAGTTAGTAAAATTTAAGATATCTTTAAATTTTTTAATAATTTTTATAGTGTTTTTGAAATTTTTGATATGCAAAATCAGTAACTTCAGATACATGATTGATTATTTTACATAATTTTCATATAATAACATCGGGCTTACTTGGAATTAATTTATTTAGTGAAATAAAGTTACTAAATATTAAATATGTACTAAATTTAAGAAATTTTATAATCTTTTGGATAATTTTAACATGCAAAATTAGTAAAGGTAAAACTCTTAACGGGCTTAGCTGAAAACCCCAAATAACCCAACTATGTTATTGGACCGCATGCCAACCTTTTTGTCCATAGCCCAAACGCCAACGCCCTTTTGTTATCTCCAAACCCTAAATCCACAATCCTAAATCGCCAATCCCACCTTTCTTTGACATCTCCATGGCTGCATTTCCCTTTTGTAAAATCCGTGTCGTCGCGCCGAGTTTGCCCGAGTTCCGAAGCTCACGAAACGACGTGGAAGACGCGCGATGAGAAAGGAAGAATCTCGACGGGTTTGCATATCAAATTTCGGCTCTCTGCTCTTTCTGTTCTAATTTCCATCTTTTTTTGTTGAATTAAGTAAATAATTATCATTGATGACTTGTTATGTACACCGTACACGATCTTTTTGACGCGGACTTGATTTTTTCCATTCTTCCTTTTCGAGAATAAAATTTCTACTGTGGACTTGATCTTCATAGTTGATTCACGTTAGATAATAAAATCCCCTTTCTCACTTGTTTTTTCGGTGCGTAATGGTAAGAAGTCATAATCCAGGGTTTATCCACCATCATTTGTGGAAAAGTCTTCAACCAAAATCCTAGTTTATCATCTGTCACATTTACTTAGCATGAGATTTCAAGAATCAACCATTTCTTAACCTCTTTTTTTTTGGTCAAGTCGACCCGGCGACCCTTTCTAATTGTCAACTATCTGAAAGGGAAAGAAGAAAAAGAATGATTAAATTAGAAGAACGAGTGAGCCGAAACCTGTGTTTAGGAAAACACTTGTGAGATTCAATTCTTCAATGTTCGAACTCTCTAGAACATCCTTAAGAGAAAAAAATAAAAACCCTAGAAACAACATATAAATACTAGCTTTTTCCCCAACTAAACCCTCGAATCAAAATAAGCTAAAGGAGAGAGCAAAAGAAAGAACTTCTTCGAGTTATTGCAAAGGAGTCTACTTTACAAGGTACTTACATTTTCTTTTTGTCATAATTATAATGCGTTTCGAAAAAAAGTACTAATATTTCCAAAAAATTTGTTCGATTAATTCCCATTATATGATTTTTGAAACAAGAATTTATGATTTCGACACGGCTTGGGAGCAAACCAGCCAAGCAAAGGTAAAACCTCATCCATTATTGCACATTATTGGGTGCCTTTTTCACTAGTGTCAGAGGCTATGTCATTTATGACAACAATGAGCAATCCTTGGGGACAAATCTTCACTAATTATAAAGTGATTTTTCGTTTGACGGAAATGGCGATGCCGGTGGCAGGCGGGCTGTTTGAGCTAGGAACTGCGACAAACCACTGGCTCTGGGGTGTTGAAAGGAAGTGCTAGGGCAACCTAAGGTGCCAACATAGATTTGGGATCCTTCTATGGAGTTGGATTGCCTGTTGCAGTTTTGATGGGCTTTGTCATGGATATTCGCTTCTTGGGCCTTTGATTTGGTTTATTGGCAGCATTAGGTTAGGTGATGTGTGCAATTGTCAAGGTCGTCGTAGTGGCTGGAACAGATTGGTTAGTGCAAGCCAAAAGAGCTAGCAGGAGAGGAGGAAGAACAGAGCAAAACCCAGGGATTAATATCAATAATGCTGGTGAATTAGCTTGTTTTTAAGCTATAAATTACTTAAATGATTAGTACATCTTGTTTTTCTCTCCCTTACGCAGTTCAATTTATTAAAATTTTGTATATTGGGTTGAGAGAGAGGGTTTCGTATAGGCTTACATTTTGGGTCTGCTGTTGGGATGAGTGTTTTTTTTTTTAAATTAAGAAAACGACATATACGGAATGCAAGCGACCCTAGCTAGTTTATGCAATGGTTTTAAAGGAATATAATTCCGTGTTTTCCTCAATTTTTCTCTCCTTTAGTCACAGCCATCATAATTTTGCTAAAAATATAGATATATTAATTTTTATATTTGTGTCGTATTTTTTTAATATCAATTATGTATAAAACATAAAAATGATTATTCAAATTTGTATTGAGATATCAATTGGGAAATATTTTATTTTTCAAATTCATATATAATTTTATTAAAATTTTAAATTGTCATATTTATTTTTTTATTGTTTTTGTATCATATTAATGTATATATCTAAAACTAATATGTGTAGCGAATACAAACAAATGTCCTATACCACTACAAAGTCCATTATTCCCTCGAGCCGTTTGTCTCTTTCAATCTTTTCTCAGTACATTATCATCCATCGATTCTCAAACAAAGTCTTCCTCTGGATTCCTCCTCTTCACCTAAAATTCACAGTTGACCATCTTTGCATCCATCATATCATTGCATTTATGTACAGTAAATCCTTCACGCTATTGGAAATCTTGTTTACAAAAACTTAAAACGGGTTTTGATTCTCACTCAACACTTTTGCATTCCTCCTTTCTGTTAATGGTATATCCGTCTGCTAATAATAAGGCTCGCAATTCGCAAATCCATTGTTCCATAAACTATTTTTCTGTTGTGAAACAATATTGACAAGTGAATTCCAATACATACATCATACATACATACATACATACATATATATATATATATATATTCTATACGACTCAGCACTTTTTCGTCCCTGTCACACGGCATATCCAATTCATTTTCACAGCTGCCGACTGAAAAATGAAAAAAGCTCAAATATCTTTTACTTTTGTATAAATAGCATCAATCTTGCCGAAAGGTAAGCCCAATTGGAATCAAGCATTTGTCCTATGATTCAGCTTGTAGTATTCACCTTCTTTATGCCTTTTGCTTGGCCTAGTAGGTAGTAAGTCTTTTTTGTTTCGCCATGGCTTCCGCGTAGAATCTCAAGTTGTAGATGGAAATAATCACTTTTGGAATAAGAATATCAAATTGGGAGAGTCTTTTATAGTTTGGACCTCAAATTAAAAGGGAGACTCCACTTGATTTGATTCCTTTTGAGGTAAGAAGGATAAAAAAGGATGTCAAATGTCAAGCTTATATATAGAGGGAGTTCCCTGGCATAGAAGATCGAGTATCAGACTCAGTTTCACATTGCATTTCCGATATAGCAACGTCGAAGAGTATGTCAAATTTGAGTTTTATCGAGTTCAAGTATGGAGCACTTCCGAGGAATTTGTCGAGGAAACCAACTAATCAGTTGAGCTTCAGCAAGGAAAGACAAAAGTCGAACGTGTCATCAAGGACATATCAGCCAAATGAGGAAGAGATGAAATGGGTGTTCAACAAATTTGACACCAACAAAGATGGTAAGATCTCGAAGGAGGAGTTCAAGTCAGCTTTGAAAGTATTAGGCAAAGGAGTGGCAGAAACAGAAGTGGCAAAGTCATTTAGTGCTATTGACACTGATGGGGATGGCTTCATCGACTACAAGGAGTTCATTGAGATGATGCACAACATGGGAGAAGGGATCAATGCCAATGATATCCAAAGTGCATTTCGGGTCTATGATTTGGATGGAAATGGGAAAATAAGCGCAGAAGAATTGATGGAGGTGCTTAAGAAGATGGGAGAGAGGTGTAGCTTGGAGGCTTGTCGCAAAATGATTCGAGGGGTGGATGCTGATGGTGATGGTTTAATTGACATGAATGAATTTATGACCATGATGACTCACACCATGAAGCCATCTCAGTGATCTGGAGTTATTCCCTTCAAAATGGGAAACTAACTAGGAAACCCCCAATATTTTAAAGTTAATTTCTTGGCAGGTGGATCAAAATCCTTGTTTTCCTAGCTACTTCATCTTTTCTAGACTTCTAATCACTAGATAAGGGACATGGTTATTGGTTAGGCTGCTAACTTGCAGTCTCTAGGACCTTTGTTTTATAGAGGAATAATAGACATCCATAACTCTCATTAGAAAGCAATATGTAACTTTAAAATTATCAATAATTTCTTGGCAGCTCCCAAGAGGATTTGCAGTTTTCAAAATAAAAAGCACAAATCAAAAAAGCATAAACTAAATACTACACTAACCGGATGATGCATGAAATAGAACAGATACAGAAGAACATTGAGTTTAAAATGTTGCAGGATCAGTTTCAGTATCATCATCTGGCCATACGTCCTACAGCGGGAGCAACCGTGATTCCTCTGCCTTGTCGATCCATATTTGCTTGCCAACCTTGAATTTTTTTCAAAATTGCTATTGTAAGAAAAATGTTGTAATTTTTGAAAATTGAAAATATTGTAAGGATTTTATGTAGTGTGTATGAAGGTTAGTAGCAGGAACATAGCAAAGGGCAATGCCTTTTTTCAACCTTTTTATTGATTGAAAAGAAAGGGGAAAAAGGGAAAGATTGTAGATAGTGCTTTGGTCTTATGTTAGTCCCATTATTGCTCTTTTAAGCTTTTAGAAATAACTTTCTGATCAGTTAACATAGGGCAGGTATAAAAACACAGCGAGCCAATGCTAATCGGAAAGCATATAAATTAAAGAAATAGGCAACAGAATTAGCTAAGCTAACTTACCAATCCCCATATCAAATCCACGGTTCTTGAGCTCTCTGTATTCTTGACAAAGTGGACAAGTCTCACAGCAGAAATGAACCAAACAATCTGCAAAAGGAGCCTCTTCCAAGTCATATTGTCCTCTCAATCTTGACCTGTAAACACAAGAGTACAAGCAGGATAAGCCTGTAAGAGCCAGCAACCCATAAACTGTACCACTTGCTGCACAAGCTGCATACCAAAATTAAGACCAAAATTAGTTTTTCAATACTTCAGGATCACAAAAATGTGGAAAAATGTACTTAAAATTGGTGTTTTAGAAGCTTACAGATAGTCCCCTTGTTAACTATCTCAGCAATTTGTCCAAAGGTTACACATGGACAGAAACAAGTAATGAGACAACTGGCAGGGTCATCACAACAATGGCAAAGGCCAGTAGACCACCCTGTAGCACTTGTTGCTCCATGGAAGGGTAAGATATGGGAGGGAGGCATATTCATGGCAGTTGTTGGAAACCCTGCTGATGCATATTTTGCACTGCCATGAGATGAAGTATACATTTCTTTTCTTGTTAATTTGTGATGATAACTTGGAATTTGTGGTAAAGGAACCTTGTAGTTGAAAAAGAACTCATAGGTTTTCTTAGAGCTTAAACCCCATTTCCAAGAAAGTACAGCTAAGCTCCAGAGGTCAAAATTAAAGGCTTTGAAATGGTAGCCCAGATGCAAGTAACCCTCCCCAAGAAGAAGCCCCTACGAGAAAAACCAGTTTTACATGCTGCAAAATTCTAGGTTGGATACTGATTTCAACACTAACTCTCATTTAAATTTGCAAAACTTTAGACATTCTTTCCATCAAAACTAGCTAGTACTGATTTTATATGAACATTTTAGCCTTGGCCTCTAAGTCTAGCCCTCTAGAATTTTGTTGGGATTTTTTTTTCCTTTTGAGAAAAGCAACAAGACTCTCGATATCTGATAATGTCTAAGTGTTCGTGTGGAGTAAGATTATGAGTACCGTGAGAAACCGTTTTCATATTCTCAATTTCCAATGGCCAGATTGTTAATTTATGCTACTAGTTTCTTGAAAGACCGCACAAATGAATTTTATAAATCTCGGAACTCGGATGATTAACTTGATTGAATCATACATTTAGGAACTGCCTGAGTATAATCATATTTAAAGTTGCTTGAAAGTTGAAAAACAGAGAAAAAGTGACTTCCCCTACATACATATATATATATATATATATATTTATATACACCTGCTTCTTGTTCCCTTGTTGGCTAAGCTTAATTTTGATATTGACAATGCTTTTGATACAAATTTATAGTAACTAAATACATAGTCGGACATCAACGGTTAAGTGATCTAATGTAAAATTTTTAAGGCTAGCAATCAAAGATCTAACCTATGATAGTCTCTACCAAAAAAAAAAAAAAAACATTCTTATACATATATGCTTAGGATAAAATTATAGCCTAAGTTGACATTATCCAACGTTCTAAATCTAAACTCAAGAACATGCATTTAGATAGAATCTCAAGGGTAGCAATCAAACTCAAAAAAGATTGATGCTTTATTTCTTTGCTGATCTACTCTCCTATGATTGCAGAACAAAGAAACGATCATCGAAAGATATGTTAAAAGATGCCGATGGCATAGGAAGAAAGTGGCATGCCACCCATGCATGACTGATCTGGTCGATTATTTTGTTTTCCACTAAAATCAATCACTTCAAGCATCACCCTTTTAAGAGCGAAATTCAATTAACACCATAAAAGGCACTTCGACATCGCCTTCCATTATCAGAGAGAGATGGCGATCATGCGGTGTATTGAGGTCCGTCCTACCAGGGAAATGACGGTCGATGAATTCAAAGCGTGGCTCCGCCACTTCGACGCTGATCGTGACGGACGGATCAGGCAGGAAGAGCTGAAAGACGCTCTGCATTGCCTGAGAGTTTGGTTTGGTTGTTGGAAGGCTCGCCAAGGAATGAAGGAGGCAGATTGCAATCATGATGGCCAAATTGAGAATGCCAAGGAGATTGAAAAACTGGTGAATTATGCTCAACAACGCTTGCATATGAAAATTTATCAAAGTGATTGGTGATCTTTAAAAGAATTTTATAAACTTTTTACATTCAAAAAAATCTTATGTCTTGGCAGCCATGCATATAACTAATTCTACAAACATGTGGGCATTTCATTGTGGGTTTCCCTGCTTATTTCAATCCAGATTTTGTAATACTTCGTATATCTATCTTTTTCTGCAAATCCATGGATAGAATTATATAATTTCATTGCATTCCAATTCTAGCTGATGCGCCGTTCCTTCATCTGACAAGCATTGACAGCCAATGTCAAGCTTTCAGGGAAGCCCAAATGTTTGAAAAGCTCGGTTTAACATTACATGGGCTCTCCGGCTCATGGTTCGGTTCTTCAATTTTGCGTAAAAATATTCAAATGTTGGTACAAAAGGATTCATTACAATAATGTACATTACAGAGACAGAATCATTAATGTTTCTTATGACATTTAGAATTTAATTCAAGGATCATTCATCCTGATCCAAAATAACTCGAATCTGCTTTGATCCGAACTAAAAATAATCAAAACTCAAAATAACCTTATTTCAAAACAATCCGAAATCAAAGTAATTCAACCTAAAATCAATTCAATTTTTTAATATTAAAATTAGGAGAGGTGCAGTTAATACTACTCTTTAAAAAAATCTATGATAAAATTCCAAGATATTGCTAGGAAGATGGGAGATCAGAACAGAGACAATAAAAAAAAAAATGCTTAGGCTTCAGCCCCCTACCAGGCCACAGCCAGAGACTGTGTGTATGTGTGTTTAGGTGGAGTTTTGACTGGTCCTCTTTTGCAGGCACTAATTGATGAGAATCCTCCGCGTGTCATAACCCCATTTGGCTGAATCTAGAAAACGTGTTTTGTTTGAGTCACGTGAGTGACAACCATGTCCTTTTTTTCAATTCTTTATAATGCATGCAGACCAGTCTTCTTTGTATTCTTCTTCTTCCCCCCCCCCCCCCCCCCCAACATGCATGTTACTCAGACCTACCATAGCTCACCATGATCTTTGAATCTGTTCCTTTCTATCTGTCTTTTGCTAAGTACATATAAAAAAAAAAACCCTAAAAAATCTGATCCTCAGACTCCAAAATCCAAATGAATGTGTGCCCTCTGCCAGATTCTTAACCTAACCAAGTTGTTGATATTTAATTAGATACTCAAGTCTGTAAAAAAAAAAAAAAATTTAAGAAAAAGTTACCTCATTTTATAATCAGGATATATTGTAAATTTCAATAAAAATGAACATAGATTTATGAATTGTTTATTAAGAGAGATTACTGACAGCATAAATCGAACCTAAATCTTATCAGCAAAATAGAAATAAACAACTTAATTCCATTTATTGCATTGTTTATAAAATGCCAATAGGTGAACAAGAAGAAAATCCTAAAATAAAGAGAATAAAGGGTTGGTGGGGGAATTTTTTTATTATTATTATTTTGGCTAAAAGAACATGTGCATTATTTCTAGTCCAAAATCCATGATAAAAAAAAAGTACTATTTCATCTCATGCCATTGCAATTGGATAATTTAAAATCTTTTTTCTGATCAAGTGAATTTTCATGTTCACAACTGAGAAAAAGTTGGAGGAAAAAAAAAACAAATAAAGGAGAAAAGTTGACAGCAGAAGAAGATAATCCTCAATGACTAATGATTTGTAGTGCAAGACAAAGATCATCACGCTAGGAAGAGAAAGAGGTCTGCACGTGACCACGTGATCTCCACCGGTATACAACATACAACTAGTTGGAATAGGAGATTGTAATTTGCCTTTCTTACTACAACTTGCTTTGCTTAATTACGCTTAATTTAGAAACCCCTGAATTTAAATGATTAAATGTTATTTTTTAAAACTATTAATCTTAATCTCACCTCAAAATTTTTCGTTTATATCGTATTAAAATTCTTTAATATCAAAATTTTTGTTTTTTTATTAAAATTCGAATCTCATCTATCTCGAATTCAAACGTGAGGGTTTACAAGAGATTAACATCAATTATTACCAAAGTTAGTATTAAAACCTTAAACCAGGATTTTAGGAGATAATTAATAATTAAAAGGGGCATCCTAAAAAAGAATTGGAAAATGATATCCTATAACATGTACAAAATCTGAATAAAGAGTTAAAATTATCTTTTAAAGTTATTTTAAAGAAAAAGCAAACCCCAGATCACGTGGTCCTTTTGATCCGTCGGTTTCGCCAGCTCATTCACTGGTATTTTACTTACACGTTAAAGCAGGGTCAAGCAGAAGCAAATGCAAAGACAATCCCCTGCCTTGGTTTCCTATAACTGAAAATCTTTTTCTTTTTTTTTTCTTTTGTCAAAAGAAACTAAAGGTGAAACTTTTAGCTTAAAACATTGCTGTTGCTTTCTTTGCCAGCAATAGTATCTGTTTCTGTTAAGTTGTCTGAAGTTTAATTATTATTTTTATATTGGTTATCCTTTTAAAATTTTATAGATAAGAATATTAAGTAAAAAATTCTACAAAATTATAATTGTGGACGTAATTGAGAATGAATTACTACAAATCTAGTACATTAAATTTTTTTATACTTATTTTATTATCACTTTTTGAAAAATAATGCTTTAATCCTAACATTTCCAACCTTCCTAAATTTGGCTACATGACACCCATTTCTTCCCAAAAGCCCATCCACTTTTTTAACTTAATTTATTCACTGTCTTCATAATTAATGGTGCACTGTCTTCATAATTAATGGTGCCTCAGCTCTTCTGCATTTGACCCCCATTGCACTACAATTTTAAAAAATAATAAAAAGTAAAAAGAAGGTTAAGTTTGTGAACTGTACATCCTATTCCATGCATATTGCCTATCACTGCCAGATGCTATTCTTGTGAAAAATATGATTCAGTCATTGCACCCAAATGTAATAAAAAAGGCAGCTGCATTGGATATTACCCGATAAACACTTTACTTAGCCATTCGATTAAATGTTGAAAAAAAAAAAAAGCCATGATGGTGGCAATCTCACCATCTTTGTAGTTGAAATAAAAAGAAGTGTACGGGCGGAAATTATTGTGATGTTCATAAATAAATATGATAAATAATTTATTGATAGGAAAAGGAAAAAGAATTCACTGGTGTGGAAAGACAAAGGACCGTTTCTCGGAATCTTCATAGAAAGTTTTCCGAGTGTATTTTCAGAAACATGAGGATAAGGGATTGGTTCTAGAAAAGAGGGTTATTGCTTGTTTATTTGTATTATTTTATCGATTGAAGGAAAATAAAGCTTCTTAGTACCTTCACCTACATCCAGTCCAAAAGAAAACAATGAAAAAAAAATTAAAAATACTTGGGAGGATTCTCTGTCTTCGAAATTGGTCATTGAATGCCAATTAACATGTGATGACAAAAAACATCACATCATGGGCATGACATACATGAATTCAAAAAGATCAACATCAAGCTCCCTTACTTCCTTAGATATAAATACAAACATCACTTGGTAAGTTGTAACAGTGTGAGAGGGTCCTATGGAATTTATTAGGGTTTCTTCTTGGTTTCCCTTCTTTTTCATGTTGTTTTGAAAGCTCATGGCATGCTTAGACATGTATAATTCCGAGCACAAAAGTCATAATCACTGCGCTCCAATGAGTCCAAGAATCTCTTTCTCAAATGATTTTGTTGAGACTCAGCAGATTATGAAGCAAGAAAGGAGCTCAAGAGAGGCTCCAGTGTCCTCAGACTTTGAATTCTCAGTGTCAAACTACTCCATGATGAGTGCCGATGAGCTTTTCTTTAAGGGTAAGCTTTTGCCATTTAAAGATAATTGTAGCAATCAAATGCAAAGGACTCTGAGAGAAGAGCTTCTTGTTGAGGAGGATGATGATAATGTGACACTGAGGCCTCCTAAGGGGGCCACAAGGTGGAAGGGATTTCTGGGTCTCAAGAGAACCCACATTGGTTCCAAAAAAGCTGACAAGACTGAAGGGTCTGTTGAGAGAATGGGTGACAGTAAAAGGTCTGGTTTTGCTCATGAGGAGACCCATGTTACCGAGACTTCACAGGTGAGAAGATAAACAAAAACAAAAGAAAGGGTTCTTTATGAAGCTAACTCTTTTTAGGTTTGTTGATCTGATTTCATCAATGCTCTTTGTTACAGGAGATTTTGAGTGAAGGACGGTCAAGTTGCAGGGATGTGGAGATTGGAATATAGTTAATTTCTTGGAGGGGATAACTTGTAGAGATGTGGAGCATTTTTTTTTTTTTTTAAAAAGGAAGATTGGGGTTGGCTTTCTTATTTTTGGAGGAGATTTGGATAAATTTGAAGGTCTCAAAACTTGTGCTAATGGGGTTGCTTTTGATCTTTCTCTTTTTTCTTGCTTTGGGAGTTCAGTCATTACCCTCGTTGGTGTTCTTATTTTTCTTTTTATCTCTTTGGATTTGGTGTTTGACTGTTCGTTTGTACAAAATGTTTGCAGTTCAAGAACTTCTTTCTAATGTTGAGAAATCGATAGATCTGTCTTAGGTCATTGTTTTTTGACTCGGATCTACTCATGTAATTTTCACTTTGACTTGATCTGTTCGTGTCTTTTACTATCTTTAGGAAGGTGTACTAACCTTTTTCCCTTCACAATACATTTATTCGATTCCAAGTTCGAAATAAAGGTTTAATAAAGAGCGCTAGACTGGTAATGCATGAGAAAAAGAGAAATGAGAACTCAACAGTATTTTAATCAAAAACATGTGATTAAGTGCTCCATAGGGAGGTGGGGCGGAGGACCGGAAGAGGAGGTTTGAGTCTGACTGACTGGATCAGCCATTAATGTGACAGCTAATGCTCGACTATTCATCTGTGTTGATGACTGTTGACTATTTGCTTTTGGTATAGCTGTTAGGCCATAACCATTCTTAATTTAGTGTTTCTCAATCAATGAATAATTTAGGATTAATTTCCTCCAAAAATGGGTGGTTTTTAGTGACAACTGATTGAGTATTTGAGCAAATTTCTAAGCCTTTTATAAACGACTAAGAAGGTGTCAATTCAAGAAACTGAATGCATGAAAATAAAACTGCAAGCAGGACAGGACACACTTGCCTCATATATATAGTGTTCCTCTCTGTCTGGTCTCAAATTATAATCACGATTCCCTCGCCGCCATGAAGCCGGACTCTTCTTTTTGCTCCTATTTGCCAATCTCAACCACGATCATAATTCTCCCATTAACATTGAAACAGATGAAAATATAAGCAATTAAGATTCGGGCAAGAGAGAAATAACAGTACTATATATCATTCCTCCAATGTCACAGAATCATCCAAGTTATTAGGAAAAAAAAACAAATAATAAAGAAATCACAACAATAATCATTGAAAGCTAAGTGACTACAAATCTCACTACAGTTTACAGATCTCCTGTCAATACCATTGATACAAGCTAGGGTTGTCATCTTGCTAGTCAGAGAGATAATGCACACATAAGGAAGAAAATAACTTTGGAAATGAACCATCAATACATCTTAAAGGGATTCTCACAATGGAGCCTTAACTTCTTCCTTAAATCTGAGTTCGTAGGTTTCTGCATTAGATTGCAAACTCTCAATTTCAACTCCAAATGTTTTACAGGCATTCTTCAACTCAGCAAGTTTTGCTTCAAGATTTCTTATCCCATCCTCTGTCTAAGTTCGTTTCGTTTTAGTTTCAATGTACCTTCTTGTGTCAGCAGCACTTTCTGATTCAAATGTAAGAATACAATATTCATGCCCAACAGCTCAAAGGCTTTCAAGGTCTTGTCCCAACTGTCAAATTCATCCAGAGATGTTGTGAGAATGCAAGCTCTTATGGCATCAGCAATATTGACAGTCTGATCAGAAATAGTTCCAACTATCAATTTAATATTTATATCCTGGATACTATTTTCATGAAGGAAAGAATTTTGACGACAGCATAGCTTGTAGTATTTATTGCGAATATCTTCTGAGAGCTCAGAATCTATAACCAAGCCATCACCTAATTGTTGAGGTTCTCAAAACTTGTTATGTCTTTGAATTGAATGGTAGGCACAGATAGCTTGCAACCTTCCAAAACTTCTGAAACAACTTCTTCGCTATCATTTTCAGATTGCTCTGCTGGCTGCCCAAGATCACAAGCCAATCTTCTGAGATTTTGGACGTTTGCTCTTTGTACTTTTAGAGGCTGTTGTACCAATTTCTGCATCATCATTTTTTTCCTTCATAAAGTCAATTATAATTCAAACCTTCTGACATTCAAGCATGAAACTTAAGATACCAAACAAAGACATCAATCAACTTGCCTGCATCACTTTGTTTTGTATGATCATCCACTTCAGTCAAATCATTTGCCCTTACTATGCATACCTACAAAAAAAAGGTCAATATATGTTAGAAGTAATAGAATTAGTAATGTAAATGACTGAATTTTCACATGAACAGAGACATTTAATGAATCTCAGCTGTGGATACCCTCCCCCATCTTCCCTTTTCCCAAAAGAAAAAAGAGAAAAAGAAGATAATCTCTCTTCAAACAGGGGAAGGAAACTGTTAGAAACACTGTCAACCAGTCCCTTGGTTTTACTGGTATAATGACTTGGAATAAACCTATATGAACTCTGCAATAGTTCTCCATCGGACTATCACCTTTAGTTCCTATAGAAACTTTAAAAGCACTGGTCTGGTGCTGTTGGCTGGAACTAAAAGTCCATTGCTCTCTTCATTCCTCCTGCAGGTCATTGAAGAGTGATACATTGGATAAAAGAGTAAATTCTGCATAGTAAGATGTCTCACCCTCATTGCAATGTTACAGGCCACCCCTGACGTTTTGTTCCTTTATCCTTCTTAGGCCTTAAATGTTTGACCTCTTAATAAGGGACATACAGATTCAAAATCTTTGAGAATCTGGTTTCATACATTCACCCTAACATCTAGAATGCTTTTCCTGCACTCTGTGCCTCTATATCGTTTCTTCCCAAGCTATCACTGTACTGCAATTCTAGAAGGAACACTGAGGTTATGCATTCTCAAAGTTATATGGCTGTCAATTAAACATAAGTCTATTGTGTTTCAGACAACTTTTGACTAATGAGTAACCTTGATTACTTGGATTTGAAATACACAAGCAGTAACATCTTATGTTGGTGCAAGAAGCAGTAAGCTTTTTTTTCCACATTTGACGGTTTATCAGCTCTTAAATAACTAGATTGGAGTCTCAAATTTAATACATTCTAGGCTTAGAAAGCACTGGAAGAGAGAGATCATGTGGAAAGAGGGAACCGAAGATGCTTCAGTCTCTCCCAGACCATCAATGGCAAAACTCACCAAGTGCTACTGGATTCTTCTGGGCCTCAAACTTCGTTTTTGGGCAGGGCTTGTGCTTCTTGTTTTTCTCCTTTACAGCAACCATCATCTGATTGATATCAAACAACACAGGCCTTAGTTTCCAACATGGGGTTACCTTTGGCAAAGTAAAGTAACTGAGAAAACATTCAGCATCAGTCTCAAAAATAGCTGTTATACTTTTTCCTAACTGCCAGCTTAACCCCTTTCCTCCACTACCATCCACTAGCTTCCCCTGTCAATCTCTTCCAACCACACCAACCCCACAACCAAATAAAAAAAAAAAAAGTTGTAGAATAAAGAATAACAATTAATTTCAGGGTTTGGGTTAAGATTGGAGCAGACTTAATTTCAGGGTTTGGGTTAGGATTGCACATTTAAGCAGAGATTCAGCCCAAATATCCTGAATTTGGGCCCAAAGGTTAGATGTATACTTGCGTGGATAACATTGATTTCCTGATGGCCAGCCCAAAGTGGGAATTTTACCTTTTTTTTTTTTTTTTTTTTCTCCCCTTCTTCTATGAAAGTGTCTATAACAATTATTTAAAAATATATATATCTTTTTTAAACTTTCATTTTTCTTTATGAACAAGAAATTCAAATTTTGTGGAAATCATGGGAATCTGAAAGAACAATTTACAGAGAAGTGGGACCCAAGAAAGCAGCAGACGGAGTGTGTGTCGGGGGCGGGCACCAGATCCAAGAGGAATGGTAGCCTAATAAATCACTCACCCTCCTTTAATTTACCCAATCCAAAGTAAAAGAATAACCCCCACGCAATTCCATGAATGAATGATAGCCTGTATTCCCCACGTATCCCTTAACTTCACCCTTCCCCATTTTTCTTTTATTTATATATATATATATATTAAATATGTTAATAAAACTCTATTACTATAAAAAAATATATATACATTTCATTTTATTTTTCTTATAAAAACATTATTTAAAAATTACCCATTTTTTAAAAAAATAATTACACATTTAATGGATAAATTATAGTATATATAATATGACAAGGATCGAGTGTTCTCAATTTTATGTGAATTTATTTTTTTTGAATAATTTTAAAAATATAATTTTTATGTTGATATACTATTTTGACAAAAATAATTCTTCTTATAAATTGGACTTATTAATCCATGTGGATCACTCTTCCACCCATGTTTTAATTGCTTAAAAAAACTGCTAAATTCAATTTAATTAACTACCCTAATTAATAACAATTAACATTAAAATTATTATCTGCATATAATTTAGCTGCAAACACCAAAAGTCACATGCAAATGTTAAGGTGAAAAGAATCAAATCATGTTAGGTTAGTTAATTTATTGTTTCCTCCTTTTTCTTGTGAGTTGTTAGAAGTCCTTCTTCTTTCCATGGCATGGCAAAGCGTCGGGTTCCGTGGCTGACTCTTGGTCGAGACTATTGCAGTATTAATTATAATAACATATGTGACATCCTTAATAAATTGACGAAGTTTTTAAATTTCATGGACTGGTAGCGATTAAGGCAACCATAACGATAGATAATTGAAGGATTTGAAATTGTTATTGATTAATTCAACCATTAATATTCCTAGTTTGTTCCCCATCATAGTCTCATCATTATCCTTGCTTAATTCCTAGTGTTTGGTAGTAATGAAATTTGTTGACATGACAGCATAATGCACGATGTGATTTGAGTGAAAATTGTCTATTAGGGTGCTCTAAATAACATGACATAAAAGATGGAATATAAGTTTGGTAAGTCGGTGATTCCATGTCTTGGAAAGAGGTGGCAAATGTCTAATTCTCCATAGCATTTATCAGATTAACTTGCTTGTCTTATTATGTCATTGAGTCGTTTGATTAATCTTATACTATAGTTTTATAGGGATAGTGTTCACGTCTCTTTTCTACTACTCCACATTATAATGTTGAAAGGTCGACAAGACCCAAGTTATAAACAAATTATTATTAAACCTTGCATAAACTTTATATTACTATTATTGAATTTTCATATTAAGTGCTCAAATCTTAACTAATGAGGGTTTAAATTATCATATTCAATTATTGTATAATTTTTCTCTTTTTCTATACATGCATGAAACATTTTAAGTAATTTTTTTAATTTAATAAGTTCCACCAAAATTATTATATATATAGCATGTTTTCATTTAAAATTAATTATATTATAAATAAATTTCATATTAATTATCAAATTTACAATTTAAATACGATATTATAAATTTTTAAAATTTAAATATTATATTAAATATTTTATTATAATTGAAAGAACATTTGCGAGATTAACATTTTTTTATTTATAAAATGTACTTTGAATCTTTACTCAAAAATATTTGTAAAATCAAAATACCAATACTAAACACGTGTCCTTAACTTACTCAGCGGGGCGCGTGTAGTTGTCTCTCCTGTGATCCACATTATCCCCATGTATTCTCACCTCATGTAATCATTCGCTCTTTTTTTTAATTAACAAACTATATTTATAGTCGATGACATTTCCAGAATTTCCAAAGAAAAAATTCACAATTACAATAATCAAATAAAAAACAGAAAAAGACAAACAAAAAAAGAGCTTTCTGTTAGAGTTAGTAAATTTTATTGGATTAAATTAAATTAATCCAAAAAAGTTACTACAAAGCTACTAAGAATTACTAACTGACGAAAGATACAGTAGGTGTACCAGAAAGAGGGAAGCGAGAAGCAGCAGCAGAATTTAGCAGAAGAGACAGACACGAATTTTTTGGGCAAAAAATTTCCTAAAACCAGCAAAATATATACTTCAAACAGAATTTCGTTGTTCGATAACTGTTTTTTTTTTTTTTTTTGTTCTTCCCTAAGCTGATTTTCCCCCATTTTTTCTTCCAAAAAACAGACTAACAGCTTCTTCCCTTCTATCTTCCTCTCATTTCTGTACATAAAAGAAAACCCTAGAACAGTAAAGAGAAACTGAAATTTTAAATTAGTAGTAGTACCTAAGAGACATTGCTTGCTTGATCTTCCTCTAAATAATTTATTTCTTGTTTTTTCCTTTTTTTTTGGGTTTTTTCTTCATGGCTTTAATCGAACCCACTCGTAACGTCCTTCCAACGGCTCATCCTTGACAATATCGTAGTTATACCTAAAAATAGTGAACCAAAAAGAAATTTCTTGTTTAGTTTCAATTTGCCGTTTGGTTGCTAAGAAAATGTAACAACAGGAGAGTAAAATCTAGGTTTTTAAGAGAATGTGCATGAACATACTTTTCAGCAAACTGTTTTTGAAGTTTTTTCTCTGCAACATCAAAGAATTCTTCGAGTTCAGCTTCTGTTGGCTTATTCTCCGCCGTTGATACACGGCGAGAGTTCGCCTCTGACGGCCTCGACGTTGAATCCAGGTCTTCTGCTTCTGCTCGGAGCTCACTCGACGGTTTCAGTTCTCTCCTGCTAGAATTCACCAAAGAGACAAAGAAGAGCAAAAGAATTTGAGAAAAGGATCGAGTTTATAAAGAAAGAGAATTTAAAGAATTTAAAACGGAAAAAGAAAATTTGAATGATCGGCTGCTTTTGAAATTCGAATTCAAGAGACGTGACAAAGTAAGTTACAGTACTTAAATATTAAAATAAAAAATAAATAAATTTATTCCTCTAATTATTAGTAAACCTTTCTCTGCTGCTAAAATGAGTGGATGTTTCAACTTCAATACTCTCATCCTGCAAAAATAAAAATAAAAATTTTAATTTATTAACATCAATTAAAGCTGGACAAACCGAAATTCCTAGAATCCATAAGTTTCAAAATTCACCTCCAGATCTGGCAATTCGATAATCCTTTTCGAGCTCGATCCAATATTGCTTGAACAACATGACACGTCATCATCATGATCAGTGTTAGGGCTCAAACGCGCATTTTCATTAAGACGATGATGATCTACCAAAATTCTCTGGCTTCTTAACTGGATATACGACGTCGTTGATGAAGTTACTTTGAATTCAGCTTCTTCGTCGTCGTTTAATCTTCTACGTTTCTTCTGAACTGTTTCGGTTGCCGCCATGGCTTGCGTTCGAACTCCGAAGTCAGCTAGCTTCATAACCGCAATTTGTCCTCATAATTGAAAAAGGAAAAAAAATACTTGATCTCTTTTTTTTCTTTCTTTCTTTTTTTGGGAGAGGGAGAGAGATAATTCGTTTTTGTTGGTTTTGAGCGTTCGTTTTCTGGTTTTGGTTAGTTTTTTGATGATGATGATGATGATAATGATGACGACGATGACAGAGGGATGGTACGTTGGATGGTGAGGATTTGTTTTGCCGTTTTAAAGGGGTGGTTGTTGGTGGTCCATGTAACAGCGACGGGGAATCTGTAACGGAGGAATTTGACGGCGCGTAACGCTCTCTGGGAACAGTAAAGGACGGGACCGAACTTTTGACTAATTAGACAATGCCACGTGCATTAATGCCGACAATGGTGGTACTGACTTTGAATAATAGGCGGTATTGTTTGGGAAAGTCCGTTTGGAAAGGAGAGAAGATGGTTTCAAGTATATCTGGCTACGAAAATGACATAAAAAATAAAAAATATTAAATATTAAATTTAAAATTTTAATAAAATATTATATATGAGTTTAATAAAATTTAAAATATATATTTTATATTTTTATATAGATATAAATTATAAATTTTAATTTTTGTATAAAATATAATAAGAATATATAAATTATTAATATTTTATATGATATAAATACATGAATTATTAATTATTTTCAAAAGTAAATATTGTGTAGTAAATAAAAATATTATTTTACCCTTATTATTATTATTATTATTATGCCATTAATAATGCTTTGTTGGATTTATTCATTTCCATAATTTTTTTTTTACTTAATTTTGGATGGTAAATTATTTTACGCTAATGAGAATGTAATTTTTTTTTAAAATAGTGTAATGAATTATTTTTAAATTATAACAAAATATTTTTAAAAAATTTTTGATGTAATACATAAATTATGCATCTGTTAATTAATATAATACTTAAAAGATTATTTATTAATTACGTGTTATCATTTAGAATTAATAATATTAAAAATAAATACTACGTTAATTAATAAATTAATAATTTAAAATTATATCAAAATTTTTTTTAAATTTATATATTATATTGAATATTTTATTATAATCCCACAAATGAGGCAAAGGCAAAGGAGACATGCTATACATGTACTAATGAATTGCCTATTAGAAAAATAGATGTAAAAGAAGTTTCACCAATTTGAGAAAATCTCGACGAACACATTACTGTAGGTCTGCAATGAGTTTAATTAAAATGGATCAGTGAATGTCTTAAATTCAGTGGTAATTTCTTTTTTTTTTCTTTTGTTAAATGCAACCAAGATGATTTTCTTTTTCTTTTTTCAGTAAATGTAGTTTTCTAATTACTAAGATACGCATATTTATCTAACGATCGGACATTGATCCATTCAAAACTTCAGACCTCGAGTTAAATGGTTCAATCGTTAGATCATTTTGATCAATTTTGGATTAATAAAATAGTTTTAAATGTTATAAATAAAATTAAAAATTATATAAATATTTAGTGTAATTGTATAAATTAAATTATGATATAAGAATTAAAAATATTTATTATCATTTAACAAACTACAAAGAAAGCCAAGCTTACAATTTTTTTTAATTTTTTGTAATGTATTATCATTGTTATTTTTTAATTTTTATAGTGTTGTATTGAAAATATGAAAGAATCAATAATTAATATGTAAAAATTAAATTACATATGATTTTAAAATCGTTTAATTGATTCATGTCAATAAAAAACCTGGCAGGTCATGAGTTTTTTCTTATAAAATTGATTTTATATGATTAGAAAGAAATTAGTGTTAGAAATTATATTCAGTTATGCACCCTTTTGTATTTATTACTTCCCTGATTAAATATTATAATAAATTATGATGAATGTACATTTTAATGTCATTACTTTTTAATATCAAATTAACCATGAATAAATATAGATTCGAAGGCTGAAAGTGACAGTAATTTCCAGCTTTAAAAATTGTTGGATGATCACATCGTACTAGCGTGATTATTCAACGAGTTCTATCCATTAGAGTACAGAGTTTAGGCTAATAATTTAGAGGGAATTCGCAGCGAATGTTGCGCTTTGCACTATTCAAACAATAAACTTACTCATTGCCAGCTTTACATACATGATACAATAGATAGAGCCTAGTAACCCGTTATGGTTATCACTTAATGGTGATGGCGTCGCCTTTTTTAGAGCCGACCGGCAACCAAAAGCCCCGGCATCAATCGGTATGGTCTGGTCTCTGAGAGCTAGCTATGCTTGCCTTCTACCAAAAACTAGAAACTATATGTCTTCTTGAACATTCGAGAGCTAGAAAGACATGGCACACATGGTCATTTAATTTAGGGCCATAACTGCATAACAGTTAGGTAGTACAGAAATGAATGTTGAAACGTGGGAGATGATGATAATATATATATATATATATATGTATATCACTCATCTTGATCAATTATGCCATTGAGATTTGCATTTATGCATGCGTCTCTCTTCCCACGTGGGGCTCTGCCGGTTCTAAAATAGGCAACATGGACCCATCCCCAAGAAATATTCAGTGTTTCTAGCTATAGTATCATGGATATTTTTTAACCATATCCATCAACATCCAAGCTCATTCATTATATTACTAGTAGTAGTACTAAGTAATGGTAACTGATGGAAATACTTACCTAGTTTAAGTCAAGCGTTGATCTCTATTTCTATAGTTGGGTTATATAATACAATGAGAAATAACCATCTTTAATGTAATAAGATCTTGGTGTTGATCAGTCTAATTACTGTTATAGTCGCCAAAAGCCGACAATTAATCACACCTAACTGAGATTTTCATATCTAAATTATATATATATATATATATATATTTAAGTGTTTTGATTTTTGTATTAAAGGAAGGTTAATTAAGATCAAATTAATTCATGATGTTGATCAAATTCCTGATATTCTCATGCAATGGAAAGTTGGTTGGAATGAAATATTCATGCTTCTTGCCATCATATTTTCTAGCAAGCTTTCAGAGAGAGTGCGTGACCCCTTTGGCTGCCCCATCTTTGGGGAGGGGGGTCCATGAATTTTCATATGTATTTAATGAACAGTTTGCAAGTATAATGAAAATTTTCAGAATATATTCAGAAAAGAGAATTTTTGAACTAACAATTACTGTTAATCAATGAGCTATTGCTTTGAGAAAAAAATTAACCCTAACCATTTCTTTTAATTAAAGGTTTACCTCTCACATTACTTAGAAATGAAGAGTAAATTAATCAAATTAAGATAAAAATACAGAGATTCCTTCGGAGTAAGGTAATTAATTAAAAGGAGAGGATAGACTAGGGCACATGGACCTTAGGTAAGTCGGCAGGGAAAAGTGGAACAGATTTTGGCTGCCCATAAAATCTTTGGGGCGGCAGTCACTTAAAGAGCGTCTCCGCCCCTCTCCTATAGCTAAGATTTTTCTAACTTCAATCTTAAAAGCACTTTTGCCTTACTTTAGTTGATTTTTTTTTGTTAAGGATGCCGCTGTATGAAATAAGAAAAAAGAATATTGAATATTAAATATTAAATTTTAAATTTTAAAATTATTTAATTTAATTTTTTAGATTAATTTAATGAATTAACTAAATTAAATCTCAAATTCATTTTAATAGTTGATTGAACAAATAATTATGGGATGATATCACCAAAATGTTTACATATATTATTCATCGAAATTAAGTAGAATTTTCTTGTATGTTTACCCTCATATATCATTCATAAATAATTCTTGATCCTAAAATGTAATCCAAATTTATCATCAACATGTAATCTTTATCAACAAATTATTCTTAATTTTGAATTTGAAAGTGAAAGGAAGAGGGAAATGAATACATAAATGTATATGTCTTTTCTAAGCTTAGTATGTAAAGCAAGCACTACTTGATTTGGCCTTAACGAGGACTGTCCTAGTTTGACTAGGGCAATTACTTTTTTCCTCTTGATATTAAGGGTGTTCATTTAGGTTAATTGAGAATCTAATTACCTAAAATTGAATTAGTTGAATTATGTTATTTTATTTTTATCAATTAAATCAATTTTTTAAGCTTCAAAAATTAACTAACAAAAATTAATTCAATCAATTAAGTTATTTTTTTAAGTTAATTGAATAACAAATACATTAAATTAAATTAAATTTTAAATTTTAAATTTCTTATATTTAAAATAAATTAAATAAAATCATCTACCAAAAATGTTCAAATACCAAATTATTAAATTAAAACTTTAATTACTTAAAATAAAATAAGTAATTTCATATATTTTTAGTTTTATATATAAATTTTTAGTATATTTTGATTAATTTAATTTTTGAATTGAATTAATTGAAAATTAAAATTTTTTAAAATTATTTTTATAATTAATTGAAATTAAATTAATAATTAATTATTTAATTTAATTTAATTAATTCTATCTCAATTCAAATCAAATTTTGAATTCCCTTAATTGGTATAGTTGAATTTGTGGTGCATTAGTATGGTTAAAAGTTGAAAGTTGGTAAACAATGTCTAGGAAGAGACTGTTTGTGGGAATATTTCCAGCAAAACTGCATTTATGTCAATCATAATGGTTAAGAATGCTCGGAAACCCATGTGCTCCAAAGGGAATTTTTTTGTCTTTTGAGATATAATCAAAAGGGGAATTAAAAGCAAAATATTACAACCAAGACCCACTCTCCTATAAGGAAGTCCCATCAGGTCAAAACTATTAAATGGTGGTGGATCCAATGGGGGGGGAAAAATGAAACAAAGGGTGGTAATAAAAGGCTATAATTGGTACATTTTTGTAATTTTTTAATAAGCAACTAATTTTACTTTTGCAATTTGCATGGGTTATAACTTCAAAGTTTTTTTTTAACCCATGCAAAAGGATCGATAAAGAACTTTAGGGTTAATTTTTGCTCTCTTTGTGGCACTATACAGTAGGAAAAAGATTAAAATACGAGACCTGATCAAAAGGAATGGAAAAGAAAGAGTGATAGGGGAGAGGAAAAGGGAGGGAAAAATTTTAGGAAAAAAAAGAAAGTGAAAAAGCAAAATTGAAGAATCTCAAGGCATAGAGGGGTGAAATGGAAGCAATGTATGTGAAATCAAAAATTAAATTCTTTGATTTGAGCTTTCAAAAAAATGTTAAACGTGATTCCTT